GCAGCGGCAACATCTCGCAAAGGGTGTGATGTACCTTGCTGGAGACCTTGGAAAAATGGACCATAGTTGAGGCCGGCCTCTCGCATCGTCTGATACCAACTCTCTCGGTGAATCTTTCTTGGGTGATGAGAGATGACTCTAGGCTGGGGAGGGTTGTCAGAACCAGCTCTGATTTGACCAGAACAGTGCTTTGTCCAAGTCGTCCCATTATACGATGAAATGTTAAACTCATGCCACACGGAATCGAGGCTGTTGGTAAGTCGCAGTGGCCTCAAAGAAAACATTGTCTCGACTTCTGATGAGTCCAGCAGCACCAGGGCAGACTTGAGGGTGACATTCCTCAGCGAATACTCCTCGGTGCCAGAGACTTGCCTCATTGCCTCTAACGCCATGACCATGTAGCCTGCTGCCGGGAAGATGATGTCCGCGCCAAGCATGTGGTCTTTGCACCATGGGATCTGGTCAAGCCGTAGCACGTTGCGCCACATGGGCTCCAGCTGACTGCTCTCAATAACTCGAGCGCCAAGAAGCTCATGGTGTGGGAATATTCTTTGCCTCCATTCCTTCGACACCCGTGATTCTGCCCAGTACTTGGTGTCATGGTGCCAGGGATATGTTGGAGTGTTGGTGAGGACTTCACCAGGCTTGGCAATATTCTTGAAGGACACGGCAGAGCCCTTCTGGAACAGTTGGCCAACAGTTTTCAGAATGGCCTTGGAGTCGACCTCACCACGGATCAGAGTTGGGATGTACGTTACTGATTTCGCCTTGGCTGCTTTTGTGATTTGCCTGACGGGTCCAGCAAGGGCTGAGTGAGGGCCAACCTCCAGCAAGACCAAGTTCTCTGAAGGTAAATCCTTGATCAATTGAGTGACTGCCGTGTTGAACAGAACGGGAGATTCCAAATTCGATCGCCAGTACTTGGCGTCCGGGGCAGATTCCGAGTCCATGAGTTTGCCAGTCACTGTTGAGTAAAGCGGTAACAAGGGGGATTTCGCAGAAAGAGCTGGCAGCAGCATCTGCTCATAGGCGTCTCCAATCTCCTGCATGTGACCTATTGGAAGTTAGTAATCGACAAGTATTTGAAATCCCCAATTTAACCTCACTGGAATGGTACGCCATTTCGACTTTCAGCCGTCTTGCAAGGACTCCTTCCTCGTTGTCCTGGATAGCCTGGATCACCAAGTCAATCTTGTCCTCATCGCCTGACAATGTGACACTGGCTGGGCTGTTCTCGCAAGCCACAACAGTGCCTTCAACCAAGTAACGCTGAACGTCATCGCGACCAAGGCCAATAGCAGCCATTCCGCCTCGTCGCTTCTGCTGCTTGGTGACAAGACCGCGGAGATAGGAGCAAACAATCGCCTCTTCCATGGTAAGAGCACCAGATGCGTATGAAGCAGCAATCTCGCCACTCGAATGCCCAACGACTGCGGCAGGCTCGATACCCCAACGCCGTAGCAAATTGACGATGATGATTTGGACAGCAGTACACAGTGGCTGCGAGAACTCTGCTTGGCCGACCCGGGTCTCTTGTGTATCCTTTGCCAACTCGCCTAGATGTCAAAGTTAGCTTGGTGGCATAATAATTAAATAAGTGGACTGACCTTGGATCGTCCATGATGGAGCAGGTGTCACTTTGGAAAGTGCTTCATCTAGAATCTTGACATCCTTCTGGGCGGAGGCGAAGTCCGACAAAAGCCTTTGTCCCATCGTGGCCCACTGGGCGCCTTGTCCGGTGAATACAAAGGCTACAGTCGGAGACGATGAAGGAGTCTTGGCAGCTGGAGAGAACTCCGGAGCACCATTGCCATCATACACAGCAAAGGTACGGTAGGGGAGGTGTTCCCGACGAAGGGCAAGAGTATACTCCAAGTCATCGAGCTTGTCAACGTGCTCCTCTGCATATTTGGCGTAGAGTTCTGCTCCTTTCTGAGCCGACTCGGGATGATTGGCTGTAAAGACGAGCAGCTTTTGCTCCTTCGTCTCTTGTGGTTGTGGGACGTCCTGACTTCCGATGCCAATTGATCGGGCTGAGTCTAAGATGATGTGGGCGTTGGAACCGCCGAGACCAAATGAGTTGACGCTCACACGTTCATCACGATCCTCTGGCCAAGGTGTATTATCAACAGGCACACTCAGACGACCCTCTTTGAATGGAACTATGCTATTATTAGTGTCTTGCGTGGAAGACAATGGGTGAGAAAACCTACTTCGAGGGTTTGGATTGCTGTACTTGATGTTGGGTGGGATGGTCCTGTTTTCGAGGGCCAGGATTGCTTTGATAACACCGGTCAAGCCAGATGCGCCTTCAGAATGTCCCAGGTTTGGCTAAATAGAATTGATTAGCTTCTGAATCATTGAATATTCATGAAGACATTACCTTGATGGAGCCGATGTAGATGCCACGCTCTTTGAAGACATTGGCGACGGCCGTCAATTCCACGGGATCACCCGTACTCGTGCCGGTGCCGTGACATTCGAAAAAGGCGGTCCTGCAGTAATCAGAGATGCCAGCCGTTTCATAGCATGAGCGGATCAGCGACTCATGTCCAGCGGTACTAGGATGCGACAGACCCATCGTCTTTCCGTCTGAGTTGCTAGCCGTCGAGCGGATGATAGCACGGATGGGATTTCCATCTCGTAATGCGTCTTCTAGTCTTTTGACGTACAGCATGTTTATACCTTCTGCTCTGGCATAGCCATTTGCCTTGGCATCAAAGGTCTTGCATGACACATCGGGACTCAAGACGCCTTGCTTGAACATGAGTTGAGTTGCTGTCATGTGTCAGCCGGAGTACAATGAAAGGGAACAGAGATGTGTCTGCTCCAGGTAGGAACATTTTTCTTACTTGAAGGGCTCAGTATCAAATTAGAGCCAGCAACGACGGCTGCGTTAATCTGTCCGGCTCGGAGAGCCTTGCATGCGAGGTCCATTCCAACCAATGCCGATGAGCATCCCGTCCGGATCGTCATACTATGATTATTTATAAGAATAAAAGGTGTAATAGGAGCTCTGATTGAACTTGACTTACCTTGGACCCTTGAAGTCGTACTCGTAGGATATTCTGTTGCCAAGAAGAAAGTCGCCATGGCCAGTGAGCTTGTACATGGCCAACTCCTGGGGATCTTTTGAGTGAATGTCCAGCCAATCTTCACCGAATACTCCGACATAGCAGCCGATTTCCTTCCCCCGACAATTAAGCTCACCGGAGTTCTCCAGGCATTCCCTACGAACCATTGTCAGGAGGGCAATATACGGCAGGGCAGGTCAATTGACTTACCTCGTGAGCTCGAGAAGGAGACGCTGCTGGGGATCTGTCCACTCCAGCTCCTGTCGCGTCATTGAGAAGAACGAGGCGTCAAACTGGGATAAATCTACTTGATTCAAGGTGTACCCATAGGCCTGGTCATTGATGGCCTGGATATTTGCCTCTGATGCCGGGGCTGTGATTTCAGTATCATTGATGAAGCGGGTTTCATGCTCCGCCGAAGCATCAGTCTCCATTCTGGACGCATCGCCGAAGAAGGCGGCGGCGTTGTACCTCGACTCGGGGATCTTGTCACGGGCATCGCGTTTATTGACTAAGAAGTCCCAGAATTGATCCTCAGAGTTGATGTTTCCAGGCAGCCTCATGGCCATGCCACAGATGACCAAAGTACAGGAGGCATCCCCAGCGCCCGGATTGGGATGACTGGAATCTACTGACGAGGCCGAACTGGCCCTTGCCGGCCAGCTCTCGTTTTGGACATGGCCCGTCTCGGAATCAGACTCGCTGACAGGAAGAGCAGCATTGGCATCGGTAATGAGATTGCTGTCCGATCCGTTTGGGACCGTTGCAAGCAGTGGCGACTCCATGATGTCGAGATCTTCGGTGTCAAGCTTGATCGTCTGAGAGAGCGTGCCTGCGTCCTGCGTGCGTATGTAACAGTGTGTTTCACTCTCACAACGCACCCCTGGCTTATGTATTCAGACCGATCCGTGCCGCTTAGCGAGGTGTACGACTTCTATCTAGGTATATATATGAACTATTGATACTAGGGGTGCCTTTATCGCCTGCTGTCCGAACATCGATTCATGTGAGAATCGGTGAACCTTGGCTCGTTGGTAGAGAAGATCTTTAGAGACATGTTGGTTTGATCGCACAGGCTTGTCCCCCCACACTGTTGGTCCAAGGTTGCCTCTCAATTTCCCATGTGTACCAGGGTCGTGAGCAGGATTACGACTGGCATCAAAGGACCAGGTTTCCCCCATGGCATCGAGGTGGGGTAATCCCAATATCCCGTGGTAAAGTCCGAGACTGCTACTTCTCCCCGAGTCGGTCGAAAATCATGGACATCTCTATGGTTATATATGGGGTAATAAATACGGCCCATACTCCATAACGCTGCTCTTGACAAGAAACTGCCTTCCGGAAAGAGCTTTGGTTCCGTTTAAAGGAATCAGGAGTTCGGTAAGGGTGTGCAGCTGCGCGCTTACATGCTGCGCGTATGTGGCTGACACGACTTACATCCCTGCGATGTGACAGTACATTGTGAGCAGCATGCCAAGAATAACAGAGTGTGTGTGCTGCTGTGCGGCATTGCCTGCGAACAGAAGGTAACAGTAGGATTATCTGTGGCCCAACACGATGAGAACTTTCGAGCGGCCCCTGACAGGGTTCGGACCAATTGTCTACTCTCCCGACACCCATATCACATGCAACATGCATCTCAGCTGCATCAGAAAACACGAGAGTGCGACGCTGCGGCTTGCATGTCTTTTGTCGTTCCATTATGCAGGTCTCAGGCAATATCCATCTATAGGATTCCTCCCGGCTTGGTTTCCCCGATGGACCTGCCGCCAACAAACCGGTTGAAACCGGGACGCTGGACGATTCAAAGTATCTGTGGCATCTATATATACTATACAAACAAACTATTATGACTATTGGTAAGGAAATATCCTCCAGGGGTACCTAGTAACTAATAATGGGTAAGGGGAGTAGTAGTACACATATTCAAAACACATCAACCGCATATCTCTCGCGGATTACGTCAAGCCACCACTCATCCACGGCCTCTTCATCCTTCGGGCCACACCTGGATCTCGCAACGTCGCCATAGATCCGCTTGACAACATCCCTCACCCCCTGGCTCAGAGCCCGGCTGCCGCAGACGTAGACGCGGGCCCCCTCATCCCACAATGGCACCACATCAGCCCTATCAGTCCAGACCTGATCCTGCACATACCCCTGCGCCGCGGCCACACCATTCTCACCCTGGGTGGTGGCCGGCCTGGAGAAGACCCAGTGCACCTTCACAGCCCCCTTCTGCTCCCACTCTGCCAGTTCCCCTGCATACAGCGTCTCCTGCGCACTCCTGCAGCCCACGTACAGGACGGCCGGCGCGAGTGACGCGCTCGGGTCTCGGCGAATGGCCTCAGCCCGATGCTGGATGAAACCTCGGAAGGGCGCTATGCCGGCACCTATGCAGAGCATGATCATTGGTACCGAGCTGAGGTCCTGAGGCGGTCGGAATCGGTCCTTGCCAGGGCGAATGGAGGCTTTGAACCTATCGCCAGGTGCAAGTCTCGCCAAGAATCCAGATGCAAGGCCCACCACGGGTGGCTCGTCCTTGTACCGAGCGTCTGTCAAGGCTGGTCGGTCCATGAGTGACCATGTCAGAGTGCATCTGGTAGGGGACCATGCAGGTGAGGATGAGATCGAGTAGGGGCGAGACCGTATCGACGGTAGCAACGAGACGAGCTGATTGGGTGATATTGCGATGGTTGGGTGAGCTACCAGAAGCTGGAGGACTGTAGGCACTCCTTTTTGAGACGAGTTAGATACCTGGTCGGCGAGGTCTGTGAGCAGGGCTTTGTCTTTTACGCTGGCACAAATCTCGCTGAGCTTCCGTATTTGCTAAAAAGTTGGTTAGACTAGAATTCAATGCATGTGATATCAAAAGAACCCTCAGAAACGTACATTGGCTGTTGCTGGCTGGTTCAGCTCGAGACGAATGAAGATTGCCATGATGACAGGATCCGCATCTTCTTTATCTCTAACTTTGAAGACCTGCAGCAATCTGCGGAGATCTTCCTGGGAATTTTGTGGATAAACTTCCAAGTAGTCGCCGACGTTGTATGTGACACCTTTGGAGAGTTTAATTTCCATGTGGTACTTGGGTCGATCTGTGGCTGCTGTCATCTTCGTCACTTGGACAACCTCAACTTGCAAACCATTTGATGATTCGTTTTCAGGTTTTTGATCGAGGAGTGACAAATAGTCGGGTTCGTTGCTGACAATCGTCTCGCCGAACAGCTGCGAGATGCCCGGCCAGAATTGCTCAGACTGCCAGGACTCAAAATCGCCTAAAATATCTCCTCGGCTTACATCGGTGGCTCCTCGTGCTGCAAAGGCGGCGGCGCCTCGGTCTTGGAGGAGAGTATCTACAAGGATTGGTGTGACTTGATATGTATGCGTCCAGTCGCCTGCTCAATAGTCAGCTATGCTGAAGAGTGAGCCTTTCTGTGATGAAAACACATACGATTACCACAGCCAAAGACGGAATATTTGACGCCTTCGAGATTGAGACCAGGAGAGCATTGAAGCCATTCAATAAACTTCATACCGTTGTCTATGATAACAATTAGGACTTCTCAAAAATCATTCAGTATGATAAAAGCCAACCATACCTGGGTGCTCTTCATAGCTTGCGACGAAAAATACCACCGGATGTTCTGTCGGAATGTGGTCAATCGCATTATCAAGAGTTTTAATTATGCATCTGAAACCTCGTGAAGAGGCTGAGACAGCAAACCGCTCAGCCAGTCCTTTGGAGGTTTCTGTATTCGAGCCATAGAATAGCGACATTGGCCGTGATTCGTTACTGCTTGTAAGAGTGTTTAAAACTGTACCAGCTGTGTTGCTGACAGAATTTAGTCCAGTGTTGAAGATGTCGCTTTGCAACGATATGCTATCAATACCGTCACGCAACTTGGCATACATAAACAGACCATGCGGCTTAAGTGTAAGTGTCTGCCGAATCACAAGCTTGTAGTCAGGATCAGCCAATCTGAAGTCGAATTTTTGGAACAGAATAGCTGTGGCAAGGATCGCTTCTTGCAGTGCAAAATCCGATCCTATACATGCTCGAGCGCCATTTCCGAACGGCTTCAAAACATTAGCTGATTTGGTCTGTAAATCACCATTAAATCCGCGACCTACCTTCCAACAGTTCTTGGGAAGTGCCTGAAACGAATCATCCAGCATCCTCTCGGGCTTAAACTCCTCACCGTCGTCCCCAAAGGCAGCGGGATCTCTGTGCAGCGTAGTGGTCAAAACAAGCACTGTCTGGTTCTGTCGGATGGCGTATTTGTTTGCCAGCACAATATGCTCGTCGCTGTCTTTATCATCGTTGAGTAGGGGTGTGACTCCCCATACAGCAGCGGGTGGGTGGAGGCGCAAAGCTTCCCTCAATGAAGCCTTGACATATGAAAGCTTGCCAAGGTGCTCAACTTTTATAGGCCCTTTGCCTACAACGGTGTCTACTTCTTGCTGCAATTTTGAATATGCTCCAGGGTGAGTCATAAGTAGATAAAATAGGAACGAAAGCAGGCCAGAAGTTGTTTCATGACCTAGATCGTTCAGTTCTTGCAAAAGGTCTGCTGTTTTATTAGGAAGATCTTACCAGCAATGAGGAAAGTAATCATGTTGTCAATGATAACATCATCACTCAGTTTCTTGCCAGTGACCGGGTCAGTCCTGTTCACCATAGCATCAACGAGATCCTTCTTCTGAGTGCCCGAGGCGTTAGCTCGACGCTTCGCAATAACATCCCCAGCTACTTTACGGGCATAGGCAATGGCATCCTCAAACTTCTGATTTGCATCCCTCATAAAGGGTGTGACAAATGCCGGCCTGCTTGATCTCACTTGGGCCTCTTTCAAGATCGTTAACATAGCCTCGATAAATGGATCGAGATCATCTTTATAAAATGAGTTGAAACGAGTGTCCATGGCACATCTTCATTCATTAGCGCTAGTTGATCTACGAAGTTCTTAGTGTCAGCTCTTACAATGCAATTGTGTCGAGCGTGAGGCGGGTGAAATCTTCAGCGACATTGATCTTGTTGTTCTCGCCTGCCCTCGCCCATCGAAGAACTGCTTGCGAGGCAACATCGAGCATTTCTGAGATACGTTAGTTCCATCATTCACCGACACACCGGGGATCATACCGGGAAACATGTCTTGCACTGCCAAAGGTCCAAACGCGGGGGTGAGCGTTCGGTGAGCCTCCCCCCACTCCTTCAGTCCATGAGGCGCAGTGAATAGTCCTTTAGGGGTCACATGTTGAAGTTGCTTCAAAGATCCGATTGGGATCTTGACAAATTCTTTCCGAGTGCACACTTCGTTGACCAGCTCCTGGCTGCTGATGAAGATTCGATCGTCTCCACCAAGATGGAGCTTATATATTGGGCCTACGCGCTAATTTATTAGTTTGTCTTCCGGAATATTCATGCATAAATGTCCTTTGTTCGTCGTCGTCTTACCGTAGGTCTTAGCCAAGTCACCAAAGCAGCGGACAGTATCGTTGATGTCCACATCTCTGAGGTTTCCGATGATGGGCCAGCCTGGTGGCCCGGGAATGGGAGTCGTCATCCTGCAGGCAGAAGCTCTGCGTGTGTCTGAACGGCCAGAATCGGAGGTTACAGCGAGCTGGATGCAACGAGCTAGAACACCATTTGGTTGGTCTGTTCTTCCTTATTAGACTTTACCAAGTCGGATGCGATCGGCCCATTTCAAACAAAGGATGCATGCACGTTGGTTGGAGGGTTGGGGTTTGTTTGAGGGGTCAGTGACAGGGGAGAGAGACAAAGGCCATGGGCAGCTGGACTGTGAGACAGAGCGGCCGTCTCTGAGCTGACCAACATCGCCAGCTTGGGCCAGTCTGACGGGAACATCAATCCTATTCAGGGCACATACATGAATGGCCTGGAAAAGTGGTCCGTTTGTTATTGTCCCTCCAATGAGTCGTAAGACGTCTGTACTCAGTAACCAACACGCCACGTTGCAAGGGGTTACTTTGAAGGAATGCATCATGCATTGGCAGAAGTCCCCGGCCATTGATTTGATTGAATGACCCTGCACAACCAACTGCTTTGGTCCCAGAATGTAACCACACAAATGTGACTGTGCAGCCTGCCGAGGATGTTCTGGGGTCGTTGGCCAAGCACAATTTCCCCCTGTTTTTTTTTCTGGATTCTCTCAACACTGACTGTCTTCCACACTTGCAACTCCGTCCACGCAACGTGAAGGTCGAACTTCCATCGTCGAGTCGCGATGTCCAAACCCGAAGCCTCAGAGACGGTCAGGGAGGAAGTGGCCTCAGAGCCAACCTCTTCCCCGACCGAAGATGCGACCGAAGGCACGCTCGAAGACGTCGATTGGAAAATAGGCAAGCAGGAATTGACCATCCTACTGACGATGTCCTTTCTCTGCATCGCGGTCGCCGTATGTAGCCCTAACCCATCCAATATCATGGATACTCTATTGACCGTACTCTGTGTAGCTTGATGCCTCCATTCTGGTTCCAGCCCTTCCAGTAAGCCCAAAGAATATAAATTGAAGAAACGATCAGGAAGCATCAGAAGCTAAGCGAAAACAGACTCTTGCAAAGGAATTAAATGGGTCCGCGATTGAAACCTTCTGGGCCGGCACATCGTATCTGCTCTCCAATGCCGTCTTCCTCCCATTCCTCGGCGCCTTGTCCGAGGTGTTCGGTCGCCGTGCGCTGCTGCTCGCGTCGCTCTTCATGTTCACGGTTGGCACAATCATCTGCTGCACCGCGAATGGCTTCCCTCAGCTCCTCGCCGGCCGGACGGTCCAGGGCATTGGCGGTGGAGGTTTGATGACCATGGCTCTCGTCATCACCACGGACGTGATCCCACTGCGACAGCGACCCAAGTATCAGACCATCATCTCTGCTGCCTTTGGACTTGGAGGTGTCTTTGGGCCACTGACCGGCGGATTGATTGCTGAACATACCACATGGAGGGTGAGGTCTTGTCTGCTATCAAGTGTACACTCAGTTGCTAACCATGTTCCAGTGGCTCTTTTATGTCAACTTCCCATTCTGCGCGGTCGGATTTCTCATCACTCCATTCACCATCAGACTCAAGCCGGAGCGGAAGCTCACCATTCGCCAAGCACTGTGGCAGATTGATTGGCTTGGTGGAGCACTCTTCATTGCCGGCATCTCAAGCTTTCTCATCGGGCTCACCTGGGGTGGTGTGCAATATAGCTGGGGGTCATATAAATCCTGGCTGCCAATCCTCCTTGGGGGTCTTGTGGTAGCATTGTCGCTGTTCTATGAAGCCAAGGTCCCTAAAATGCCATTCATGCGGCTCCGGGTGTTCAACAGTCTATCTGCCGGCATAATCTTCTTCTCCACAGCCATCCAGGGTTTCATTGTAAGTCATGGTCGGAGATATTCATTCTAGAAGCTCACTAACAGTACTACTCTAGCTTTACAGTCAACTTTATTACTTGCCTTTTTACTTTACCTCGGTGAAGGGTGCGAGTACAACCTTGGCTGGCATCTTCATCATGGCTGTGAATATCATCCTTTTCCCAGTCAGTATTGGGGCCGGTCTGGTCATGACCCGCACAGGAACATATCGCTGGTCCATCAATGTAGGATTTATCATCATGACGCTCGGTAATGGACTGCTGGTCTACCTTGACCAGCATAAAAACGTGGTCCAGCATCTTTTCATCTTCCTACTCTCCGGCATTGGCCATGGCTTCTTACTTGGCTCGCTGAATTATGCCAACCAAGCCACCGCCAAGGCGAAGGACGTATCATATGCAGTGTCCATGTTCACCTTCATGCGAGCATTCGGTATATGTATAGGAGTAGCCGTCGGTGGCACAGTGTTCTCGAATCTGCTTCTCCCTGCTTTGAGAGATGGAGGCGCCACTCCGGAGCAGGCACAGTCAATCACCGAGAACTCGGAAGCCTTCGTCCACATCCTGAACGAGATGCCTGATAATGAGACAAAGACAGCGCTCATCAACGCTTATGTGGAAGCGTTCAGAGGTATATTCTACGTACTGACGGCGCTTTCGGCCCTGTGCACTGTCTTATCTTTCCTGACCAAGCAATTTGATATGAATGTCGCCATGCAGTCAGGACATCATCTTACCAAGAAGGGACAAGAAGGATCGGAAAAATCCATGGAACAAGGAACAGCTAAGGCTTGATTACTACTAGCCTAGAAACTAGAATGTAAGGCATAAGACCAATATAGAAATCATGAGATAATTTACTAAGACCCGATCTCTCCGTGTGCCATGCCTTGGAATCTCCGTAACTCCAATTCACCCGCAGCAGGGAGGTAAAGAGGGGAAGCCAAGGGTCGTCACACGTCCATTACATAGATCCACAGGAGATTAGCAAGGGTGTATGTATGGGCATGTATGTAGAATGCAACTCGCCACTCCTTGGCTGCTGTCGCAACGGTCTTACGTGCATGTCAGCGGACCTTTGTATACCGAAGGATTGCCCGTATATGGCCATTTCCCACAACCAAGACTTGGAAAATGATACGTCGTGATCCTTTGTACCCTGGTTAGGAAACAGATGGCCGACCTGCCGTCCAATTACCCGATGAAGATGGCACACTTGATTCACATGCCACTCCAGCTGCTCCATCCCTTCCCTGCCGGCCACTTGCCTCCGGCCATGAGGGTGGTCACAGCCCACAGTCTCGTCGGCGATTAACAATCTGAGGATCCAATTGCGGAGGAGAACGGTTTGCTCTATGTGACTATGTAACCACACACGGAGTCAGGAGGTTGTATGGGGCGGAAAGATTTGGCATCGCATCGGCATTTACTTGAGCTTCTTGGGCCCCCCTCCCGCTCATCCACGTTTTTGTGATTCAATCAACAGTTCTTTTCAACAAGACTGGATTGATCGCACCGATTCAAGATGCCAACCTTGACCGAGGTTCTGACGTTGCTGCCGAAGCCGGCGGTTGGTCTCCCCCCATCCAACCAGCAGCAGCACATCACTGCCGGAAACATAAGCCAGCTGACAGATCCCCCTCACAGGTATCATGCCTTGTCCAAGCCATCTCCAATTCGACATGTGAACTCGGCGACACAGCATGTACCTGCGGGAACCCAACACTACAAGCTCAAGCCACCGCCTGCGTCGCTGCGAAATGCACAATCCGCGAAGCCCTATGTATATTCCAGAGCCAAGCCCTATCCGAACCACTTCTCGAGCTTTTAATAACCAGTGTCCGTAATAGCCACGAAGAATCTCACATCTTCGCTATGTGGAGTTGAGCCGGAAGTCGACCACTCCTTCATACCCATCTTCATCGCCTTCGTGGTCCTCGCAGGCGTCGCGGTTATACTGCGCTTGGCTGCGAGGTTCATAAAGAGCGCAAACGTCTGGTGGGATGACATCTGCAATATTGGCGCATTGGTGGGCTATACATAAGTAATTCCCAGTGATGCAGCCTTACTAACGTTGAATAGGCCTTGTGCGTTGCCTTTACCGGTGTTGCCTTCTACAGTATGAACCCTAAATATCAATTGTTTATCTCAGTATATATCTAACAAAATTGCAGTCAAGGATATAGGGTTCGGCGTGGACATTTGGGCGATTGAGCCCGACAACATCACGAAGATCTTGATCGTACGTCCTTCTGAAGCTCGCCTCCCATTTCTATAACTCACATGTGTTTAGGGATATTACATCGAATTCGCGCTTTATGGCGTCGCTCGACTGCTTGTCCGCGTCTCAATTGTCTTGTTCTACCTGCGAATCTTCCAGATGACAAAGGCTCGGCCAATCATGATAGGAACGCTGATCGCCATGTGCTGTCTATCCATCTCCTTCATCATGGCAACCATGTTCCAATGTACGCCTGTGAGCTACTTCTGGGATAAGTGGGACGGAGAGCATCAGGGTCATTGTATCAACGTCAATGCAATGGTCTGGGCCAGCTCGATATGCGCCATCATCTTCGACTTTTGGCTTTTCTTTGTACCGGTTCCCTTCATTTTGCAACTTCAACTGTCGTGGAGGAAGAAGTTGCTGATATCTGTCATGTTGGTTACCGGAATCATGTAAGTTTTCAACGAGTCATCAACATCGAAGCATTGTACACTAACATAGACGAACAGCGTTATCGTTATTAGTATTCTGAGAGTTCCATCTATCAATGAGTTTACAAAGACACATAACGTAACAAGTATGTCTTATAATCACCGCAAACATGAAGAGCCATAGTTGACACTATACGACAGAGGACTTTGTAGGCATCGGCATCTGGTCAGCTCTGGAGATGAACGTCGGAGTATTGTGCGCGTGCATGCCAAGTATCCACGTGCTGTTCAAGGCCATGTTCCCCAAGCAGTGGTCAAGTACGAAGGGTGACTCGGGGAGACTCGTTAGCAACTCTAGGGGCAAGGCTTCGAGTGGTAGTGGTGGCCGTGGGCCGTTTTCAAGGATTACAATGACGACCACCATCGAACAAGGGCACCCGAGTGAGTCACAGACACACCTTCCGGGGGAATACAACCAGGCACGCAAAAATGAGCTTGAACTTGGCACGATGAAGAAGGAATCGGTCCAGAGCTACGCCTGGAGCTAATCTATGTATTTATCACTTGTGTATTGTTTCTATATAAATGGTTTGGCTGCCATTCTGTATATCTTATCCTAGGACACTAAACGAGGAGAGTTTATCATCTCAAATGATTGACCATTTATGTACACAGCCATGAAAGAAGGGTAAACCTAAAGGCAGACCCGCTTAGTGAAGTATTGTATTTTCAGTATATCAGCTTTTCTTGGGGAAATTCGGGCATAGCACAGTCTTCCAGCAACACCTTCAAAACCCTTAGAGTGGTGGGCCAAATTTGTGACGAGACAAGCTACCTCATCAACCCGGCCCAATTTCACACGGGCTTCGGCCTGTTATAGAACTAGTCTGTCAAGTGACATACCCTAGTTCTCGACAAATAGACTCAAAAGCCTCTCCATTCTCGGAACTTCTAGCTAGAGACAATGCAGTGTCGCCGTCATCTGTTTGCGCATCACGGTCAACTCGAGCTGATTTGAGTATAACTCTCAGGACCTTCATTGGCTTGTGAACAAACCGCTTCATCGCAGCCAACATAAGTGGAGTGTAGCCATTTTTATCTCTTGAATTCGGATCGACCTGATCTATTTTCAAGAGGAAAGAAACTATATGCGCTTGATCCTGGTCGATCGCATGTTCCAGCACCGTACCAAACGTACATTTCGAATTAGGATCGACCTGACCAGTTGCTAGAAGAATCTTGACAACTTCCAAGTGACCCCCTCCAGCCGCCCAGTATAGGGGGGTCCGATCATCATGGTCTTTAGAATCCGGGCAGACTTGTTCTATCGCGAGAAGAAGCCGCACAATTTCCAGGTGACCATTTTCGCTCGCATATGATAAGGGGGACCCGCCGTATTTATCTTTGGAGTCCGGCCAAGTCTGTTTTATCGCAAGAAGAAGCTGCACAATTTCCAGGTGACCATTTTTGCTCGCATATAATAAGGGGGTCCCGCCGTATTTGTCTTTGAAGTCCGGCCAAGTCTGTTTTGTCGCGAGAAGAAGCTGCACGACTTCCAGGTGACCATTTTTGCTCGCATATAATAAGGGGGTCCCTCCGTATTTGTCTTTAAAGTCTGGGCAAGTCTGTTTTGTCGCGAGAAGAAGCTGCGCAATTTCCAGGTGACCATTTCTGACCGCATGTGATAAGGCGGTCCCGCCGGATTTACTCTTGGAGTCCGGGCAAACGTGTTTTGTCGCGAGAAGAAGCTGCACAATTTCCAGGTGACCATTTTCGCTCGCGTATGATAAGGGGGTCTCGCCGTATATGTCTTTGAAGTCCGGCCAAGTCTGTTTTGTCGCGAGAAGAAGCTGCACGACTTCCAGGTGACCATTTCTGACCGCATGTGATAAGGCGGTCTGGCCGGAGTTGTCTTTAGAATCCGGACAAACCCTTCCAGATGCTAGAAGAGCTTGAACAATTTCGTAATGGCCCTTTGAAGCAGCCTCTACAAGCGGTGTTCTGCCATCAAAATCCTTCAGATCAGGATTCACGTCATTGGCACCTAGCGCAGCCTGTACAAAATGAAGTTTGCCGTACGATGCAGCAAGTGAAAGCGACAGGTGACTTTTAAATTGGCCAGTAGCCAGTAGCCGATCTATAGAATCGGGTCTGCCCTTACTGATAGCAAAGTCCAAACGGGTTCGGTCATAGGAATTCCAAGTACTGAGGTCGATTTGACCATCCGCTAACAAAATTCTTGCAATTTCCCAATGAGAATTTCGCACTGCACAGAGAAAGGGAGATTCGCCATGAGCATGAGAGTAGCCAGATCTTTGTGGCGCCGACGGCAGCTGGAGACGATCTTGCCTGTGGTAAAGAGTAAGGAAGAGGTCCAGATCGCCATATTCGGCAAGAAATGATATGAGAGATCTATTCGATGACGCGAAGGTAAAACAAGAATTTAGCGTGGACATATTGGTGTTATCCCCACGATAGCGTTCCTCGTATCCGGCGAGATCGTCCATGGGGAGAGTGCCAACAATATTATCACGAAATACTTCTACCACTCTTCGATGTCCGTGGACAATTGCTGCCAGTAAGGGGCAACCATAACTTCCAGGTCCCCTTTTGACGCAATTTGCAGGTGAAATCCATTCTTCAACAAGTGATGGAGCATTGTCTGCAGCTAGAATGTAAAGAAGATCTACCTCATGGTCATAGTGTCGCGAGTGGAATTGATTGCGGAGACTAATCCATGTGTAGTGATCAAAGTCATTCAGAAAATCAATTTGGCTAATTCCAGATGACCCTGCTGCATTTGCATGAAACAAGAGGTTATTCGTGGCATATTCCAAAAACGGGAATGTTTTTTTCAGCTTTTCGTTATAGTATCCTTGCCCCTCCCGACAAGTGTAATCCCGCAAAGAGATGTCATTCTTGATGTAAAGGTGGCAGCAATCTCTAAGCTGGATGTGACTCTGTCCAGGAAAATTGTCGTTCAAATCATTGAATAAGCTTCGCAGACCATTGTCTTTGAGAAGGAAGTCCTTGACAGACTCGTGAATGAGCTGAACAGCTGGGCTTTTGGAGTTTGCCACTTCGGCGAGCCCCCTGGAATTTTCAAGGAGGAAAATTTTGGAATTCTCCTCTGTCAAGTATTCAGGATCCAGTTGAGTAGGATCATAAGTTTGAGAAAGGATTGCCACATGAAGCTCTAGCAATGTCAGTGGTCGTCTCGAGAACAAAATCCATTGAAAACAAAGAAGTAATTCCTCTTTGTTGTTGTGATCTTGAGATAAGATGCTCCGAAAAAGTTCGTGCAAGTCCTTTGGTATTTCCCGCAGCTTTTGGCGTAGTTTGTGTATACGCCCACGGTCTCGTTCCTCGTTGAGGATCTTGACGACAAGCACAGCCCACATAAACACCCCTGATGCTTTTTCTAGCAGCTCGTTCTTAATTTCATCCGCGAGCTTACCATGTCCAATTACCAACTCCCTATCGACATACTGACGAATATCGTCGCCGTGGTGCTGCTGCTTCTCGAGGGTGATTTCCAGTCCGAGACCTTCTCTCATGGAGATATGGGGATAATGGCGACTTGAAAAGCATATGTAAAATCCAACACCTGTAGATATTGCTAGCTGACCGAGGCGTTCGAAAAAACGAATCATGTCTCGTATCTGATCATCTTGACATTCATCAAGTGCATCAATGTAGCAGATCACAGAAGATGTAAGCTTTTCAATCACCCGCTCGATCAATTCTTTCAATAAATCGTTCGTCCAATGACGAGGCGTCTCATTGGCAAACAGTCTCGAACAATCCAGAACATCTTGGAGGGCAGGGAATTCTGTAAGTAGTTGAAACAGGATAGACTGATATAATCCGGTGGTTGATTTCTCTAGGCCGTGACCACGAGCATTGAAAAAGAAATCAAGAGTTGTATGATGAGCTCTTTTCTTTTGTGAAGCATCGGAGATAAACTTCATCATTGTCGATTTTCCGGCCCCTGGCTTGCCTTTGATCCACAGGAAGCCGCCATGTTCACGAATTTTCGTTTCATCCAACCAGTCAAGATATTCTTCCTTCTTCAGCATCCATCTGCAGGTTTTTAAATGTGCCCTCTTTATATTCATCCGTCGGTTATCAATGTATTCGAATTTCAGTGACTCCATCCTTCTTTTTCGAGCTTTTCGAATTTCCTCGTCGGGGTCTAATATTGAACCTTGTTGAAGCTCTGAGTTGATTGAATCTACAATACGATTAATTCGCCTGAATATTATTAGAAATGACTATACTACTCACTATCATCAAGCGCGATGGTCCGGGACATCGGTTCTGAAGCAGGGTGGATCGATTGAAGCAGTTCTTTTGCATATGCCGCTGCTGTTGCCGCGGCATACTGCTGCCAGGCTTTGTTCTTGTGTGAATCGCAGTAGTCGCAAATCCCTCGAATAACCAGGCATGGGAAATGGTCGGTGAGCCCTGCTGCCTCCATCTCAAAGCACAGGATGTTGTTTCGGTTAGCCCAACTGTCTCGTGACGCAGCATGCTTCACAACCTGGTTTCCTGAGGCTATCGTACCGTAGTGGATACGAACCTCGTTATTTCGCCGTGAGGGTCGATATATAAGCCTAGATTGATCACACTGGTCACAGTCTTGCGTTTCGTCGCTGTGCTCGTAATTTGTGTCAAATAAGCGATCCTGGGATTGGCTGGGGTAGCCGTAATTGATCATATCTTGGTTCTGGCGAAGCATCTCCGCAAGAATGGAAGGTATTCGGGTTGAGGCCTGCTCATTCTCTGCTCGAAGCTTGGAGAGGGCTTTCGAGATTTGTTGCGGAGGTCTGACAAGGTGGCTTGTGCAAGTGAAGTCACCTCCGCGTACAGTCTTGCCAAAGTCGTACTGAAGTACATCATGGCCGACGACCACGTCTCCAAGACGAATATCCGACTCGGGAACGCCGTGATTATCGAACTTGGGAACACCGCCCCCAATACCAACCATGAGCCTGATCGAGATAGAAGGAAAGGATCTAGCCATATTATTCGCAACCACTGCCGCATTAATCGTGCCGTAGTGGCCTGACGGCAAGCACGCAATAACGATATTGTGAGCTCCAATATTCCCGTACGTATAGTAATTACTGTCGCCTTGCACAGTGGGGAGAGGCGGGTGCCTGTTTTCGAGCATCGCTGAGGCTGCGGCGAGCTCGATAGGGAGAGCAGCGACCCAGCCAACAGTATAATCCTCGTGTCTAAATTTGCTATGAGAGAATGAAGTTGCGCGACTGAGGGCATCCACTCCATCGCCTTCGGCCCGGTGCCTTTTTCGCGCTGGCAGCATCGACGCGTCTTCGCCAGAGATGCATCTCTTTCCCGCCTTATTATTGATGGCAGGGATATCCATCGGAATCGTAGCGGGCCCCATATCGCGCAAACAGCGGCCGATACTTCAGGAGCTCAACAGTTGAGTAAGGCGCGCACATGTAGTCGCGGGGTTGCGTGGGCGACAGACGCACCATTGCACAAGTGATTGAGAATTTTGTTGGACATCAATGATCACAAAATCTGCTACCAAAAATGCCTACATAAACACGTGACACGCTGCCGCCAATAATATAGGATGAAGCCTGACCTGTAGGCTGACTGCATGTGGTCGCTTACGGCAAGACTACATGTACATATGTTATGTGGCTATGTCGTGTCTCGGCAATGATTTTTACATCTGCATAACTACCTACTACTTGCTTCACCATTCTCTCAGAAGCGTCTCTGCGACGTTACTCACATGCCACACGCCGCCCCTACCAACAATCCACAGTTCATTCTGCCCAAAAGCGATGCTAACCGCCAGATTTTCTCCCCCGCCGACTCTGATCGACCCAAGCGTCAGGCCACTCTCCGGATCAATCACATCAACGCCGTCTCCCGACCCGGCAAAGATCCAACCGTTTCTCGACACCCTGATGCCATCATAGAAGTAAGCGATTGGGTTGTTCAGGAAGCGCTTGTTCGTGAGGATCCCATGCTTTGAAATGTCAAATGCGTGCAGAGAGCGATCGCCAAAGGGATTCTTCTTCGACACGGGCTTGAATTCCGAGACTCCAGTATCTGGGAGATACAGAATGCGACCACCTTGCGGGTTCACACCTACCGCCACGCCATTTGCGTTGCCAGTAGTGATGTGAATAGGCTTGGGTCGTAAACTGGTACCGTTTACAAAATATACAGTAGGATTGGTCGGGTTGTAGAAGTCGGTTAGGTCACGGCCCTGTCCTCTGGTAAGTGACTATTCAATACTTTGGGGTGAGTCAACTCACGTAGGCGGATTTGGAGTCAGTCAGATAGAAGTTGCCGTCGGGGTCAATGTCAAGATCGTTAAAGCCCATGAACGGTTGCTCGTAGTAGTTGTTAAGCAAAGTAGTTTTTTCAAGGGTGTTTGGATTAATCTCAACCAAATTGCCAGTCTCGTTATGCGACCCATCAGTTACCACATACAAGCTCCCGCTGTAGTAGACACAGCCATGAGCATTGTAAGTGGGCGGGGTAGTGGTAATGTTTTGAAGGTCATTGGTTTCTGTGTTAAGGAGGTAATGCCAAGAATGAGTGCCATTCTGTCCACCCGGAGGGCCCCATTCGGCAAAGAACAATTGTTTCAAATCGGGGTTGTAGCATGGGGATTCATGAGACTGATAAGCGAGTTTGTGTATGTGTTGAATCTGAGCGTTCGGCCCAATAATGTCGAAAAACTTGTCCTCATAAGCGATGAAATTTGTAGTGTTCAAAAACTCGTTACTAAACAAGTCAGAAGTGAAAGGGATGGAAGAGCTGGTCACATCATACATACGTCGCACTCAGCTGTTCATCAGATGCCTTGCTTTCGACAATAGCACTCATAGCAGACCTATTGAAAGCCCCGGGTAAGACTGCGATATTCGGATATGTTAAATAGGCCCAATTGGATGGGGAGGACTTGAACGCCGCTGGGAGATCGGCTAAGAATGCCGCCTGGGCCACAGATGTCATGAGAAGCAAAGACGCCAACATTTCGTAAAACAAGGGATTCTCTTTTAACTTGATACTCTCGTTTAGATTTCAATATGCTGAGAATACGACAGGAGTCAAGACTTATATATTTTCAAGTCTCCAACCTCACCAAAGCGGACAAATGAGGTTCTTGCGGAGTGCTCCGCACATTACTGTCCGCGGTGACCCCATTCATAACCCATTGCGGGGTAAAAAGAGCGAAAGGTCCAACTAGAGCTGGTTGATGAAGGTTAGCATCTGGGGTAGTACACACACGATGGAATTAAGCAGGGGATACCGATGCTAAAGTTTCCCCATGGTTTTCGGACTGTTCCGTTAGGGTGCGATTCCCGGAGCAGCCCGTAGTCTAACTGGTGTTACAATTATCACGACGGCACTTAGACGGGATAAGGCTCTGTTTGATTACGATCTACCTTGAATATGGAGGGGAGGGACAACAGCAACTACCTGTGCATGAACAGCAACTTGTTGTTGTAACTAGCGCCGCTCATGGAAAATTACCTACGTAGCTGAATGAATTTATTCAATTACTGAGCGATATGTACTTATGTGAGATCGATTTATTTTTAGGCATTGCGCTAGTCAAAATGAGTTAGTAGATGTTTTGGCGGGCTGCTGTTTAGACCCACAGATTGAGCGAGGAAATTTCCGTTTGCCATGTTCAACCCAAACAATCGCCATGTAATCAGATGCGAACATCTTGGGAAGCGATATTGATCTTCTACATACTCCGCATAGCATATGCACAACTCCCAAATACACATTCCTTGTGCCATTTTAATAAGGACATGCTCTTCAATAAGTGTGAGATAATGTCTAACAGACGTAGGATTCTGGATCTCACGGTGTCCGCCGCAATATTCATTGTTCTAGGGTAGGGTCATTTAGTCAGGTACCAGCCACACTTCAATACCAACCACACCTGAGCCACAATAGTCTTATGCCTGAATTTAGCCAGACGTATAATTTTATGAAGATTTATTCCTGCTCGAATGAATATGCAAGCATAAATATGTGCGAAGGGACCAATAGAGCTTATTCTTCCTGTCTCAGGGCGGCAAGGCTGTTTTTTTTAGCCTTCATGGTCAACTATGACCAAGAACCATAGAGAGTTTCGTATTCATGTTGGTTTACCGTTTAGCAGTTAAGAAGACTTGCGGTGGTCTCATTCTCTCGTTGAATCTCCACCGGCGTTTACGTCGTTCAGATATGGTCCGTACGGGGTTTAAAGCACCTATGGAGACGTTCCAAGGAAGGACGGGAGTACTATTCTATGGAGATCTCATTGTGGCAACGCATTGATGCTACCCTCTGTCTTATGCACGGAACAGCCAAGGAGTATTGCTCCGACATTCCCATCAACTGCTGTCTCAATACGACAGTCACATCTGACCGCTTCAGTGATGATATAGGGAAAATAATAATGCGCTGGGGGCAATTCTCGAGTATTGGGCTAATCTCGGGAATTTTACTTGATTTAGGATGGAGATTTAAGTTGTTGCTCTATTAGCAGCTTCATGTTTAAATGGTGTTCTCTCTCTTGTAATTTTGCTGTACGAAGGCAATTAACGTGAAGCCTATGAGTCACGCATCGGTGTAATAGACTCAAAAATTGAGTTGGCCGTATATCCAAAACCCGCTGGAACAACATGGGCAGGTTGACAATTTCCAATCAATTATGGCGGGGCGTATGCTCAAGTGTATCGCCTTCCCACCAATAATGCTTACTTAGCTCACCGACTCCAAGTCTCAATAACTGCCTTTGGAAGCGGGAGGTAAACATGACAAGATCCGCCAGTGCTTGGCTATATTATCGCATATTATTTTCTCCTGATAGAGCAACGGTAATTCAAGGTCCGTAGCCATTACTAGGTTAGGCTTCGAGGTTGAGAAATCCTTTGAACGTCTTGGCTATGCACGTGGCGTGATAGACACACTTATTGCAACATAGCATACAGCCATCCGGGACAAAACTGTCAACCAATGGTTATAAGAGGAAACGATTCTTAGCTTAGAAAAGACATTTGGGTGAAGGCCCTTGACTTAATATCTTATTGTACCTCCAGGACGCTTCAATTCTTCATTTACAGGAGCATTTTACCCTTATTTGACAGTAAGAAAGGTTCTCATTTGCCTGTGTCCACAGTAGGCATTTCATGGGTTGGAAGCAGGCGCCGGACTGCCTTTTGAGCCTAAGCACTTGGGAGAGGCTTGGGAGAGGCCATTAATCAATGAAAATACCAGAAAGGAATGTGGCTTGCCGATCAAGCATATTACTCTCGTTCAAGAACGAATAAAATCACATTTTCTGGGATTTTATGGGACTGGTAAAGAGGTCTAGAAATACGAACCCGCCAAGAGCTAGGAACGTTGCAGCTGACGGCTTCATGAGGGAAAGGCCCAATACAACCCCCAGAAGAGCCTGTTCGAAATGGGCATAAGCGGCTCTTAAAACGCGTAGGGCGACATTCCGACTGGGCGTCGGGAATTGGTAGAGGCAGGGGTAGCGCTATATGTGGATGATTTTATCACGTTCGCCACCTGCGCACGGTGTTGTCCTCTGGCGCTTGACAACCGTGCCTCTACGTGTCAATGCAGCTGTAGTCAGTCGAAATTTCCTCATTTGAAAGGATCGGGCGAATCAAGTTAGTCTCGGCTCTTTGTTGACGGTGCATGAACGGTGGTTGGCGCCAACTATGAGCTGCCGGGCCGCGAATATGGGGTCGACAGCCAAAAGCGTTGAAAGGAACACTGCCCTGGCATCTATCATCAGGCTGGAACTTTTGTTACTCTAAGCCGGCGGCCACTTGACAGCCTCGGTGAATCATCGCAATGCATCTATTGTTGATGTATCTGTTTGGTGAGGAGATGGAAGTGAAGTAGAGTGTGTTTTCTCAGGCCCGAGAGGCACGGCGGTTTCCAAGAATTGGCAGCTCCGGATCCTACCTTTTCTAGCCGGAAAGGTCGGTGATCGATAGGAAAATTACCATTATGAATTCCCCGTAAGTGCCGGAAGCGGTGCTAAGCCCACGGATGTTGCCTCTTATGGCGGTGAGCGACACCGAACCCTGGGAAATTGCATCGTGGCCCTGCAGTCAGAATGCCGCTTGGACCCTCTTTCTCATCTACGGTCAGGTAAAGCAACACCGGCTTTGAACAGAGAGAGCTTGAGCTTGGCTATGCCCAATTCTAACTACAAAAGGTCGGACAGTTCCTCACCAGCAAGATACTTTGTTGCTCATCACCATCGCCTTCACCACCGACTCTCAACTCAACCTACCTCCAACAACACAATGAAGTTCTCCGTCGCTACTCTCTTCCTCGCCGCTACCGGCTTGGTCAGCGCTCTCCCCGCCACTGAGAACGAGACCAACCTGGAGGTGCGCGCCGAAGTTGGCGCAGGCTGCAGCCCGGCCGGACGTGTCACTTGCAGCAACAGCGATGGTCAACGGTGAGTTGCATCTTTACCCTTATGATGGGCTTCGAAGCTAAACATGACCCCTTATGATAGGTACCCAAACATCCTGGTTTGCGTTGACCGTGGAAACGGTCTCAAGTGGTTCGTTCAGGCTACTTGTGCCGCCGGAACTTCGTGCGCCTACAACGACAACCCCAACCAAGCCTGGTGCAAGGCCTACTAAGTTGCTCGACTGTTAATGTGAAGGGCTATGAAACTTAGTTTATGATTGATGTTTGAGGGTGTCAATACGAGTGATTTCCATACCTTCGGCATCAGATTATTGGTGGCCAACACCTGACCCATACTTGACTGTATCGGTGCCGGTGTATAAAAGAATCTCAAAATCAGCTCTGGTCGAATAGATCTAATAGACTTGAATATGATCGCACAATCCCTCGTTGATCTTGTTGTGAACTCTCCCTTACCATGCCAAACTAGGTCTGGGCTGTACATGATGGCATTGGGCCTTTAAAATGTGCCTAGATACAATTTTTTTTCTTGGTTTGAAAAACGGGAGCTTAGTGAATCAAGCGTGAAGGCATTCGTGCACATACTGAACTACTATGAACAGCAAGATTTGCTGCAGTTTGAATTTAGAAACAACGATGTGTACGTACGATCGAGAAAAGCAGAGAGACGTCCACGTGATGGTAACAGTTGAATGTAGACATATATCCCGATTCTAGTTTATTGATTCCTTGTCAAAGAAGCGACCAATGCCCGGTAACTGATGCACATAGGAGAGGATGCCTGTGGTATGAGCCCTCAATCCGTATCCTGCATTTTCTTCCGGCGACGCTTGGCGTCTTGCTCGTCCATCTTTTTCATCACTGCACTGTGGCAGGCCCGTAACTCGGGACGAATATGAAATTGTTCCTCCTGTTTCTCGATGTGTTCCCGAAGAATTCTTGCAACGACGTGGTTTCCATATTTCTCAGCGTCCAAGATGGCACCTTCATACCCTGTTGAACCCCGTCGAGCGCTTAATGCTCCTGCATCTAGAAGAAGCTTGATCATGTCGCATCGACGAGTGGCTATATCTAACGTCGATTGTGGGTACCTTCCTAGTCGCCTCGTGACATGAAGATTGGGGTCGGCGCCATGGGCTAACAGCACAGCGGCAAGTTCGACGTCTCCTTGACTTGCGGAAACCATAATTGCTGTTAGTCCTCCGTCCTCAGGCTCTGCATTGATATTTGCACCATTGTTGATCAATAGATTTACGATCTTCTGCTGACGATCTCTTTCCTCGCCGGACGCGGGATGCCAAGAGCAGATTGCTTGAAGAGCTGTTGACCAATGGAACCCTCGAGAGGGGGCGTTGACATCTGCTCCGCGGTCCAATAATTGAAACACTAGACAGTAGTTGCCGACAGATGCTGCAGCTTGGAGTGGAGTATAACAACGGTCAGTCCCCTTCTCTTTAGCATACATGTCGATAGAAGCGCTTTTCTGGATAACCTCCTGGATCAGCTCCTCCCCGGCTTGGTTTTTAATTAATGAGGCTAGGACCGCTCCTGAGTCGGGCGGTAGTCCATAGGTTGTGTATAACTCATTCAAGATCGGCAAGCCAAATATTGAAGCCGAGGCTGCCGTAAATAGAGCTTGAAGTTCGGTTCCAGCAATATTCCTAGACCTGACCCCAAGTTGGTCTAAAAGCCAAGGGACGAGTACATCCGCAGCTTTTTTCTTGTCATTGACCACAATGATATTTTGGACCCCTTCGATGCCCCGAATACCCCATATCTCTTTCGTTTTCTGTTCTAAAACATGTTTGAACAGACCATCAGCGAATTGGTCACTCGCTCTCTCTTTGAGCTCAGCTCCGCAATCAACAAGGTGTTGCAACATAGACATCTTCAAACTAATATCCCGATGACCGTCTATTTCCTGGATTAGCAGTGCCACAATTGTGAAGTCATCTCCCGATCCAGAGTCGTCACAAATTCCAGCTTTGATGTTCACACCAGCGCCTAATAGCCAGTTCACAGCGCTGAAATTACCAATTCTAGCTGCCCTTAAGAGAGCACGAAGCCCAGTACCCCCAACTTTGACACCAAATCTGGAGAGGAGCTCAAGAAGAGTTGTTCCTTCCTCGGAGACTGCTTCGCTGATAGCTTCTGGGCTGACGGAACAATGGTCTTGAAAGAAACGGTATAGAAGTTCGTATGTTTCGTTGCTCATCCCACACTGAGCATCTTGCAATAGTCGTGAACAATATTTCGAGTGGTCGAACGGACGGATCTGGACCCCGACATCAATCAGAGATTTTAAAGCGGAGATATTGAAAAATCCCCATCCTTCAACCTTCGAAAGCTGTTCCCGCATCACAAGATCTAAAAAGTTTTTAGCCTGTCCCCCCACAAGTAAATCCCTGGACCGTAGATATGCGGATAGTACCGATTTTCCATGCATAGCAGCTCGCAGGACCCCATGCCTTGTCATTATTCCATCGGTAGACGCGCTTCGGAGAAGCATTAGATCAAATAACTCTCTGTCTCTCTGGAAACCCCAATCCAAGCATGTCGGATACCACCCATTTGATATTTCCATCTCTTCCAGCAGCTTTGAGTACATGCACTGTTGACCAAGAGGGAACGGTGAGTCGACATCGGCACCTGCCTCAAGAAGGATGGTAAAGGCACTAATATATGCTCTGTCGTATATTTTTTGCATCTTCGCACATATTATCGTAAAATGGGTCCTGGAATCTTGAAGCCGGAAATTTAAATCGCAACCCTCAACTAGAGCCTGAACGCATGATATTGAGCCGACATAGATAGCCCTCCAAATCGCGTAGCTCCTCATGCTAGAATTCGCTGGACAGGCGCCGAGCTGTAAAAGTTGTCGAAGCAAATGGGTGTCTGAGATCGAAATTGCTGCAAAAGCGAGATTATCCTTGCTAGCCGTAGGCCAGTGGGGATTTCGCAGGCCAACGTAGATCAAAAAGCAAATCACGTCATTCAGGTCGATATGTAGCCCAAAATCCTTTCTGTTATACGAGAGAGCATCTCTTGCCATCTCAAAGAGGCATTCCCATGCAGACTCTATAGATGGGAGGTCCCTTTGAAAGAGTGTCGATAAAATTTCTCGGGGGAGATCGATAAACAGTGCCTTCATCAATTTTGCTGTTCTAAAATCCTCGTAATGCATTAATTTGTTCGATAATAAGTAGACAGCCTGGGCCAAAAATTGGTAGATTTCCAAATTTGTGGGATGGGCGGTGAGCTGTGTGACGGTTTCTTGAAGATGCCAGATTGTGGGGAAAGAAGTATCGCACATCCTGGCCAGAGGAAGCCTTGGATCGGTAGTGGAGAAGCCGTCTCTGGGCATTACAAAATATGTAATGTTATTGATCCTTTGGAACTCTCGTTGAATCTTCGCGCCGAACGCGATTGCTTCAACAGTTGTTAGGGCGCCTGTTCGAAACTTTTGGGGATGGTAGCTTACAATGAAATGAAAACCGAAAGTTTTGCCATGGCAAATTCTCTAGTATAAGTTTAACATGCTGCGACGAGACTCTACTAGCAGGCAACAAATGTATATCTGTTTCAGCTTCAGTTAGTTCAGGGTTGGTCCATCCCAAGCTTAATTCTAACTTAGAGTCGAAAGACCCTTGGTGCGTCCGAAAACTGGGACTGCAGATAAGAGAGAATGGCTCGACGTCTCGGCATGCGGTTGCTGTGCTATGGTGACTGCTAGGCGACGGAGATGGAGTACGCAACTCTACTCCATGAGGGAGTGGCGTGTTTGCATCTGTTAGGTGTCATCAGCTGGTCTAGAAGAAAAAGAGCCCTCGGACCTACCGGTTGTTGCCTGTCTTGCGCCAGAACGTCTAATTTCCTTCCAAGCTTTGACCCATGGATATTTCACGCCGTTCAGATAGAGTGAGGATGTCTCTCTCTTGGTCTTCATGTGATGTTGATAAATGATCGACCAGTCACTTTTCTTAAATTTCTTGCGCACTCCCAGGTGATTGCGTAGCCGTGTCTCATAGATAGAGATGCTGCGTTCATATTGGTTAGCTAGAAAGGCCGGCATGGTGCTCTTGATGAGGTCTCACGGTAATGAAGGGAACTGGTGATCCCTTTCTAGAATTTCCTTCACCTCCTTGAGTGTCTTTCTCTCCTTCTGATACAAACGTTGAATCAACGGCCTATGCAGGATGAAGATATCGTCCATTGTGTGCAAAATAGAGAAGCGGGAGATGATAAAGGCACTGTCATCTAGGCTGAACTGGCCAAAAGAGCTTGATTAACCTGAATACTGAGTAGCGAATAATGGTTTGGTGAAGCTCTTTGGCAGTGTCGGGGTTATCTTTTCGGGAAGAGCTTTCGGATATTTATATTGTTTCATTTGTGGAAGTGAGGTGAATCCCTCAGGGAAAGATGGGAAGCTCTCGTCATCCATCTGACAAGCGCAATGCAGTAAGCTGCATCATTCTACCTTATGTAAAAGGCTATTAGAAGCCAATAAAACATGGGTTACACCCCCTCCCCTCAAGACCTGACAAATCATCGCTTGCCACAACCCCGCCTGTCCAAAGTCTTCGTGCATGAGTGGGTTGAATGGCAAGACACCAAAAGGCGACCTGGCAAATCATCGCTTGCTACGACCCTACGTGTCCAAAGTCTTCGTGCATAAGTAGGTTGGATGTCCAGTCACACGCAGGTGACCTTTCTCACCCCGCACATGATTGCCATCCATGTATGATTATAGTTGGACGGATGAGAGTTGGAGCATAGAAGAAAAACATCAATCAAAGATGCCAGACCTGACATCTCAACATGATGAATAGCGTAGATTTTTGACAGCGATGTATTTTGTCAGAGTTGGGGACACCTATGGCTTCATTTCAGTTATGGTATCCCCGAGAAGTCTGTCGTAGAAAGCGTACTAAGACAGTCATTATTTGACAGTTGATAAGCTTAAGTAGGTAGGGCTTTTGGTTGACAACTTGGTGACAAAGCGTAGATATTGCTAATTAATTTCATCATTCACGCATTTGCTGAAACCAAGTCCAGTTATTGATTACTCCGAGATAAATTGACATTATTTGGCGTATATTGCACAGATACGCCGTTAATATTGATACCCCTCTGCTACACTTAAGAGCTAGATGCCTTATCCAAGTTAGACACAAAGTTGGAGTCCTTCGCAGGGAACTCTGCCGATCCAAAATCGTACGTGTTGAGTGCATTCTGCATAGCGCTCGTCATCGTCGCCCAATCCAACACAGGCAAGTCGCGTCCCACGGTGCTAGTGAACTTGGTCGCGTGGTTCAGCGGCCAGGTGAAGTAGTACTCAATCAGGACATGGTTGCCATCCATGGCCGGGGAGGTCGACCTGCTGTACTTGCCGTGGGCGGAAGCGAACGCCTCCTCGAAGGCGCCGGTGGCCTTGTTCACGAAGACGACGGCGTTCTCCCAGTCGTGGCGGTGGCCACTGGTGAAGGCGGAGTCGGGGTGGTCCTTGGGCATGTACCAGGCGTACATGATGGCGATGCGGCCGTTGTACTCAGCGGCGCGGGCGTACGTCTGGCCCTTGCTCTCGTCTCTGCAGGCGCCACTGGCACTGCCCGATGCAGAGAGTCCGCCACTGCGTTTCTTGCGTTAGAACAGAGGTGCAAAAGGAATGTCTGTTAGCTCATACCTGACGTTTCCGGCTGAGTCCACGGCAGGGTAGGACTGGCAGCCGTGAGAAACATATAGGCGGGGTTCGAACTTCAACATGAGTTCACCCAGTGTGCCAGACTGAACAGCCTCGGGGAGGGGGCTTAGGGAATCATGATCGACAACAGCCCGCTTCTGAAGCGGAGCTGCCTGGATGGAGGCAGCGGAAAGCAGAGTTGTGAGGATGAACTTGGCGTGCATTGTAACGATAGTGAAATCTTGCGAGCACAGTTTCGTTAGAATATATTGTGTTAAGGTTGCTGAATCGTCTGTGACATCACATTGAGGGGGTCTCGACGTTTTATTATAGTTATCCGCAAGGATGTGACCTTCCCGTAACGAACTACCTACCTAACGCTTCAAAGAGCACACCGTAGGGTCCACAGCATAACAGGGACGAACAGTTGGAACGTGCCAAATGCCGAACGATATGGCGTTCGTTCTCACATCGACAGGCGGAGACTACGATGTCACCGGTAGAGGGTTACATCAACTGCCGAACCAATTATACTGCCCTCGCAGCCCTCATGGTACCCCGGGCTCAGGGGTGTTCTACAAGTCAAAGAATGGTTTGCTTCTGTCTCTCTTGTCCAGCCCAAGCTAGGCGACGCGTCATTTAGTTTAGCGTGAACGTCGCAGTAATGAGTGAGCTATATCGGCACTAGGAGCGTATTTGTAGCGGTCGCCGGCCTTCCGCGATGGTTTTGGTCTTAGTGACGGTGTTAAACACTGAATGAGGCAACCTCTTTCCGGCCTGCCTGAAATGTGGAGATAGTGTGTTGAATCGATGCCGAGGCGGTCGATGCTGAAGAAGTTATCAATCTGATGGCCTGATGTAATGTATGGTAGAGCAACCATTATTTACGCTTAGTAGCCCACCTATTGTGGGATGTGCGTGCATGAATTTCTCACAACGCAAATCCACTGCAAGAACACACATCACTCAAAGAGAGACAGAAGATGGGCATAAACCAACCAGTGGATGGCCAAGTAATTAACATAGGGTACTACTGTATGTACTGAGAGAAACACCATGTGACGATGAGTCAAGATGTGATTTGAGGAGTCCCTGAGACGAACACAGTCAGAACTGTAGCATACCTACACCCCAAAGGTTAGCTAGGTCGCTTTTTCGAAAGAATATGGGAGGATGAACATACGTCGAGCCTGCTAGGATGAGTTCCATGGTTCTAGATTGAGTCAATATCGAGACAATCAAAAGATAGCAAACTGTAAACGTCAAAACAATGACTATTCTGATCCAGTTTGAATCGGTGGTGCTGCAGATTACCACCGGCAACAAGAGCAGCAAGGTTATCAGAAACAACAGGAGTGCTCGAGATGTTCGCTGTACCAGGGGGCCGGAATCTATAAATACATTTGGGTCGTCCGATAGATCATGGGATTTGTTCTAGTTGTTTGTTAATTTTTTTAGACGATAGTCAGAGGATTGACATACATACCCTTCGGAAACCGGCATAAAATTTGATGAACATGTTTTCAACCCAGGCCTCGAGTTTGACGGTTGCATTATCGCCCAGCGGCGCAAGAGAAACCAGTTCTCGACTCGAAAGATATGCTGTTTCCTCCCTAGCCAGAGACCCCGTGCCGTTCACCCAGTTTCGAAGGCTATGCACATCTCTTTCCTGAGCAGGGAATAGACTCAACACGCGATTCGTGCGCTCGAGATATCGATCTATGATATCCAATAAGTCGATTGAATCAGCCCTTGGAATCATGGGAATATACCGTATTCTTCGAGGCAGGTCTCTATTTCCGCCAACACTTCCTTGCGGGCTTCATTTCTGTCAAATCGACTCTTTCCGAGGAACAGCGGAGCAGGTTCCTGTTGGTCTATCTCCTCAAGTCGCCTCTCTAAGATATCCAGACGGTCTTGTTTCAGAAGCAAGAGGCGCGCGCGGAGCTTGTTGAACGGTCTACATACGAAGTAGGGCTTGTGGGCTGAGAGAAGGGCTGTGTATCGGGGGTACCCCTCACGATACTCCTCGACTATTCCGCGCGTACCACACGTTAATATTCAATTTCTTAATGCAATGTAATGGGTCATTGAGGGAAAACAAACTTTTTTTGGGTGGGATTGCCTGGGTAGGACGGGGAGGGGTTGGGTTCCATTGGGGAAGACACGATTGAATGGCCTGCATTCTATTGAAAAATTTCACAGCGTGTGCCCAAAGAGTCCCCGGCGTTGGTCCTTTCAAAAAATAAGTGAATAAAATTTAAAGAGGAAAAGAGGGCACATCAAAGAGTACCTACTAACTAGCTTACCCTCATGATATGCGACCCATGCCATGAGTAAGGCGGGGTTAATGAGGCGAAGTTCTCGGGCATGATTGCATTGACCTCTGACCGGGTCTCGTATCTGCCAATGAAAAGTTTATACACTTCATCCTGCACGTCGGTTAGGCAACAGTTACGGGGAGCACTGCCTCGACAGTGGGACAACGCACTGTCGTCTCACCAGTCATCTTCCCCCTCAGTCTTCTTAGGCCAGCGCACATCATTTCTCGGCAACGAGCCTCCACTCTCACCGCCTATAAACTTTGTTTATCATATGTCAGAGGCCACGAAAAGATTTCCTTTTCGTCACATTTTTTCACTCTCGGTCTATCCGAGTATACAGCCGCAGATGGACAGTGTCACGCCATTCGGTGTCTGCCCAGCAACCACGCCGTTGCACAACCATGTCCTCCAGAACTCCGACAAGCTGTAAAATCCTTTAAGGCGAAGCAAGCTTCCTCTTTGAGACTATCACGGGGTTACAGTGAAACATAAATTTAGCAAGTTGATGCGCAACACCGTGGTGCGACTAGCTAGCAACACGTTTCAAGTTCTCAAACGCCCTTTGAGGAGGATGATTCGGGCAATTCGTGGACATCTATCCAGTTTCCTCCTAATTTGCTTAGGTGAGCTTGTTGGCAACTTTGCCCGAAATTACAGAAATGACTATTAAGCCTTGCTTAATTCAATGAATACATCCCCGTCTGACCGTTCGTCTTACGGGTTTCAGGGCTTCGGTGTGATGATTGGCTATCAATTTCAGTACTTTTTGTACTTCCAAATTGCTCTGTTGATTTGGCTTATCTTTGCGCGAATTTGTCCTCCTTCAGTGACATCGAGAATCCTGAGACTTAAACCCTCTCGGCGTTGTCGAATCCTCCACGAGGCTGCATAAACGATATGTCTATCATGGTACCTCGAAAGAGAATGTATAGGCAACTTTATAGTCGTATGCGTTGCTCTCTTCCCTCTTCTCATAAGTAAGGTAGCTGAAGAAAACCTACACGTCTGAGACAGAGAATATCTCCTACTAGGAAAAATAATTTACCGATCCCTACTCTGTCATACTATCTGTCTATTAAATAAATCGTTTAGCAGTTTGCACTCGTTAAGGAAGAGCTGCTTGGGGTTATCTGATGTGGATACTACCAGAGGGTTTTTGAACCAACATATTATGAGCTCCAGAGGTCATATATGTCATTGTTGGAAGTGAATATGAAAAAAGAAGACCTCTCCCGGTTGGCAGACGATCAATATGTTGTCTTGAGAGTTAACAAAATCACTGCTTCAATTCAAATGCTGATACTAATTGCTCGCTAAAAATGAGAGACTCGTGAAAGTCTCGACGCACCACGCATGTTCACATAAGCGCCATTCACCATCAATGCAAACGTCATTGCTTCGTCGTTCTTCAAGGTTCTCAACGCCAGCAGCACGTCAAACAAACCGAATGTCAGGCCCACATAAGAAAAGGCAACAAGAAACCAACCATAGAGAATGCCACAGCACCATAGGTAAATGTTAGAGGAGCAGCTAGAATTCCGGTCAGCGATTGCAGTTGATTGAATGGGTTTGGAATCTTGCGGGGAAGTCTCACCTCGGCTGTTGTCATTTCCATTACTTGTGCCGTTGTCTACGCCACCAGAACCAGTGCGATGGGCCGCTGCTTTGACCTGGCTGGCGTATGTAGTGTTGATTCCGAAAGCGAGCCAGGCAAACAATCCGTCACTGATGTTGTCTCCAAGCAAAGTATAGGCCATTACCGGATCGACACCATTGGCTTCCTCCGAAAATATGCTATCGGCGGAGTTGGTTGTTAGTTGCTGCCGATTGGTGGAATATGGCGAGAGCAACTCGACAGCCGATATGAGGTCCTGGTCGAAAAACGTCTGTCCGACGTGGCTGGCATAGGTATCCCCTTCAAGGGTGCCGTTGCTCAGCTCCGTCACATTAGTGTGAACCATGATATGGATATGCGTCGCGCGGCCTCGGTAGTGGCCCGGGAAAAGAGTCTCGAATTGTGCGACACCATCGGCGTCGGTCTTTTGGATTCCTCGAAGGAATGTCTGGTTGATATTGCTTGCATCCGAAGAGTCGCCATTGCCGTTGGCGACGACGCCAGAGTAGACACCTGTCGAGTTGCAGTGCCATATCTCGACATACGCGTCAGGGATGGCCTCGCATGAATCAACGTCAATCACCTGATAGTCGAGCGTAATGCTGACGCCCTTCTGTCCATCAACCACGTTCTGCCGAATGCTCTCTCCCGACACGTCTGCCGGTGACGATTAGTATCTTTTCCAAGTATCAATTGAAAGCGGGTAGAACCTACAATACGGGCCCTGCGTTACTTCGGGTGTGAGTACGCAAGAGTTGTTGGCAGCAAACAGCATCGAAGATGGGGTGTCAACCGTGAAACCCAAGTCGGTCTCATTATGCGACGTCGACAGCACACTGGCCGCATCACGACTCTGAAGACCGCGGACTTGTCGCGCTTCTTCAACAGCGGCAGCTCTGCGCTGAATGTTCCGAGCCTCCACGCCCCGCGCCCTCAGTGTCTCGGAGCAATGGCCGAGCGAGGCAGAGCGGACCGAGTTCCTGAACGATCGTCGCTCGAGGATCTCCTCGGTCAGATCATGACCGGGGTGAGCCAGCGCGAAACCGGCGAGAAGAATGGCCGCGTGCGCAGCGCTAAATACCTTCATGGTGCCTGACACTTGCTTCCGACAGGAGCCGTCGTGGAACTGAGCTTTGAGTAATGATTAAGCTTAAGAGGAATAGAAACGGCGCTGTCAATTGAATCAAGCGGGAACCTTGTCTTTAATTGATCGGATCGTCTCTGTCGGCGATGGACGCGTGGACCAAGACCCATTTGCGGACTCCGCTCTACGGATCTGAAAAGGCCATCAGGGGCGCAGCCAGTTACAAGCGAACGGAATGTCTGCAGGAGCCCACGTCTGTACGAATCTGGCTCTGGGAAGATGGAGATGAAGGACGAACAAATCCATTTCGGCCAACCTGGGGCAGCTCGAGGACTAGCGCCAGCTGAATCGATGAGCCTACGCGTCCTTTTCACGATGACCGCATTGGCCAATCAAGGCCTGGCATTTTCCAATGGCGCAAGGGCGTCAGACTCAGCCCCATCGGTAAGCTGCTCTCGTGACGTGGCCAGGGCAGACGACTCTCGCTTGCTCTTCAGTCTGCCTGTTTGCCTTTGGGGCGTTGTCATATTGGAATAGAAACAAACTTAATGGACGTTCATGTTTGTCGTTAAGTGGCACTTGTTTATGCCGCTGGACGGGCTTGGCTTCTGACACCCTTCCATGTTGTGAGATTTGCTTTAATCAAATCCCCGAGAGAGACCAGCTGCTTCGAATTAACATGACGCAGCCCACCCCGAGTGTATTGTAATCAGACTTAGGTAACTTGACATCCGTTCGGGAAGAATAAAGACTGAGCTAGGAGCCTTGCATTAGTTTAATTTCTGGAGACAACAGGCAGTTTTGAGGAGATACTTCACCGTTGCGTGCCAAGATATAGGGTAGGTGGCCATTTCGCGGACCTTGCTTAAGAATGGGAACAACAAGAATCCACAGACGGAACTGCTGAGTAATCTTAGTCACGTGCGGCATATGCTCAATTGGGCATACCTTGGCGGACCCGATAAGGTACGTACCGTTACCTCGGGCTTCTCGGTGAACTTACCCCGATCTGTCCCAATCCAACAAATCCACGTGAAGAGAGGACTGAACATCCCCGATGGCCTGTTGAGTCTCGAGAACTAAGTACGCAAACTCGGCCTCGGCCTTCACTCGATTGAAAGGGTCTTTGCTCCGGGGCTGGACCTCTAGGCGAACCTTCCTGACGCGATTCAGACGTGCCATCGCTTCAATCAGCACGGAATCGGCCTCCTCTTGACGAGAAAGGGACCTTGCCGTTCTTGTGGCAGTAAGAACAGGGCATGTCAAATTATGAGGTGGAATATCAGACTTCGAAACTTGAGCAGAGCCCTGGAAAGACCCGGCGCTGTTCGATTGAGCCCTTCCGATACCTAGGAATACTACAGTACATATGATCCCTCCTTCATACTCCTTACAGCCGCTCTTTTCCCGACGACTTCTCGGCAGCCTGCTTTCGTTCGTGGAAAATGTCGCTGGCAATACGGAGAGCATCTCTTCCGGCAGGTACGCCACAATAGATCATCGTGTGCCTGATGATTTCACAAATTTGTTCCTCAGTTAGCCCGTTCTTGAGCCCTGCCCAAATGTGAAGACGGAGTTCTGGAGCTCGGTTCAAAGCCACAAGCATCGCAATGTTGATCATTGATCGTTCTCGGAACTCAAGACCTGGTCGGCTGTAGCTGGAGAAGCATACTTCAGCAATGTATTCCCTTCCAATCGAATTGGGAAGATCATCCCGCTGCCACTCATGTCAGCTCAGCTAATGATGTATGTATGCAGATAATTTTTCTGCTACCAAACGTACCGCATCTTCCCCGATTTTTTGTAAGAGTTCACCACCGAAAAACTCGTGCGCTAATCTTGCGCCAGTAGCGAGTTTATCGTCAGACATTTTGATGTACGGCGTTCGTGCAGATTAGAGCTGTTTGATGTGTAAAGATGTTCCCGATGGCTCAAGACTTTAACGATATTTAACACTCTTCATTGTAAGTGGGCTAGCTCATATACTCTCGTCTGGTACCGAATGCCGAACGAGCCAATCTCGGTACAATGCCTTCGTATCCGAGAGCTTCGGCATATTTTGTCATGCCGAAGTAGCCGGAGTTCTCTAGAACAGGCGAAGCTTTTTCGATTTGCAGATCATGCAATAGGAGGACTAAAATGCACCTTTGTATGAAGAAAGAGCATCGTATGTACATCGCTCACATCGGGGCATCCCTAGGTGACATCGGAGGCACGAATTATGGTGTTTATGAAATTTACAAAACATGGCGGTCTATTCCACAGGCTATTGCAGAGATTTGAATTGAACTATAGTAGAGCATAGGATGGATATTTTACAGCTTGAGTAAGAGTTTTCCGTTTGTGACCCGGGCCTCCATGTCTTTGTGTGCCTGTGCAACCTCTTCCAAACTATAAAGTCTCGTAGTGTTCACTTTGAGCTTGCCTTTGTTCAGTAAATCAAACACCCCATGAGCGTAAAACTCAAGCTCCTTCCTTGTAGCTATATACATAGGCAGCGTTGGCTGGATGACCGATAGATTCTTCGCACGGATCAAGGAAAGATCCAAAGGAGGAACTGGCCCACCTGTTGAGGGGACGTGATGTTAGAGATGTTCGTACCAAGACGCGTAATAAGCAACACTTACTTGCACTTCCGTAGAATACCACCTTGCCTTTCCGCTTAGTAACTTCGATGCTGCCTTTCCAGGTGTCTTTTCCGACGCTGTCGTAGACCTGATAAACAAATAAGCCGTTGATTTTGGACACGAGAGGGTTCACCATTCCACGCATACCGCGTCGACACCTTGGTTATCCGTGAGTTGCAGCACTCTCTGGACCCATCCAGGTCCATTAGAAGCTCTGTAGTCAATCACATGAGCTGCACCCGAATCAAGAGAGATAGCACACTTTTCTGCCCCTCCGGCCGTCGCGATGACATTGACCCCTTCGTTGTGCAAAATCTGGCACAAAAGAGAGCCCACACCGCCTGCTGCGGCATGAACTAGGACTGTTTGACCTTTCGACGCCGGGAATGCCTCTTTGACGAGACTGAGAGCGGTCATGCCTGCCAGATGGCTCCCAAGGGCGTCCTTATCGGAAACTTCTGGAGGAACACGGATTGCCCGCGCAGCAGGGACGATGGTAAACTCGGCATATCCAGCTTGGCCTGCCCAGACAACTCTGTCTCCCACCTTGAACCCGTTGGTATTGTTTTCATGAGCGGCTACCACAATGCCGACCCCTTCTTGGCCGAGAATTAGAGGATATCCCGAGGGCGAGGGATACATCCCAGTCCTGAAGTATATATCGACGAAGTTGAAGCCTGAAAAAGTGTTGCGGACTAGTAGTTGGCCATCGGTGGGCTCAGGTGTAGGCTGTGAGTCGATGTACTGGAGCTTCTCGGTTCCACCGATGTCAGTGAGGACGACAGCCCTCATAGTGGCAGGGACAGATTTGAAGGTTGCCATTTCGATTTCATCAAGGGCTCGAAAGCTCTCCGTTCTCGAGTAAATTTAGCAGCTGGCTGGCCCAAGAAGATGACAGGGTTTCAGTTGTAGTTGTCTGGACATTGCACTGACTTATGTGCTTGCACTACGATTAGTACCGATAGCATGTCTACCGAGAGGAACGAGTCAGTGGCGTCCGCTTCTTCGGCTGCGGACTCGGCACAATTATTATGCCAACTGCCCCAGAATTAAGGGAGTTCGGAGCATCTTTTCGGTGGAGATGCCGAGGTGGATTCTTTCCGAAATGCGGGGAGACTGTCTGGGGAAGACGCAATTCATCTTCAACTTCAACATCCTCGCAGCGTAACAGGCAGAAGAGGGGCCCAACGGCCTCATAAAGACACGGTCCATCAAAAGGAGGCCTCAAGATTAGCTGGCATTAGCATATGACCGCCACCGAGCGCCATATTCCGCCGGCTCGCCCCTGGGCATGGCGGTGAAATGCAGCCAAATAGCCGGGACCGGGCGCGTATGGTTTGTACCTACTGCCATGCCAAAAAGGTCTGCCTACCCACTCATAATCAAGTGTTTCTTCTTACTAACAGTGCTAAAAGATCCGTTGTGACCTCCAGGACAGTTCCACGGGAGCATGCCGGAATTGTCAGCGTAACAACCAACCATGCATGTCAGTACATTGATGTATTATGCATTTGAAGTTCAGAATGGTTCAATCAATATTGACTCCCGGATATTCTAGACAGAGAGATAGGACTCGAAGAAAGTCTAAACCGGCACAACGACGTGGCTCGCCTCTTGTGACTGCTCCCCAAGGCTCAGGCTCGATCCCTTCACCGACACAGTCCAGCCAACAAACCACACTTCCTGTTCAAACACTTGCAACACCACTGACAACAGTAACGACCGCATCCGATAGTCAGAATGTATATCTTTCTCCCAGCACGACGGCAGAGACCGGTTATCTCGCATCACATTCAGTTTTGCTCTCTAGAAACACTAACAGTGCCTCCCGGCACTTGAGCTCTCCCGCGCAGCAGACATCCGCTTTTATTCTAAGCCCAGTAGATGCGACTGTGCTGCCAAAACTGCTGCTCCGTCAGGCGCTAATCGATTCCTACTTCTCGAATCTCAGCCACGCCTATCCGGTGATTGATCGGCATGACATCTCCGGACCCGAGCCCTCAGTGCTACTCACCCAGGCCGTTTGCTTGGCAGGTAGCATGATGCGGCGTACTGGAAGCTCAAAAGATCTGGAGCTCTCTCGAGATCTGTACGAAAAGACCAAGTTTCTCATCTACTTCAACTATGAGCCTTGCCGCTTAACGGTGCTGAAGGCAATGTGCCTCTTGTCAATTTGGAGTCCGAATCCCTCAAACACGACGAGTCTGGACGGTCCATGGCATTGGTCAGGCTGTGCCATTCGAATGGCCATCCAGCTCGGCATCCATAAACAGTCCACCTATGCTCAATGTCGAGACTCTAAGTATCGTAGGCGGATTTGGTGGCATTTATTTGTGTGTTTCTCCATCTTGACACATTGAATGTAATAGAGAACACCGCTAATATCGTCTTTTAGTGCAGTGATCGCTTACAAAGTTCTTGCTTCGGCCGACCGATGGCAATTCAGATCAGTGACTTCGATGTGGCTCCTCCTTCACTGTCTGACTTTTCGGAGCCCAGTCTCCAAGCCAAAGCATTCATCGAGCACGTAAAACTTTGCAAGATTATAGGTCGCGTCTCGCAGCTACTGAACAGCGGTGCGTCACTCAATTCCGACGAGAGCTCGGCGCTGAAGGCGTCTCTCTGTCAATGGATACGCAGACTGCCCCCAGAGCTCTCCCTCTACGATGCAGTGGGTTTGCGTCAGCCTTATAAGAAGGAAGTTACCGGTCTGCACTTGGTTTATTTTACTGCCATCGTTTTACTACAGGCCGCTACGAGAGGATACAATTCGCAATGGAAGGCATCCCCGATTTCTCTTCTTGCTTCGTCCTGCGTCGCTCGTCTCTACGAGGAAACCCAACTCCGAGAGGATGTATGTTTCCTTATTCATATTCATAGCTTCTACTGCATGGTTGGGGCTATACCACTACTATATTGGCGAACACGATCTCACAATAAAGAGAGTTGCCGCTTAGAGGAGCTGGGAATCTTGCGTTCAACGGTCGAACAACTCTCCACGAGGTTTGGCGGCGCCGGCACAGTGCTGCGTAATATGGAAGCCCTGGAAACCGAGCTGCAGCAGAGAAGAAGCGACAGCTCCATTGATGACATGATGCAGGCTGAAGAGAACATTCTCGCGGGGGATGGAGAACAAATGGAAGAGCTTTTCCCATTTCCTCCTGAGCTCTGTCCCAATATGGATTTACTTAATACTGCTGGAGCTACCCGGATGGAGGAGTCACTGAACATCACCAATTCATTTGTACAGGACCTGCCCGAGTGGATTTTCGGGGACGCTTCATCTTTCTCGGGCATTTTTGAGAGCGAAATAGTGTAGGACTGGAATTAGTAGTATCACGAGTCTCTCCAAGTCCCGTATTATGAACCAGTCTCAAAACCCCAATCTTGGTCATGGGTTACCAAAAACAATTGGTCTACAGTTCCAACGCCCATAACTCCAATCCGGTTCTGCGTCGATGCCCCCGACGTGTCATAGACGTCATTCGCTTCTGCTGAACAAGAGGGAAATGCCGAGATAAAAAAAAGAACTTGGTTGTGCCGAATACCGACTGCCGAATGCCGTCCCGCTGAAGTGCCGGGTTGGTACAATGTGTTGAGCCGAACACTAATTCTTGGAGCATTCAACTTCTGGGCTAGGTTTGAGCCGGATACGTTTGAGTCAATAACAAGGAGATTCTCTACAAGCGGCCTCGCCTGTAATGGCTCGGCTAAGATTCAACTTTAGGGGCCCGGAGGTAGTCACAAGATCGAAGTACAGCAATGGAAGATCAGACATCCTTTTCGGCATGTCTGGTCGTTCGGCTCTTGTAGACAACATGAATGTTTTTGGTGTCATCTAATGCTAATAAGAGATGTATGTTTTTTTACCGCAAATGAAATCCAGAAAGAGTTTTGCATTGGTAACCAAGTCTACCGTCCGCTCAAGTTATAGTGTTCCAAACGTGTTCTACATCTTCCATCTAAATGGCTGCACGACTAGCCAAGCTTGCTGACCACCTCCATGGTGCTCCAGCCAACGCAACAAAAGAGCAGTATGAAATCCTGGAACAACCTCTGGGCACCACGCAGCATGTACGCCTTGTCTGCATCGGTGCAGGAGCCAGCGGAATCAGTTTGATCCATACTCTCAAAGTACACCTTACCAATTATGAGATTACAGTATACGAGAAGAATCCCGAAGTGGGAGGAACATGGTTCGAGAATCGTTATCCGGGGTGCAAGTGCGACATTCCTTCCCATAACTATCAATTTTCCTTCAACCGCAATCCCCAGTGGAGCAGCTTCTTCTCCCCCGCTCCTAAGATCCAGGAATATCTATGCCGCGTCTGCGACGATGAGAATATGCGAGAGGTGATCAAGTGTGGGCACAAGGTTGTTGGAGCGCGGTGGGAGGAAGAGGCGGGACTTTGGAGGATCAAGGTTCTGAATGACCAAACTGGAGACACCTTCGATGACTGGTGCCATTTTTTGCTCGATGCCAGCGGCATTTTGAAGTATGTTTTATTACCCCCCCCTAAACCTTTATCCTCCCAGACGAGCTACACGAGGCGTCAATCTTGGCTTAACTAAGACGATGCAGTAACTGGAAATGGCCAGACATTCCTGGAATTCAGTCTTTCGCTGGCGATCTGGTCCACAGCGCGAACTGGCCAGAAAATTTCGACTGGGCTGGCAAGAAGGTTGCCCAGATTGGAAACGGCTCTTCTGGAGTACAGATCCTGCCCCATCTACAGAAAGGAAAGTGTGTGCTTGCTTCATAGCGACTCTCGTTACTAACATCCCATGAAAACTAGGTGCCACAGAGGTTGTGCATTTTATCCAGGAGCCAACTTGGATCGTGCCTCCGCGGGTGGCAAGCCTGGCTCAAGGTAGAGCTGCTGACACAATGAGTCAAATCGAGCTTAATGAGGAAGAGGAATTCATGCCATCTCAAATCGAAAAGTTCAAGGCCGACCCTGAATTCTATTTGAAGTTTATAAAGGCCATCGAGGTCGAGGTCAACGGCAATTTCCCAATTGTGAGCCCAACCAGCCCTGGCGAGTGAGCTTAGCTGACCCTTTCTGTCTTGATGTAGGTTCTGAAGGACACTGACTATGCCGCTGCTGTCACACAAGGAGTGACCAACTACATGTCTGGCTTGCTGGGAAACGACAAGCGCCTTTGTAATGCTCTCATTCCCAAGTTTGAACTCGGGTGTAGGCGACTTACCCCTGCAGTCGGCTACCTCGAGTGCCTCCGCGCTCCCAACGTAACAGTTGTGACCGATAGGATTGTTGAGATCGTCCCAAAAGGCCTACGTACGCTTTCGGGGGAGATGATTGAAGTTGATGCGATTGTTTGCGCAACTGGTTTCAACGTCTCATTTTGCCCTCGTTTCCCTTTGGTGGGACGAAACGGCAATCTCCAAGATACATGGACACGAGAACTCCCGAAAGCGTACATGTCTTGTGCAATTCCTGATATGCCAAACTATTTCAGTACGTACTCATCTCACAGTATGCCGAGCTTCAAACATCTCACCATGTGACTAGTCTTTCTGGGACCAAACGCTCCAATCGGACATGGCAGTGTGCTTACCATTAGCGAACACATCGCAAAGTACATCGTTCGCATCATCCGCAAGTGCCAGACCGAGGGAATCAAGGCTCTTTCACCCACCCACTCTGCAGTTGATGAGATGGCTGAGCATATTGACAAGTTTATGCCTCGGACGGCGTGGGCCGGGAAGTGCATCTCATGGTTCAAGAATGGAAAGGTAGATGGGCCAGTCACGGCACTGCATCCGGGAAACAGGATCCATTTCTTCCACATGCTTGAGCAGTTCAGAGGGGAAGACTGGGAGTACACCTACAAGCTGGACAGGAACCGTTTCAGAAATCTTGGGAACGGATTCTCAACTAAGGAGTTTGGTGACTCGGATTCAACGTGGTACCTAGATGAGCCAGACAAGTTGTGAGGGAATTTTACTGTGGACGTTGCACTTCATATATCGAATTTTCTCCGTCTTTCACAGCAATACGGAAATGAATATTACAAACTAGCATCATTGATGGTAATCAGATTCAAGTCATCATCTTCTATATTCACAGGATATTTATTTAGGAAAGTTATGACAAGAGCTCCAAGACAGTAAAGCCACGATTCAGTTCCATATCACTCAAATGGGTTTCGGTTTGTAGATGACCCGATCCTTGAGCAATCGGGGCGTGTCAGGGTCATGACTTGGCAAGACTACAACTTCCGTCTCCTTCGCGAATTCTTTGAGCAGTTTTAAGCTCTCCAGCGCGCCGATGGGGTCGTCGTTGATCCCATCCGGCTCCTCCTTGTCAAGCACGTCAATGCCGTATGTGGCGTCTCCAGGGAGGAGATACGTCGTCTCGATTCCGTCACGGCTGGCTCCATAGATAATCAGAGACATGTGTCCCGGGACATGGCCCGGGGAGGGGACAGCAACAATACGTCCGTCTGGAGAGATCTTGGCCGATTGCTTCCAAGGACCGACAGGACCATCGGAGAAGTCGAGAGTTCGAGGCTCGAACGGGTCCGGCCATCTGCTTGGATTGCAGCCTTGCATGGTGGCAAAGACTGGACTATTACCGAACGCTTCCCAGTGATCCTGGCTTACGTAGATAGGGACGTTTGGCGCTTCAGTGACCAGATCCAAAAGCCCACCGGCGTGGTCGCCATGGAGGTGGCTGAGCACTATCGCCTTCAGGTCTTTAGGCTCAAACCCATTCGCCTTGAGCTGCTGCACGATTCCGTCCTCCGGCCCAATGTCCGTTGTACTGAACATGCCAATTGGGCTCCAGAAAGGCTTGAATCCCGGGTCGTTGACATGGGGTGACTCGCCCGTATCGAACAAAATAGGGCCATTGGGGTGAGAGATGAGAAAGACGCCGATCGGGAGACTGTCGGACCACTGCCGATCAATCAGGGATCGAAATCTTCGCATCGTGCTGTTTCGATTGGTGATCGGTTGGCCCTTCATCGCGTGCTTGATTTTGACTGTGCCCGTGGTGAAGAATGTGAGCGTGATGGGCTGCTTGCTGTCACTCCTTGATATTTCCATGGCTGCTTGCGAGGGTCGATGAGACGTGGCGAGATTGAGATTTCGCAAATTCTGCCTTTATTTTAGATGCGACTTTGACAATCAACCATGGGCATATTGTACTTTTTGAACTGCCTCGATTCAAGTGCCGAGCGGACTTTGAGATCAATTGTGCCGATGCCGAATGCCGGTGGCGACTGCGGACTATCTTGTAGGTGTCTTCTCCGAGCAATCCGATTGCATGATTCAAATGTAAATTGCAGTTACTTTGTCCGTTATTGCGGAGAAGTGATAAACTACCCTAAAGCTTAGGTACAACAGAGGACCAGTCCAACTCCTTGATCGAATCTTCGACGCTCTTGATATTCTTCTTCTCCGCGTCATTCAGTAGATCCCAACCTTCAACCATGTTGATTCCCAGAGCCGTCTCATCCCACAAGCCTTCAGCTTTCTTACGAGCTATGTATTCGAAGAAAACCCACTGGCTTGCCTGTTCTTCACCCATGGCGCCCCAGAGCGCAACGTAATCCTGGACACTGAGCTGCACAACCTTCGTGGATCCCTCGGCGGGGGAAATCCCACTCGCACGGCCCCAGAGAGCGAGGTAGGATTCGAGTGTGAGGTCCTGTACATTGCATCTTACGTATGTGCCACCTGCCGGAGGTCTCTCCATGATTGCCCGGATGAAGACACCTGGATTGGTGGCGTGATCTCCGACACATGGATAGGGGGACTTGGGGTCGGTAGGGTAGAATTGAACCCATTTCTGTGCGCTTTCCTGTACGTTGTCTGGTCAGCTGGCTGGTCATGTTTCTGTGAGCACGCAAGGAAGTGCTTACAATCCAGACAGGGCGGAAAATGGGATACTGGTGCATATTGACGGCAAAAATTGTGAACAAGGTGAAGGTCGTTTTCTTGTAGAGACTTGGAAGATGCTCTTTGATGTACAAGTTGACCCGACCTTTCCCATCAAAGTGCGGAACAACAGCTTCGTTGTTGGTTAGGACAGACGTAGGGGGAAGCGTACTCCAGACATACGTCTGGAGAGTCTCTATCTTGGAGGCAGCCCTCGCCAGGTTGGTGCCGTAGGTGAACTCGCGCTCCATGGAAGCGTCCTTGCCAATCTCGAAGAAGAAGTCGTAGTAGTCCGTTACCGCGAAGATGGCGTGGGCGCCTTGGAACGCTTCCGTGAGGCTCGCCTCGTCTTTCTGGTCTGCTTGGACCATTTCCACCCCCTTCTTGACGAGGGCTTGAGCTTTTGCGCTTTCTGTATTGCGAGTCACGCCCCGGACGCGATACTCGGGGTCGTTTAGAAACGCGTTGACTACGCCGCCTCCTTGGCCCCCGGTTGCGCCAACGACAACGATAAGTTTCTTAGCCATCTTGATGTTTAACAGGGATTGGGGGGTTGGTTTCTCAGCACTTAGCTTAGAAGAAGCTTGCCAGTTACTGATATACACGGAGGCTTTTTAGATTGGATTTGAGTGGATAGGTCCATGTGCCTTCCACGACCCCAAAGGCCGTTATAAGTATCCGCACTAACGACTCTTGTGACTTTCTTCCTCCGGGTCCTGTGTTCATCCGCGGCGGAGCTCGGGGTATTGAATTCAAGTCTGTAATGGCGCTTTGGGGACCGGTATCTTTCCCTCCTTGCCGGCCAAGTGATCTAGCGGTCGGCTCTTTCGAAGAGCCGAAGCTCGGTAACTTCAGATCTTCAGCCGGCAGCCGGCAGATCAAAGTTGTGCCTCTCACTTGTCATTTCTGCCGCAGGTAAGCTCAAGCAAGCTCGGCTACAGTGCCATTGGGCGATCGAAAGTAAAATAGAATCTGGGGAAAGTTTCATCGGCTTTCTCATGAGTCTGGGGAAACGCGGGGTTCAGCCGCTGGTCCGGCAAGTATATCAAAGTCGTATCATGACCTTACGCCGTAGAATATCAGATCACCAAACCTCTTTATTCCACCCTGAACATATCTTATCATTTATTGAGATTCCCTCTAGTTTGTTATCAAATGGCTGTCCCTCAAGTAACGGATAAATATAGTCTCCCGGAAGCTCGTCACCAAGAGATAGCTGATGGAGATGCGGGAGTTCCTACCATCACCGACCATGGGGTTGTTCCAGGCCCAATACGGCACTTGAGCCCTGAAGTGAACAAAAGAGTACTTCGTCGTATTGATCTGGTTCTGATGCCGATCATGTTCATCTCCTATGGCCTCCAGTATATGGACAAGGCAATCCTGGGAGCGGCATCTCAGTTTGGGGTGGTTGAGGAGGTTGGCTTGTATGATGTTGTAATGGCCAACGGGAAACCACAAATTGACCTTACGAAGTTTTCTTTGGCCACCCTTATATTCTACTGGGGGTTTGCCGCAGGGGGTAAGATAGTATATCACAATTCCTTCAACTGAGTGCTCGCTCGTCTTGCTCACGTCAGTGGACAGCGTTCCCAGCATCTTTCCTCTCGAGCCGGTTTCCCATCGGAATATTTTGCGGGGCATCTGTTTTCGTATGGGGTCTTGTCACAATGGCTGCTGCGTTGGTTCACTCATATTCGGGCATGATGGCTCTACGGTAAGGCTGCCTCCGCTACCTACGATATAGAGATAAACTCGTACTGACTTACAAGCTTCAGATTCTTTCTTGGTTTCATCGAAGCCGCTATCCCAGCAGCGTTCTCCCTCATTATTGCGATGTGGTACACGCCAGACGAACAGCCTCTCCGATTTGCCATCTGGGTATCTGCAAGCGGTATCGGCGGGGTACTTGGTACTGTCCTCCTTTGGGGGGTTGGCCATATTAACGGCTCACTCAGCCCTTGGAAGTATCAATTTATCGTTCTCGGAGCTATTACTTCTGCCTGGGGAATCTTTCTCGCTGCTGCGATGCCGAGATCTCCTGCCTCTGCTTATTTCTTGTCTGAGAAAGATAGGACTTTGGCAGTGGACAGGATCCGCGCCTGTCAAACAGCAGCAAAGGATGAGGGCTTCAAGCTTCACCAGGTCAAAGAGGCTTTCCAGGATCCCAAGACATGGGCTTACATCTTCGTCACCTTCAGCTGCCAACTGGCAAATGGTGCTGTATCAGGATTTGGCCCTATCATCATCAGTTCGTTTGGATTCGGCCCGCTGCAGTCAGTTCTAATTGCAGGCTCCTTGGGTGGTACCTTATTCCTGTCAATGGTGGCAGCCGGGTATGTGTACCATAATGTCACAAATTTGAGCTCCGCTAAGATAATCACAGACTCATAACATCCTTTGTCCCCAATCAGAAATGCAATGTTGCGTTTGCTACTTGCTTGCCAATCATTATCGGGTGCGCCATCGTTTGGAAGGCGTCGTGGAAGTCTCTTGGAGTACCCCTTTTTGGCTTCCTCCTTGTGGGATTTTTTGCTACTCCCTACGTGATGATTCTTTCCCTAGTCACCGCAAACACGGCAGGCCAGACGAAGAAGGTTGTCGTAACTGGGTTGGTCTGGTTTGCATATTGTGTTAGCAATGGTGTTGCTCCGCTTCTTGTCAGGTCTACAGAGCAAGCGCAGCACTACCCTTCGCTCTTTATCCCCATTCTCTCTCTCCTCAGCGCTGGACTACTTGTTATTGTTGCACTTAGATGGTACTTGAGTGCTTGCAATAAGTTCAGGGAAGCAAACGCTCTTTCTAATGTGGGGATCACTCAATCTCCTGATGAGACGGCGTCTTTAGATTTGACGGACAAAGAAAACCCGAACTTCCGTTATCATCTCTGAGATAATATCAACTAGAGGACCACTCATTGTATTTAGCACCTGGCAATCTTTCAAACCCCTCTTATTATTTTCTGTTTTGATATTTATTTAGGGGCCAGAAAGTATCATCATTGGAGCTATCTTCTATTGAGTCTTAGTCGTGAATTGCTAGCTTGCGCTTCATAGGATCATAAATGGCGCCTCGAGGTCGTGCTGGGACAACAGGAGTGGTTAATCCAGGTTTGAGGTTGTCAAGATCCGTATGAAAAGCTAGCTCATTTAGAAAGTTGGCAACAACACGCGTGTGCCAATGGCCGCCGCCCGTCTCGTACCAGCAAAGATGACCCCCCAAGGAGGTAGTTAGAAGGACGGTATCAGGATTCTGGCGGAACTCCTCATACGGAAGAGCTTCCTTCACGGCAATCTAAGAAATGTTAGAATTCTAGTCGGTGTGGATGCCCTATGCGTGTTATCTTACGGGATCATCGGTTGCGTTGATGGCGAGGAAAGGAACTCTGATTGATAGCACTGCGTCTACGGATGAGGCGTCTCGATAGTACGCGTATTCGGTAGGATAACCCCAAGTTGGGCATCTTTGGACGGTCAGCATCGATCATACTACGATGTTGGAGACGGTTCGCGAACTCACTGAACTTCGCGATCGAATTCGTTTAGGTATCTTATCTTCTCCGTGGTCGAGGTGTCAAGGTTGGTGAACATTTTAAGCTCCTTTCGATGGACATGCATGAGCGACTTCATGCAGGCTAAGAGAGGTGGTCAATACTCTGTTCAAGCGAACCTGGTCTAGTAGGGAAGCATACTTCCCATGTAGCGTAGGTAAAACTCTCTGCCAATGACGCGAGCTTGGAGAAATTTGCTGGTGATCTCGAGATTGAAGGGGTTCGAGCAAACAACGGCTGCCTTGAGCATGCAGTCTGGCCCTTCCTCACCGCAGTACTATGATATAGACATCAGCTCGCTTCACATCCTTTCACGTCCACTGGCAGCTTACATTTGTAAGTATGTTGGCACCCAATGAGAATCCTAGTCCAAAAAGAGGTCTGTTTGGGAATGTCTCCCTCAACCATGTGACTGTCTGCCTTACATCCCATGTAGAGCGCGCATTGTAAAGCATGCCGCTCGTAATCTTGCTCCCTGCGCAGCCTCTGGAATTGATTACACAAATTTCCCATACACCTTCCCTTATCAGGGGAGCAATAGTATGGCGCAAGTATGTTTCGTGTGAGCCTCCTGACAGCCCATGCAGAACGACCAGCATTGGTTTTGTATCGAGTGAGCCTAAGCTCTCGAGCTGTTCGTTGATAAAGTAGCCCGTACGATTTGGGAGATCCGGATCTGCATCGTTGAAGGGTTCGACAACGAAATCCACCGCGAAAGATCCAGGATACAGTTGGTGGTCAGCATTGAAGACCTTCCGCCGGTAGTATACTGGCGGGCCGTGTGCTTCCATTGCCGCCCATATCGTCTGCATATGACCATTGAATAGCAGGGGACTGAGCTGGCACGGAGGTGTGGCCTCCTCAACGATCTTTAGAAGATCCGTCTTTTGGCCATCCTTGCCTGTCACAACTCTGGGTGATGGTGCGTGGGTGAACTCGATCGTGGCGCGGCCAATCCACTCCATTTTGGCGATACAAGATAGCAGAAAAAGGTGTCCTGGGGAAAGTAAGCCCCGAAGAATAGGAGGAGATGCTGGAGACAATAACTCGCAACCGGAGCCGGTGGCCGGGAAGCTCGCATGAGATTGTGATAGATAGACAAACTTGAAGCCAGCTCCCAAAGCCACCTATGATTTGTCGGAGTTTATACTAGGCCCGGGAGGATTGCGGAAGCTCTCAGCATTGACAATCTGCGGACCGCCCGGAACAACTCTCTAGGTCTACGTCGCTTGCAGCAGACAATAGCGTACATGACCGGCAACCGTAACATCGCTTGAAATTTGAGGACTGAAAGATTGTGACGTGCCCCTTGAACGATGCAGTCGTTGAGTTTGGCTATACTTACGGGTACTTTCGGACAGAAGTGCTGATCTTTACCAAGCCTGAGTCGCTTCTTCTCACCACCCTTACAAGGATTTATCTTTATTGCGCCCACCCTAGCTAACTGCGCTGTAACCATCCGAGAGATGTCTGCATTGACCCCACCGCAGGGGCATGGGCAATAGTATCACGGTCTAATGCTAAGGTAGTATGAGTCCCAAGGCCTGGTCATTCCTTGCAAGAAAGTCGTCACTACGCCCTTGGTCATGCTCATCCATCAGTTTCCCAAGTATATGTTTTGTCAGAGGCAGTACGAGTTAAGGTAACTATCTTCAGACAGTGCGTTTATTTGGCTCTCTTTGTTCGTGCACTACTAGAGCTCTCTAAGAAACAAAAACGCCATAATGTTATTCACTACTTTATTTACAACCACAATTAGCCGCGAAATCATAAGTTTGCACGGCGTGATATTGTTGTTATACTTGTCCCTATTTGCCGCCTTGGGCATATTGTTCCTCGTCATCGCAAGGCCCCCGCGAGATGAGGTTCCCCTTTTCAGACCCGCGGGGTCCTGGGTATCCTCCTACACAGCCAAGGTTTGCTCGCTTCACTCCCTTGGGACGATGTGATGTGAGGTGCACTCCGAATCTAATCGAGAGGAGCGCAGCGCCGGTTCGTGACATCCAGTCTTGAGCTTCTTGCAGAGGCTAGGAAAGCATTCCCAGACCGCATTTTCCGTATGGTGACAGATTTGGGCGAAGTAACGTTTCTCCCTCACCAGTTGGCCGAGGAGATCAAAAACGACCAAAGGTTCAGCTTTACGACTGCGTTCGAAAAGGTTTGTGCAGCCCAGACAGCAGGCACTGGGCACTTCAGCTTGTTAATGCGCGCTATGTGTTCAGGATTTCCATGCTGGGATCCCTGGTTTCGAGACTGCCGAGCTTGGCGGCCTTGAGAACGGGCTCCTACAGCTGATTGCACGGAAGCAGCTGACGCGAAACTTGGGCAAGTCTCATACCGTTCCAAGTGCAATGGACTACCCAAAGGCCTTAGTACTAACATTCAATCAAATACAGGAGAGCTTAGTATACCTCTGTCCGATGAGACGGCTAATGCTTTAGCCATCAACTTCGAATCACCCGGAGGTAAGATCCGTGAACCGACGCATTGAATTCAAGCTGCTGACACAAGCTGCCCAAGTGTGGACTGAAGTCGTAGCCAGAGACCGAGTGCTCGATATTGTGGCCCGCGTGTCCTCCCGCATCTACCTTGGCGATGAGGTATGCCGCAATGCGCGATGGTTAGCAATCACTAAACTCTACACAACTCACTTCTTCACTGCGGCTACCAAATTGCGCATGTATCCACGTATCCTCCGTCATCTGGTCCACTGGTTTATACCTGAATGCAAACTTCTCCGCTCGCAGTTCAACGACGCTCAGAAAATTCTACAGCCCATAATAAACTATCGCAGAGACCTACGCAGTGCCGCTCTAGCTACTGGTGAGCCAGTCCCTGAGTTTGGTGACGCTCTGGGCTGGGTTGAGCGAGAAGCCACCGCCAAGTCCGTCGACTGCAACCCCTCGATTTTCCAACTCCTGCTATCGACAGTGTCGATCAATACTACAGCCGATCTTCTCGAACAATGCATGCTTTCCATCGCCCAACATCCGGGGATTATCAGCCCTCTCCGAGAGGAGGTCCGTGATGTCCTGCGCCTCAGCGGTTTGTCCAAATCCTCGCTGTCCGACATGAAACTTTTAGACAGCGTCATCAAAGAGTCTCAACGTTTAAAGCCAACTAGTATCGGTGAGTAGAGTTACTTAAAAGAGGCGAGTCGCCGGCACGAGACTGACTTCTACCTTCACCAAAGCGGCCATGCGACGACGTGTTGAAGAAGACGTCACGCTCTCGAATGCAGTGACTCTGAAGAGAGGTACACGAGTCTACGTGGAAGCTTCTCGAATGTGGGATCCCAGCCTGCACCGTCACCCAGAGCAGTGGGATGGATATCGTTTCCTGAAGTTGCGGTCCCTTCCAGGCAGAGAGAGGATGGCCCAGCTGGCAAGCACCAGTCCAGACCATCTCGCTTTTGGGCATGGGGAACATGCTTGCCCAGGGCGATTCCTGGCAATCAGCGTTATGAAGATAGTCCTCTGCCACTTGCTACTCAAGTATGATTGGATGCTGTCACCAGGCACCGACGTCAAGCCGATTACAAACGGTATACTTGCCGTCGCAAGCCCTACGGCTAGGTTGCTTATCCGACGGCGTAGAGGAACGGCGGTTCCCGGTATGATTGAATAAAGGATGAAGGATGGGAAAGTGGGGGAAATCTCTGCGAATCACGGACGCAATGGAAACACGTTCCTAGATCTTTGCCCTCCAGATAACAGCAGGTCTATAGTTACGCACATATATGCGTAATAAACCTGTTTTTTTTCATGCGCTTACAGAGTAGTGACTTGTAAGGGAGTGATCAAAGGGCTGGATATCCAGTCTGCCCGATATAGGAATGTCACTCGGGCTCCCTTCCATGCCCGAACAAACAGAAGATGGCCTGACTTCTTCTGCCCGACCTGCGGGAAGTTATGATCAATTCTTATCTGATGGAGGGTGTTTGAGGTCTAGAACGCCACGGCGGGTTGCAGCGCAGGCCTATGCATGAAGCACATCATTGTCTCACCCCGGCCCGAAACCAAGATTTGCTTTCAGGGATAGTATAGACCTGCGCGAATAAACTAAGCCCCTATACCTTGTTCACCAGTTCCGCTGACCCGATACCAGAGCGAGTACTACGGTGCCCATGGCTAGTTTTGGAAAGTGACACTGGGCAAGGCAAAGGAAATGCCGCATCCTATCGCATTCACTTACAGTCGCGAGAAACTTCTAGATATCTGGGAATCTCGGTGCGCCCGGAACACGAGAAACTTCGTCAATGCGAGCTAGCCAATCAGAAACCACGTGAAGTAATCGTGATCGTTGTATCACAAGTGCGGGCTTTTCTTCTCACGACAAGAGCGCGTGGATGATCATTGAGAGTGCAGTTCCCCTTCTAGCGTGATGGCGTTCAGAGACTAGGGGGAACTAACGACTACAGAAGAGATTTGGAGTATAATGTTAGAAACAACAATAGAAGATACCAGACTTGCAGAGATAAAGAGAAACGAAACAAATTCATTTACGAGACTATTTGATGCAGATTGACTAACTACTTCAAGTAGCATGGCTAGAGACGGAGCTCGTATTCGCAGTAAGGAGTGGCACCAGCATTTCCCCCCGACTTCCCTAGGGAAATACTATCTAGCATCAGTGGCCGCCTAAACTGAGGCTGCCTCAGAGCTTGGAAGCCTTGGAATAAGGATTGCCTTCCAATGGCCGGTTGAAAATTGCATGGTGATGTACTGTCTGAAGTCAATATCTTGGCCTGAGACCTCGACAATATCGAACCTCGACAAGAGGTTAGCCGCAATCATCCTCATCTCAGCCCAGGCAAAACTAGAGTCAAAGTCAGCTCACGAAGCTCCCGTCGTCGTTCATGGAGACTGATACGTACTTAATTCCAATACAGGAATGCTTGCCAGCGGAGAACGGATAATAAGCATCTAAACTGTATTGACGTTAGTTTCATGAAATGGCTGTTCAAGGGGTCTGCCGTACTCAGCTGGGGGTGCATCTCCTCTCTCCCCGTCGGGAAGGAAACGCTCGGGCCAAAAGCGCAGAGCCTGTGGAAAGTACTGCTCGTTGCGGTGAAGGTCTCGGTAGGATGCCGAAACAACGGTATGGGGAGGAAGATCGTATCCTACCAGCTTAACCCATTGATCCCCGGTACGGCGACCCATTTCAGACGCAATGGGGTGCAAACGGAGCGTCTCTTTGATGCAGGCCTCGAGGTACTTGAATTGTGGCTCATTCCTGACAGATTTTGAAGTGACGATGTCATCATTCATGTCCAAGACGGGCAGGGTCTCTAGTAGTCGGGCCCGCACGCTGGGGTTGCGCGCGAGCTCAAGAAACAGGCAAGCAGTTGTTCCAGAGGTGGTCTCCGATCCCGCAAGGAGGACCTCTGACATCTGGTCAACAATGTCGCGCGTGTTCATGGTAGTGAGTGTGTCGGGCTTCTGGCCCTCGTCCACGAGATGCTGAAGCAAGTCGGGCCGAGCGAAATCGGCGCTCCGATGGCGCTTCTGGACGACAGCATCGATAGCCTGCGCCATGGCTGTCAGTCCTTTCCTCAACATGTACTCGGGCGTTTGGCTGAGGGAGGTCTTACCACTATCATCTCTTTGGGCCAGTCAAACTTGACATCCAACCCCATGGCCCTGAGAAATCTCTTGATATAGACTGTCTAAAGATGCAAGTATTAGTAGCTCTCATCGATAGTATTTGGTGTAAATGAATGACATACCTGGTACCTCTTACTGAGTCCATCGAAAATGGATCTAGGAATCGACTTCCAGACCTTCTCATCAACGCCATCTTCAATCTCACCGTCTGGATTCGTTTGCCCAAACCCCCTACCAAAGGAACATTCACCCATGCTATGTATCAAGTGTCAGCATTGCGTGGCTAAAGGCAGGAGCTCTGCCTTACATATCGAGAGCAACATTATGAAGATCGTCCATCAAGTCTACCTCATAACCGCTCTGGACCGGGCCAACAAGGCTGACATTGGCCCGGTACTTATCGAGCAAGCTCCTAATCGTCTTAGCAAAGAAGACGTCTAAATTATCGACGTAGGAGACTGTGAAAGCAGGAGATAGAAAGCGCTTGAGCCTTTTGTGTGGCATGGGCCGACTATAGGAAGATCAAGGCCGTCCGTCAGTTTTGTTTCATATAGTCAAGATGGGGGCATAGAAGCACTCAACACACATTTCACCAAAGAGACCAGGACTATGTCTGTCCCGAGAGATTTCGGCGTACATGGCCACTTTAGGTAGATCGACCTTGAGCAGTATCTGCTTCATAGCCTCTTTGTCAGAGATCCAGACCTGACGAGGCCCAAGGCGGACAATAGGTCCGTAGGCTTTGTGGCTCTGCTCCACAAGCTTCCAGATCTTCCCGGTAGCAAAGCCATACCGCAAGTGTATGGTAGTGAAAGGGCTATACCACGGCCCCGGGATGTGACGCAGAGGGGATCTAAGCGCCTTGAAAACCCCGTACAGGTACTGAAGGACCAAAACTGAGACCAAAGTCACACTGAGAATGGCAAGGACCCTTGTGACCTGCCAAAGAGGAAAGTTGACTTCCATGATGGAATAAGAGTAGGCGGTGACGTGAATATATCTAGATAATAGTATAGCTAGATGGGGAGGAGGAATTTGAGTTGTTTGGTCTCCGGGGAGGAAAGCGTGCACGTAATGCCCCTACTTATAGGCTGCCATCAGACACCCTATTTCCTTTGCGAGAATAGAAATCCTGTTTCCTAATGTAACTGTCTTATCTGAGTAGTACTCGCCTATTACCCCTTTTTATTATTTGCTATTTGTAATCTAGCTTTGCAGTTGCATCATTCGACTATGACGCATTAAGAGGATGTCATCGTTACGGGTAACTCTCGTTCTATATGAAGCGTGATTGTTCCTAGGGTCAAGACGAGATATCGTTGCTTCGGCAGACAAAGAACTAGAAACGATTATCATCATCACCAGTACGACTAGAAGCATTGGAAAAATGTCCCTTGACGGAAAGCCCCCTGGCGTTATTTCCCGCCATGACGAGGTCTGTTGCTCTCATAGACATTGAGGGCTACTGCTCGCTTGCAGCTCCCGCCTAGAACGATGCTAACATATTGCCGCGATCTAGGTGCCCGACATCAAAGTTCTTCGGAATAGTATCCCTACACACTGCTTCGAGCCCTCCGCAATGAAGTCTCTTGCCTACCTAGTCCGTGACTTTGTAATGGCTGGTGTTCTTCTCGTAGCTGCCATACGTTTGATACCGACCATTCCCTCTCCTACCGTCCGCGCCGCGACTTGGGTACTGTATGGATTCACCCAAGGCCTGGTTGGAACGGGGCTTTGGATCCTCGCCCATGAGGCTGGACACGGTGCGTTCTCAAAATATCCTCGCCTCAACGATTTAGTGGGTTGGATCACCCACTCTGTTTTGCTGGTGCCGTATTTCTCGTGGAAGTTTTCGCACCACCGACATCATCTGTTCGCTGGCCATTTGGATAAAGACATGGCCTTTGTACCAGAGATTCGAAGCAGTCGTTCCGAAAATATTTACGTATCGGTCATAGGCTCTGACCTGCTCGAAGATATTCCAATCGTGCAGTTTGTCCGCCTCCTTGTCCACCAGTTGTTTGGGTGGCCACTGTACCTGTTCTTCAACACTTCCGCAGGGAAAAGTAGCCTACAAAAGCCCACAAGCAACGCATTCCGCAAGAGCCATTTCGACCCTTTCAGTGCGGTCTTCCGCCAGAGCGAGGCCATCTATGTGGTCTACTCTGACATAGGGGTTGGGCTCATGCTTGCGGTCCTGTACTGGTCATGGGCAAAAGTGGGTTTCCTCACTCTGATGTTACTGTATGGTCAGCCATATCTTTGGGTCCATCATTGGTTGAGTAGGTTCCCTGGGAAGCTGCCCCCATCTCACAGGGGCAACGTTTGCTAACAAGTGACAAGTCGCCATAACATATCTGCATCACACGCATGTGGATGTCCCCCATTTTACAGCCGATGGCTGGACATTTGTCAAGGGGGCTTTGGCAACCGTCGATAGAGACTTCGGCTTCATTGGACGCCATCTCTTTCATGGCATCATCGAGTACCATGTAGTTCACCACCTGTTCCCGTAAGTCTACCAGGACTCTACAGCAGTCGGCCGCCGCAAAGTGCAATGGTCTTCTCTAACCTATTTAGCCGCATCCCGTTTTACCATTGCGAGGAAGCAACTGAGGCAATTAGGCCCTTGCTTGGGCGACTGTACACGCGTGACAACTCCCCCTTCCTCTGGCAACTCTGGACAACATTCAACTCATGCAAGTTTGTGGAGGATGACGCGGAGGAGCCTGGAGTGGCAAAGTGGGCCAGAGGGGGGTGAAACTTGTTAACATTCATACGTATGTTAGTTAAGGAGCGATGGGCCTAGCGAGAGGTTGTTGACAAGGGATATGGTACAACGCTCGTCATTAGCATGTAAGATGAGCAAAGAGGATCCGAAACTTAAGCGAGAATGGGGTGGGACCTTGGAGATAGGGAATTAAAGAACTTGGAATCAAGCAAGTCCCTACGCCTTCAGGCCGGGGTTTGATTCGACTGTCGTGTTCCGTACAGCCGGCGTATCGCGCTCGGCCCTATATTACGTCTACGAAACCTGAGAAAAGTTTAGTCACTGGACAAAAGGAAATTCTTACTACGAGCTTTGTCATGATGACCCTGTATGTCGCCACACGCCCCCCAGTTGCTGAGGCATAAATGTGACAAGTAAATATCTTCAACACCCTGTATCTAAAGGGTTGTTGTCCTCCATTGACACTACGTATAGGTGTGAACTATGAGCTATAATCACATAATTTCCGTAGTTTCGTTTCGAAGTTACCAGTGTTAGATAGGGTTGCCTGGTCCCTGCCGAGCTCATAACTATGACGGTTAAGCCGCTGGGGAAACAGAAATCCTCATACCAGCTTTCTGAGGTTAACCCAATATATCACCACAAATCCTACATAAGTTGATAGTTAGGTACTATCGCTCACATAGCAGGGTTCCCACATCTTCGTAGACGTTGAGGGCAGGGCACCAGCTACGATAGTTGCATCAGAGTGACATTTAGGGGTTGGCATACCAGGAGACTGCCGCAAGCTACTGCAAGAGTGACAGCTGTGCGGGGCGGCCCGGCCCTGGTAAACCATCCATCCCAGAGGCCAAATCGAGGAGCCGGACCGCCGGACCGTTGCCGGAACTAATGCAACCTATCGGTTGAATCCGTGACGTCTACGGACTTCGACCGAGAGCGAGGGTAGCGAGTCAGCTCGGGTTGATGGTGTCTCCGGCCCTAGAGCTGGGATGCATGGCGATGCCAACCCCAGTCGAAACCAGCCCGACCTTTGGGTTACATCCCATGGTCAAGATAAGGTCACCTTACCGGCCTCCCCCAGCACCGGAGTGTGGGGGACAAGTAGCCCGCTGGGTAGATGAACCCACCCCCGAGCATACCTGGATCGTTACGGTGGAACGGAAACCAGGATGCTTGCTGTGGATAGCAGCAGCACACGGACAATCTTCCCTGATCTTGCCGTGTCATATGTGCCAATATTCGACGTAACTTTGCCAATGTAGCATTGCTTACGGGCCTTTTTTGTGCGTATGCCGGATCGCGCGCGCTTGAGATCATCTGCTCGGCATATCTAGACACTATCTTGCCCACAATTGCTTACTCTCCTATTCCACGTGGCCGCATTGTCCAGATTGACTGGTCACTTTTTGCTCGCTTCTGGCTCGGCAGCGACCAGGAACTACCAGGTTGTTTGGGAGGTTTCGTTTTGACGGGGGCTATGACATGCATACAGCATGTAATACACTTCGCTTACCGCTTCACTAAGATAGAGCCTATCAAACGCCAGACAAATGAATGCATAGAAAAGACCCCTACGCAAAGCTTCCTTGTAATCTACTCGGCTAGGAAGAATTCCTAGACTTCCCTCCGTCCAGAGAGGTGCATCCCATGATTCGACGGACGGTGCCCGAGGTATGGCGTCTTCTGGCAATATATCCCCTAATGATTAGGCCATACGGCTACTTCGGGAAGTTTAGGAATGCTCTCTCGTTGAGCTGTACCTGGGAATCGTTTCGAGATAGGAACATAGCCCGGGGCATAGTTGACTCACGGCATTGCCGAGGTTGTATTCGAGAATCAGATGAGTATAGTCTTGGAGTCAAGCAGGCTCATGATTGCGCGGTTTGAAGAACTACAACAACAGTTAGCGGTACCTTTAGTGCGACAAGCAAGTAGAGACGCACTTGGGCATTGTGCGGATCGCGAATGGGAAGAGCTCCAAGGTAGCCCATCAATATCACATTGCCAAAATAGATGAGATTGCCAATAGCTGGTCCTAGAGAAGATTTCGTGGACGGGTGACACGGCCCATGTAATGCTGTACCCTTAAGACACCCTCGTCTCCTGCCTCCTTCGCAGCCTCATAGGCTAGACGATAAACATGTAACGCTTCAGAAAACAATGGCCTATGGTCTTTCCATCCCGTGACTGTCCTCAGCTTGGTAGAATCCACCCATTGAGGGAAATTGACCAACATTGGCATCCAGAGTACCGCTTCCTGTCCCTTTGGGTCGACATATTCAGGGTCGCCCTGAATATTGTACTCGGTAATCAGGGCTCTAGTGATTTCGTCCACCGTTTCGTACCGATGTGAGGAAATATTAAAGACCTGGCCGATCACCTCGTCCAATCGAGGGTGGGATGCAATGGCAACATACGCTTCGGCGCAGTCGTCAACATGCAACGCGTGTATGATATGATTTGGCGGAGCCTCCATAACAAGCCGCCCACCTTGATCTGCCGTTTTCTCTGAGACGACAAAGAAGTTTTGGTAATAAGTCGACCCCCTCCCGAAGACGTTGGTAGGCCTCACCAGGACAGGCAGGAAAACGTCTCTATGGTCGAAAATCTTGACCGAGAACTTCGTTCTAGCCGCCACGACGGGAGGCGGTCTAAGCGGCGTCTCTTCGGTATGCGCAGGCGGTCCAGGCTCGCCGTGTACATGTGGCCCTATCCCGTAGTCTTTGCACCCCGAACTGAAGATAACAATCGGCTGTGTCCCGGCGGCGGTACTGGAAGCGCCTAGAAGGCGAAGCAGGTGGACGGTATTCTCGTAGTGAAACCCGTAGTCCTTCAATGATTCGGTCGTAGATATTATGGCGTCAAGACGCGTTGGAAGAGCCTTGCGAATACTCTCGTGTGTCTCTCTAGAATCAATAATCCCAACTACGGGGATGATCTCTTCTGCCGCGAGCTTCTGCACGGACTGAGGCGATCTAACAAGACCGTAGGTAAGCCATCCCGCGCGGACGAAGGCTCGCGCGACGGCATTGCCAATGTAGCCATTTGCACCAGTAACCAAAACAGTATGAGTCGTCATAGTCGGCGTTGTAGTCGAGTTTTCGAAGGAACGTCGATAATAAAGACGGAGAGGGTGTGTGACCACTAAGAAGTGTTGACTACCAACCTTTGAAGGGAGTCGCCTGAATTTATAGACTTCAACGTCAAGTACGACCCGCAGTTACACCCGGGAGAATTACCAGATAGGGAACTTTCACAACTTCATCCGTTTAGTGTCACCTAACTTGACTATGACAGGCCCCCTTGAAGGGCAATTTCTCCAGCTTTCCAGTATCCTATATGCAGCAACTAAAGCCTGCGTTGTCACTGTCAGACCTTAGTTAATCAGTATCTCGTGGTTCCCGGTATGGTTGCTGTTTGCTATTGGCTACTATGTCATTCTGTCCGGTGAGTGTTCAGTGTCTTCGTCTCCGAGGCAAGTTGGGTGATTTAGGCTAAGACGCGGAGGCAACCAATGATGTGGGGGTTGGTGAGGTATTTTAGAAGCCGAGGTCCCGCGTTGAAGCTAGGCTTATCTCTCAAGATCTTCTTGTTGTCCAGCGTTTCAGAGGCTTGACGACGAAGATCTCCTGTTTACTCTAAAAATGCCAACGTCTCGTCAGGCCGTCGCTAACCTCTATGGCAAGATCGCCGATTATGAGAATACTCGGTTAGCGACGCATCCAATGGAGCGCGAGCTCACTCTACGCGCTATTCGTGAAGCTCTAGCTACCTCTGACACTACACATGATGAACGCAAGCGCATTGCAGACGTAGGAGGTGGCCCTGGGAAGATAGCCTTTGCACTCGCTGATCAGGGCCATCATGTCGATCTCATCGATCTCAGTCCCGATCTGATCCGTCTTGCGGAAGCTGAGCAGCACCGGCGCGCCGCAAGTGCTGAGAGCCTGGCACTTCTTGGTAGCATTGGCGTGGGCGACGCTTTGGGCAGGATTCCTTTAACGAAAGGCTCATACGACGCTGTTCTTCTACTGGGACCTCTGTATCACCTCCTGGAAGAGACTGAGCGGAAACAGGCTGTCGAGAACGCTCTTGCGCTCGCAAAGCCTCAGGGAGGGCTGGTTTTCTGCGCGTTCGTCAGTAAGGAAGCGCACTTAAGAGATCTCGCAATGCGCGACCCCGAGAGGCTTGTTAAACAGAAAGAATTTTATGCTAAATACGTACGTTTGTATCGACGATATCATCTCTCAATGACAAGCTTGCTGCGCTACTTTGATGCACATGTTAACTCCCATTTTCTCATATGATTAGCTCACCGACGGCCGTTATGAAAGGTTGAACGAGAGCCTCGAAGCACAAGTACAATCTTTCCATACGGACAGTGGCAGCATCCGTCGGTTCTTTCAGCGTCACTTTGCTGACGTGGCAGAGCTTGTCAGTCTGCGGTCTACGGAGGGGATTTTAGGTGGTGGGCTCGACGCCAAGCTCGTTGATGCCGACATTGAAGTCATTCGGGCATGGGCAGACTTGCTGTTTGAGCAATACTCCGAGAAAGAAGAGTACCTAGGATGTGCAGACCATCTGCTTGCCGTCCTGCGCAAGAGGTGAAGGGGCTGCATTGCAGTCAACGAGATGTTCTGGAAGATATTTTATGTAATGACCGCCACCATGACAAGCCCACGGGTTATGTAAGAAATCGTGCTTGATCGAGGCTCAATCGCTACTAGGGATATACTCTAGACACCAGACGTATTGCAAACAGGTTTTGAAAAGATGGAGGATGATTTACCAATCACCACGTCCTTGTACGCAACCCCTAGAAGCCTCATGTTCTTCATCTACTTATTCTTGGCTAACTCGACTACAATAAGCGTATATTACTCCCTTGATTCACTTTACCGCAATGTAAGCGGGACTAATTATCTTACATATCATCTCAAACTATCCTCCCTCGCCGTCAATGGTGCCTCTTTTGGCGCTTGTTTCCGTTTCCATTCTCACGTTTGAACTCCCTAGAGTACAACTTGAAAAAGTTGCTAGGCTCCGTCGCATGTTCACCTGTAACATCATGGAAAGCCGTGGTGCTGATGTAGTTTGTCTTGCCTTCTCGGACCAGACTGTAATATTCCAGGATGTACTGTTGCTCTGAGTCGTCACTCTCAGATTGTCTCTTGAGGACCCTCTTAGCCTCCGCTCTGCGTAAGTCGAGGTATTGGTTAGCGCTCGGAACCTTTTAAATAAAAGAGGTCAAAGAATTTCTTTGCAAGTTGCGTACTGTGAAATGTCTTCGAATTCAAGTTCGGTCCCTAGAGCCTGGCTGGCAGCTTCCGCAAGTTCCTTTCCTGCGCAGAGCATTGGCCCTGTAAGAGACAGTCATTAACAGATCTTTGAATTTCTGTATCGCGGAGTTTCTCACCAGTGACAACCATCATTTGCCCACGGTGTCGGTCATCGAAACCATGCTCGCCTTTGCCGCTCAGCACCTCAGCTGCGACGAATGCAACATCCTAAGCAGAGTACAAATTAGTATCTAATATATCAACTTCAGTACCTCCATGGACAAAGCTTACACCCAAAGCCACTGGCGCGAATTTATGATTCTTGCCAATTGGCAACGGAAGAACACCCTCCGATTTTGCTTGAGGGGCGTATAGCAAGAGGTTCTCGGCATAGAAACCAGCCCTAAATATCCGATTAGTTTCAGATATAGATGAATATATAAAGCACTCGCTCTCCGTACCGAATTACACATGGTGAGTGTCCAAGCTCAGTAGACGCATCCCCTTTGCTGGCCAGCGTCAAGTTCTCCAGCTCAATGAAGTCCCGTAGATGCGGTTGCGTTTTCGGATCCGCATAGTCGCAACCGACGGAGCTAATGAGGAGAACGTTGGAGATTCCTGACTTCTTCGCCGCGGTGATGAGCTCGACCGAGATATCATGCTTGTGCTTGTGAGCTGGGGGGATAAGGCAGATGGTGTCGCATCCGGTGTCCTGCAGCGTCTTCCTCATGGCTTTCTCGCGGCCTGGGGAGTGTTTAACGACCTTGGCGCCGCGCTTACCAAGCTCTTTAGCTTTGCTGGACGTTGAATCCAAGGCTAGGGCAGTGAGTGAGTCGATTCTTGTGGAGAAAGGCTCACTGAGGAGGAGGTCGGCGATGGCAAAGCCAGTGTTGCCATCGGCAGCTGAAATGCACACGTTGCGAGGCATGTTTCTCCTTCCTGTAAGGCGGATTTCTTATTCGATGTAGTTGTGAACAAGATAAAAGAACTGTAGGTTGGATAGTTGAGCGCAATGGTAGACCACACTGATAAGTGATTTTACATACTCTATAGAGATGCAAGTGCCAATTCTATATAACCCTCTGTGATTTAACTACAAGTTTCCGTTGCAACAACCTACTGCTTTCTTCGGAGGCGTATTTTCAGAGTAATGATTCATTGGAAGATCTACCAAGATTTGTGTGAGCGTCTTATGACATAAACTCTGTTCAGTATGGCGTTCGTGTGACGCAAGCTTACTTCAGCCTCACGAATAAGATTTCCTTTATTCCTTCTTTGCGCATTTGCCTATCGCAGACGTTTCAAGGAGTACTGTCACTTTTAGATGCTCAATTAAAAGCATGAAGTCTATTCTACTGTATTGGCTAACGGTAGTTGCTCCTTCGTCGGCGTATTGCAACAGTTGTACCAGAATCTGTAAAGCTTCGCCACAGGTGCAGTTATTGGGAAAATAAATCTCAGAATAAATTACTGGCTGCGTTAGTGTTGTAACAACCAGGTATTGACCACTGGGTGTCTGAGTTCCAGTACATATTCAATGGGGATAAAACTTCCTACGGGGATCGGGGGGATCCCGAGATGCGCGGATCGGAGATGAGATTTTGGCCACGTCATAGCATGCGGAACGATTGGTCCTGTGGATTGGAGACTTTTGCCTCTCAGGTCTCAGAGATCCAGGTGACGATAAAATGAGCCGTCCGAGTCGTCGCCGGCATGGAAGGGTGTGTGCCGTGATGGCCAACCAGGGCTGATTTGACCAAACCAGTTAGTAGTTCGATCTCGATTGGCAGCTGGTGATGTTTGGAAGCTGATTTAACTACGCCTCAAGTACAGCTGTCGTCGCGGATGAGGTCACACGTTGTTGGTATTGGGCTGCCTTTGGTCGGGCGGGGAGAAGCCTGTGAGGCCCTTAATGAGTTCGACGAAGCAAACATAGAGAGTGTTGAAATAGACGTACGGCGCATCATCTTCTAGGCCCCCGAACCATATTCATCAGCCGCTTTTCCCATTATGGAAGACGTTCGTCTAAACTGAACTGATTAGCATACCGGCCAGGAAAGACTACAATGATAATTCGGAATACTTGGGTAGTAGATATATTTACTCTCTCCTTAAAATATATCAATCAACTCTAAATAATTGATTCTGAAAAGTCATAACATATATGAAAAACTCTGGTAAAACAAATTATATAAGCCCTACAAAACATTTTATCTTCAATTCAGTCTTCGTTACCGCACCTCTAGCCAAACGGCGAATCTCAAGCGAAAACCTCATTAGTATCAGTCGCGCAGAAAGCTCTCCTCAAATGGATAGTGAGTAAGTAGCTCATAGCCCGTCTCAGTCACAAGCAGTTGATTCTCCAGCTTAATGCCATCCTTACCACCGACTTCGCCAACATAGGCTTCGACACACATCACCATACCCGCTTGAAGCTCTCCTTCGTAGCCGTAAGAATCCAAATCCTCAGGGTAGCGGATGCTGGGGTACTCATCGCACAGCCCTACACCATGAAACATGACGCCATAGCGCTGAGCGCGGCAGCTCTCAGGGAGGCGGTGGCCGTTCCGTGTCAAATCAGTAAAGCGCACGCCGGGCTTGATCATCTCGATGTTCGTCGTGATGTGCTCGTGGGCGATGCGATACAGGCGCTTCTGCTCAGCTGTAGGCTCGAGGCCGCCGCAGATCCAGCTCCGCGACATGTCGACACACATGCCATATACGCCTATGAGGTCGGTGTCAAACGACAACAAGTCACCATCTCGGAGCACTCGCGGCCCGGACTCCTGATACCAAGGGTTCGTGCGCGGGCCAGAGTTGAGAATGCGAGTCTCGATCCATTCACCACCGCGGCGGATATTGCCAGAGTGCAGAGCAGCCCAGACGTCGTTCTCCGTGGCACCGGCGCGCATGGCCTGTCGCATCTCGCCGACCGCGGCTTCGCAGGAGGCGACGGCACATTTTATCGCGCGGATCTCATCCGGGCCCTTGATCATCCGTGCGTGTTCCATGACAACCTGCCCGTCAGACACGGTCACTCCCAGCGCATCGAGGGCACGCAGGCCGGCGATTTCGATACGATCCACGGCTAGCTTGCGGTTGTCGCCGGAGTGCTTTTGTAGCAACTCATCCACCTCTTTGCCGAAACGCGCGGCATGTTCACCGGAGCGATCGCCTGTTTCGAAGTAGAAGAACGTGGCACCGGTGCGCCGTTCACTGATCAGCGGCAGATGCGCGGAGAGATGACCGCAGTTATGGAAATCCCACAACACGATGTGTCCGCTAGGTGCAATGAAACAGGCGCGAGCGGGATTGTGTGTGGTCCACAGCTGCATATTGGTGGTGTCGGTGGCATAGCGGATATTCAACGGATCGAAGAGTAGAACCCCGCCTAGGTCGCGACTCTTCAGCTGATCACGAATGCGTTGCAGGCGATACTCGCGCATTGTCGGTAGGTGTGGCGGCTGCAAGCCGAGATGCTGCCACTCGGCGAAGGCCAGCGGTGTTGGTCCGATGTCGACGCGGTCATTGTCGTTGTTCGAGCCATCGAGTTTGTGCGGGTGGGTGGGGTTGATTCGACGAGAGTCAGGAGGGATCGAGAAGGGAGAGGTCAGACCAATTACTTCTTCCTTCATTGTGAATTGTAGACGTTTCTGGCTTGCAATACACAAAGCTTGATACAATGTGAACAAAGTGCCGTCGCCGAAATGGGCTAGAGCAGTGTGACGGGATGGAAAGATGTTCAAAATCAGAGACCCGGGCTCTTTTGGTCAAGATCAAAATCAGCAAGGAAGTCAAGGAATAGTTGAATGCTGCTTGTCCAACGGAGAGGTCGCAGTCTTTTTATCTTACTTGGAGCTCATATGATTTTCCTAACCTGTATTAATCACGTGGGATAGTATCTCGTAGCTCACTTCTTCATGCGGAGGCACGGGCAATTAATGTGCAGCTGTAACAGGCGCTAATTTACTGCCAAGTCTCAATGACTGGCCTTATCTAGGGCCCCACACTCTACAACCAATCAAGACCTTCATACAACATACAAATGGTCAGATCCACCCAGATTTGTGTGTAACATGAAGCACTTGATTGGCCCATCGTCTTTCAAAGTGGGCCGTAGTCCCCCAACAACAACGAAGAAGATGGACGAGAGCAGGTTAGAAAGATACGAGCAGCTCAAATCAATTCCCTAACCTATACCAGACATTGCGTCAGTCCATGTATGCGGCTGGTCCGGGGCTGTTCTGTCTCGCGGTGAGTCTGGTGCGCCGTAGCTCGCTTCTTCTTTGCCGACTCAGGCACTGGCTCCAACTCCGACTGAGTCTCCTGGGCCAGCCTTATCTCTGCTCCTCTCCATCTCCCCGCGCCTTACTACCCCTGGCCTGGCCCATCGCAGGGGGTTCGGACAAGGCTTACATTAAGACAGCCAATCAAGGGCTTCAAAACACACAAACATGGTCAGGATCGGGTTCACTCGCGATTGGCGGATCGTCCCGCAATCAATCCAAACCTGGTTCATGTTGGCCTTGCTGGATTCAGGTTAAGGCAGCTAATAATGGGTGTTTATTTGGTTCAATAATGTCTGTGTATTCAGTCTCTTGCGGTTATGGGTTCTATTATTGTCACCCAAATAAGGCAACACTCTCTATGTCAGGCTATATGCTCGCTGCGAATTAGATAGGGGGAAAGGGGAGGGGAAAGGGGGAGGAGGGGCACTAGGGAAAGGGTGAAGGGGGGGGTTGAAGGGGGGGAGGAATGTCTCATCAATAGAAGACTCATCATCGCGCGGGAAGGCACCAGGGAACCGGCACCAGTTCCTACCGAGTCTCACGGTGGCCGGCCACGTCTACACTCCATCAGCCCGCATCTCCGTACCGGTCGCTGGTCCCGCTAGCCTTTGGCTGGCCCTTGAAACATTCCTCCAGGGCCCGGTCCCGGTGTTCCATTCGCACCAGAAGGTGTAGTCCGACCCACTCCACGGAAAAACCAGGTCAGGATGTCCGCCGCTGACGCTCTTTGGTTCGGATCTATTTCTGCCATCGGTCGCAGATGCTGAAGCATAGTTGTGTTCGCGGCCGCTTGGATCGCCTCGATTGTGGATTTTTGTGTGAGCTTCCGCTTCCCCTGAAAGCCGCCCGCATCTAATGCGCACGCTACCGTGACAAAGAGCGACCAGATGTCAACTTTGGTGGTTTGTGGGGCATCGGGCTTCACTTCGGGCGCCCTGTAGATGTCCGTTCCGACGCACGTACGGGCTTGGGAGGCAATATTGACGATGCCAAAGTCCGCAAGCTTATATGTGAACCGTTCTTCCTCGCCGGGGTGCGAGACTGGATCAAACAGGATGTTTGCCGGCTTCACATCGCGGTGGATGATGCCGTTGTACGATAAATAGTCAAGCGCCTGAAGCATTTCGTGAAGGAGAGTCTCTACCAAGGCCGGCTTCTTGACGAACATGTTCTGTCGAATCAGCTGCTCAACGTTACCTGTCTTGTGTTCCATGAAAATGAGGACATGCTCCTCTTCCAATTCAGCCTGTAGGTATTCGATAATGTGTTTCTACCAGGCATATACTGTTAGCTGTTATACACAGTCAAGACAACCAATACCCTTTGCCGTTTCTGGGTCCCCTCATTTGATAAGAGACTTACGTGGGAGATCGCAGTCAAGGCATCAATCTCTCGCTGCAGCATCATACACCCGTGATGGTCTCGGGCATCAGGACGCTTCACTTTCTTCACGGCTAAAAGCTTACCGGTGTCGATGTTGATGACGCTATACACCTCACCGAAGGCTCCCCTGCCCAATTTGCGCCGGGTCGAGTACCTGATAGGTTGCAAGTTTTCGGAAGCCGGGATGTGAAGACGGGTTGCGCGGTCCGATGGTGTCATTGTAGTGGGATCTTCGTCTACGACTGTGCGTGCTAGGCGTGGATTGTCCTCGCGGAAGCTGATGAGTTTTGGCACGTTGACCTCTAGCCTGTCGTGCCAGACGATTCTGAACAGATATGAGTCACAGCCGGCACCTCCAAATCCCAACAGCAAATTGATGCTGGGGTCTATGACCACACGGCGTGGGATCCGTCCCGGCTCGAAGGACACGGCAGTCTCACCGTGGAACTGCGTGTTGTGCAGGCTTGAGCGGTCTTGGAGCATAACCTCGTCCTGATTGAGCTCGGGAACCTCAAAGGAGCACTGAATCCGCGAGATATCCGCTCCTTCGACAACTATATCGCCGGAGCGTCCAATGGTGGCCAGCGTGTACCGCGATTCGGATCCAATATGAAAGCCGACATCAAGGGCGTAGGTCGGTATAGAGTGTGGGTCATCGGAGATGTTTGATAAACGGTGAGCATTGGCTGGGTGCCTCAGTGTCGCCTTGGCTCGTTCGCTGTGCGGGACGAGAGAAAAGCGAGCATGAGGATGAGGTCTGTCCCGGGCCATATTTGGCAGCGATGACGTGTACAGGAATCTACGAATGGATTATAGGGTATAGGGAAGCAAAGTGAAAGCGTCAAGCTACAAGTACCCAAGGTAGGTCAGGTAGGTAAGGTAGGTAAGGTTAGCAAGGTACCTAGGCTAGGCTGTTCGTTCTGGAGGAGGACATTAGGGACGGCAAGAGTTGCTTGTCGCTGCGAATGGAGAGGCCAGGCCCGTAGTAATCGCTTGTCGCAAGTAGACAGAGATGTCGGGCCTGTAGTAACTACATAAGGTACTTGTCGCTGCAACGGATAAACGATGACGGGAGTGACCGTTGCAGCCTAGAATAATCTCCCAGCGCCACGAGCAGCTACTACAGCACTAAAGTAGCCCTGACCGATCTGTCTGCTACAGTACCTAACAAATAGTTGCTGTGAGTGTGAACAGCCTGCCCCCTGCAGCTATGAGCGATTACTGCAGACCTGACCTAGATGGTTCGCATCAAGACGGGTGATTGCCGCAGCTCTCAATAGCCAGCCTTCCGACCCGACAAGTGCTGTAGCCCTGAACAACCTGCCCTCCAACGCGACAAGTAAGTGCCACAGCCTGCTTGCATCTCCATGTCGGAAGAGAGTTAGGGTGCAAAGTTAAAGCTAGCAATGAAGATGCTAGACCTGGCATCTCATCACAGCGAACAATATCCCCATATCAATAAACAAGGGATACATTTTAGCTTTAAAGGCTAAACCTAGAATGTATTGGCGCAGTCAATTTATAGCCAGGGCGTTAATATTTAGCACTCCTTTGACCGATTCCCTTGATTCATTATGGGGTAATAAACATCATACAGCCAATCAATTCATGCTACAATAGATCTTATGATCCACATGATTTTCATTCTCAACAAAGCTTGGGTTTCGGTGGTCGCGTTGGATTTCTGGTACTTGCACCTTGACTGACATTCCCACCACGCCGAATCTTCTTTCGATATTGCCCACCCCACCGGCTTGTGTCGGAACTTTGCCATGGCCTTTTCCCACAACACACGCCTTCATAAAATAACCAAATGGCACGATGCACAGCCAATCCACCAGTCAATCACGGCAGCTACGCCGGGCTTCCAGCAACTAGCTATGACGATGCATAGCCAATTCAGTGGTAAATTGCTATAGCTAGGCTCCGACAAGCCGCTGGAAGGATGGAGGGATGCACAGCTAACCTATACACAAGGCCGGTGCCCATAATGATGGAGTCAAGTACTTGTACAAGCTGGCGGGGCGAGCTACAGCCATAAATATATCGACGTGGTGCGAGTGTCAAAATCACGGTGCAAGTGTCAGTGCTTGCCGCCTTGAAGCCCTCGACCCCTCGACCCTCCGTCCTCACGTCCGTTCCCTCCTCCTCCTCCTCTCTTGTCTTCCTCGCATCATGCTCTTTTGCTTGCTCTACTTCAAATAACCACGCGCCGCTAGACGACTACTTTGCAGCAATGTCTTTCACCTTTGATAATGCTTCTCAGCGCGTACTGCCCCGAGTCATCGAGGCACTTCAGCGCCTGCAGCGAAACCCCGATCATCTCGCGCGCGAAAGGGATCAACCCTACGATGGATCCCCGCCGCCGTATACCGAGTTGCGCGAGACTACTCAGCCTCGAAGTCCTGGTCCTCCTGTTGTTAGAGACAAAGTCCAGGAGCAGTGGCGATTAAGCGAAATTCGGAACAAATCGCTACCGCTCAACCAGTTTCGAAGCCAAGCAAAGCGCGAGGAGGAGAGACTTGACATTCAGATGTACGAGGACCAAAGGGGCCGGAGGGGTATCCTGCCATTTGACGAAGCCACCGACTACGGAGCCAACGCAGAGAACAATGTGCGGGCTCGCTGGGTCGAGCAGGGCATCTGGGGAGAGGAATGGGGTCCAGCCTGGCCTCGGGGCATCCGGCCGTTGGGGAATGGGGGTGCGCCAGCGCCCAGCTACGATGGGCCATTCTATGGCTCCTACAGCCTGGCCAATTCGGATTTGCGACCGGGTTGCCGATGGGGCCATGAGCAAGGAGACACTCCGTCGCCCTCGCCCTCTCCGCCACCGCCGCCGCCGCCGCCGCCTCAAAATCCCGATGCTTTCATCTTTGTGCCCTGGTCCCGGACCCCATCCCCTCCACCTTCACCACGTCCTCGCTTTCAAGTCGCCCGAGTTCTACCTGACGACACCGTCATAATAAAGATCCCAAAGCCCACCGTGCGCGACCCCGAAGCGTCCCGCCCCCTACCACAATTCTTATATCAAGTCGACAAAGAGCGTGAGTGGATAAAATACGGGACTAATACGTTTAACACACCGGGCAGGACAGTCAATCTCGATTACTTAGCGTACGAAAGCGTCAAGAAAAACTGGATAAAGGATGGCATCTGGAGCCCTAAATGGGACGGCGAACTCCCTGGCTCATCGTGGTATCACGAGGAACCTGAGTCGTGGGGGGCCGTAGAGCCCCAGCACGCTGCCCCTGCCTCGACTGATCCTGCCCGACGGCCTCCTGATCTCACCACTGAGGACTCCCAACAACAAGCTCGCAGGCGTCAAGGCTCGAACGACGTGCCCAACGATGAAGCCGATGCTCCCCACGCGGAAAGTCCACTTGGCAGACAGGCACGCGATACACTCGCTCAGCAGGCTGTAGCACAAGATAGCAGGCCATCTCGATCACATGGGCCTCACCAGTCGCTTCGACACGCCACGACAACAAGACCAGACCACCAAGACGGGACTGGACCCTCCAACACCCAAGCTCGACGAACAAGACCAAAGCGCGGCCGCAGCGACGACACGGCCGAAAGCGAGCAGCCAGTACCGCCGCCGAAGCGGGCCAAGAAGAGCGGCGGGGGCAAGGGTCGCGCAAGTGCACCGAACGATGGGCCGGTGGAAACAACAAGCGATCCGCGGGAGAAGCCACCGGCAGGTAGAAAGATTGGAGTGCAAGGAGCAGGGGCAATGGGAAGCGAGAGCAATGGAGTTTCTCAAAAGGGAGGGACCCGTCGCAGCGCGAGGATTGCAAACCGGCAGGCTCAAGCCGAAGCTGCGGCTGCTGTTGCCAACATGACACCAACGGCACCGGCAAGCTCAAGGCCAAGAGCCGCAAGGAAAGGCAAAACTACATCGAGCAATAAGCAGGTCGTGATGGTGCCGAAGAATGGCAAGAAGAGTAGATCTCGACGTTGATACTTTTGGTAAGAGTTCAGTACATGTTTCATTATTAGTTTCAATCCATTACTCTTTTTTTAGTCCAATCCCATCCCGTGTGCGTCGTGATCTATGATTTCCACATACAATCAGCGCTTCATTCATCTACTGGGGACAGTATACAATACGAGAGGGACATCTCAATACAATGGATATGAACAGAAACATAAACTTCACTGCCCTAAGACTGCAGTTGTACGAAATGAAAAGTCTGTAAACCTTCAGACCGATGTACTCCCTTGCCGCCAGGAGTAGCCGCTCGTCGAATAAGTATTTAAGCTACTCTCTTCCCCTAGCTTCCTCCGTACACTCGTCTTCCAGCACAGCAATCCAAATACTTCAACACACCAAGTTCGAGGGCGAGAAGTTGGCTTGGTAGCTGTTCCTAGTGACCAAAGCCAGATCACTGTAGAAATCTACCATCATCCAGAGAACAAGTGGGACAGCCTGCGGTGGCACTGACAGGAAGAGAGGAAAATACGTGCAAGGGACCAGAGAACATGGCTACAATAAAACTACTTCTTGACCTTTAAAAGCACAATGAGGACACATTGGGGGACAGTGAGCTGCTTGCCACCTTCCCCCAAGAACGGAGACCCGTCGCAGCGCGGGCATTGTAAATGTGCAGCCTCAAGTTGGAACTGAGGCCGCTGTCGCCAACGAGATGCTCGAGGCCAGGAAATGCCGCCAAGAAGAAACACACCTACGCCTAGAAACAAGCGTACATCTCGATATTGATCTTTGCAACAGAGTTTAGCAAATGGTTTATTACCTAGGTAATGTAATGAAACTTATGGATTGATTCCCTACCATGAAGGTCGAGTACTCCGTCCTCGTAGAGGGAGTGCGCAAGGGCGACGATATAGCATTGGATCATGCAATGACCCCCGCGCAGAGATCTGGCACTATTCTATCGGGCCTTTGCAGCCCCTGATTTTCCCAATTCTCCATCGCCTGCTCAAACAGCACCGCCTGCTCTGCCTCAGCCGGCATGGGACTAATCTTTCCCCTCCCCAGCCGACTCTCCATCGTCTCGGTGAGCCTGGCCTCCACATCCGCATCGCCCACCACGTCGTTCTTGAATACGTAAGACCGAGCCTCGCAGTTCTGCCATCCCGTCCCAGGGTTCAGCCACGAGTCCTCCCAATCGTCGATGAAGTAGTGCAGGAAGCCCCCGTGTGTGACGAGCACAACTTGGGGGTCCGCATCGCCCTGCTCAATCAGCTGGCGAATCTTGTGTCGGATAAAAATGCGGGCGTCGCGGGCGCGGGCTGCTATCGCGTTGCTCTGTGGGCTGTATCGAGTCCCCAAAGCTTTCACGTTCCAGCCGTCCTTGACTAGAGAGAGGTCGACGGGCCACTTCTTCTCGGCTACCACTCCGTAGAGGACTGTTGGATCGGTTCCAACGTCGCAAGGGTCATCCGAAGTTTCCTGAGCGTTAGGGATGGCAATGATCTCGGGGTGACACTTGCCGCCAGCCGTGAGGGCTGGTTGAAACATGAGGTAGGCAGATTGGAGTGTTCGGCAGAGCGGAGAGGCAAGGATGAGAGACAGCTTTGACTGATCTGAGAAAGCCGTCTTACGCAAGGCCATACTCTGCTCTTCGCCCAAGGGAGTCAGGTGAGGATCAGGAAGAGTGTAGCATCCGGCACCAACGTTGTGAAAGCCCTGTCCATGGCGGACACAATGTATCACTGGTGGCATTGCGAGGTTTATAGAAAAAGAGGCTTTTCTGCTAGAGTTGAACAAAAGAGAATGCTGAAAAGAGGCTGTATGCTGACAAGATCACAGTTTATAAGATACACATATTTGTCTGGGAGCGGGATGAAGAAGTCGAGCGTCCAGTCATAGCAATTAGAAATACACCCAGTACTACCCCTAAACGAGACTGAACTTCAGCTGACAAATGCTTATCAGGACCATATGGAACTCAGACTTCCACGTAATGTTAAAGATATCCAGAGTTTCCATGATCTCGAAGGGTGCAAGTTTCGATTCGACGAGGATGTAGATCTTGGCCAGTCGTGGATGAATCTCAAGCCAATGATGATCGGTCCTAACTAACCCCAGATAGGCAGCCAAGACGGGATTTCTCCACAAGCATCCACTAGCAGCCTTCTCTAAGGCGAGTAGCACTTTGATACTCGTCTGGCCATCTTTAGACGGGGGGCAGAGGCCATCAACTTGTCCCAAAATTCGCATCTTCGGATGTTCTGATTACAAATGCAGCGATGACTTTGCAAGAAAATTGCATAAGATCTCTTTCCCTGGTCTTCTCGTGGCCGGGCATCTGCCCGTTGCATTCAGTGGTAGACCTTTGGCTGACAATAACACACCAATCGTAACATTCATCACCGCCTCGGCCGATTACGAGCAACATCTCAACAACGCCGACTATGCTGTCGAGAGAATGTAGCCTCGGGGCTCGAGCTCGAGCTGTCAATTCCTTACCAAACAATGACCCTTCACCAGATCTCCATGACAATACCGAACCCATACCCGCCGTTGACGAGTCTCTCCAAGCACGAATCGAGCGCCTCGGCCGCGAGCGCCCTCCGATCTTTACAACCCGCCGGCGCGAGATACTCTTCGTCTTCAGCATCTCCATGTCCCAGTTCCTGACAGAGTATTTTGTCTCGGGCTTCACCGTCATCCTCCCGACGCTGATCACAGAGCTCGACATCCCGCAGGCAGCCAGCGTATGGCCGGCGACCGCCTTCTCCCTCGTCATCGCCAGCACCTTGCTCGTCTTTGGCCGCCTGGGGGACATGTGGGGGGGATATCCCGTCTTCATGTGGGGTCTCGCCTGGCTTCTTGTCTGGAGTGTAATCACAGGGTTCAGCATCAACCCGCTGATGCTCGACTGCTGTCGGGCTCTCCAGGGGCTGGGAGTTGCGGCGTCTTTGCCCACCGGAGTCATGCTCATGGGGTCGTTATATCGTCCTGGGCCACGGAAGAATCTCGTCTTTGCAGTATACGGCACTTCGGCGGTATTTGGTTTCTTTGGCGGCATTCTCGTGGCAGGAATCGTAGGTCAATTCAAGCGCTGGGGTTTTTACTTCTGGATCGGCGCCACCCTGACGGCAGTCACCCTGTTGACTTCGATCCTGTCCATTCCTCGTCACCATTCACAGGACCAGCCCCGGGGCAAGTCCAAAATGGACTACCCCGGCGCGATCACGATCGTTTGTGGCCTCGTCCTAGTCGTGTTTTCGATCCTACAATCGGCACACGCCCCCGCAGGCTGGCGGACGCCATATATCCCTGTCTGTCTTGTTCTTGGTGTCTCGTCACTCCTTGCTGCAGGATACATCGAAATGCGTGTCTCTGCTCACCCCCTCTTGCCAGCTTTCATCTTTACGACCCCATACATGAGCCCTCTCCTTTTAGCACTCTTCCTGCTTTACGGCACCTGGGGCATCTTTTCCATATATGGAACACTATACTTCCAGAACATCATGTCTGCCAGTCCGTTGCAGGTGGTAGCGTGGTATGTGCCTCTTGGTGTCGCAGGCCTCATCCTCAGTGTCGTCGAAGGCTTCATCCTGCACCTGGTTCCGGGACGGGTGTTGCTCATCATTTCCGGCCTGGGCGCAGTCGGGTCGCAACTTCTCATAGCTCTGATTCCGCCTGGAGGAGGTTATTGGGCATGGATCTTCCCCGCAGTCATCCTCAGCACCGTGGGGATCGATCTGTCCACGATCTTAATGACGGTTTTCGTGACCACGACGTTTCCTACCGCGCAGCAAGGGTTGGCTGGCAGTGTTATTAATTCTGTGCTACAACTGGGTGTGGCTTTCGTCCTTGGCTTGACGGACATCATCCAATCGGCAACAGTGGACGGGGAGGGATTGGAGAAGAGCTATAAGAACACGTTCTGGTTTGGAGTAGGGGCCGCAGCGGCGAGTTTGCTGATTCTGGCAATCTGGGGGAAGGTACCTAAGGCCAGTAGTGATTTGACGACGGATGAGAAGGCTGAGCTCCTGGAAGAGGCAATGATCGAGCAGCAAAGGCAATCAGCCAGCGGGAGTGATACTCTGGAGGGTGAATGATACCACATGTAGACGTTTGCTCACGAATTGTTGCTAGACCACTTGGCTTTTAGCTGGTGATTGCCCAGTGGTTGCTCTCAAGATTGCAGTAGTGAGGTATTAGGTCCTGGCCAGTGGGCAATGGATCTATACCAGCAGATCATCCGTAATTGGCGTACAATCATGCAATCAACCAGTCGGTGCCTATGTTCTGTAGCTTCTCGATCCAGTTCCAATTCTCTTCCTGGTTTTGGAGTTGGTCATTCCCCCTCGCACCCCAAATTGTCCTCAATGCTCCGAGGGCCTCTCTAGTAAGTCCCCAAGGCTCCAATTCCCAAAGCTCTTGGAATCTCCTCACTACCCAAGCACGGTTCCCAAGGTCGACCGTTTCCAGGCCAGCAATGAAAGCTGGCCACGCTGTTGCCGTGAATAATGCATCTCCAGGGTGCATATTCGAAAGGTGGGCAATGATTTCGGCTACTAGCGTTTCTAGATCATGTGGCAATACTGTGGTGGGCCATAGAGCCAGAATAATGCGCGAGAGGTAGATGCATACAGCTGCCCTGTGAGCAGAGGCAATCTCAATCCGATGGGAGGGATCATTAGCCGGTGAGCGCGGCTGCAAGTTGACTGCCCAAACAGCTGGGTCGAATGACTTCGCGGCGTGTAGAAGATGAAATGCATCTTGCAGTCCTAGGTAGGTATCTGGAGACGAGGAAACTTCGTTCGTCTTTAATAGCTGAGCCCCTGCCCGTATCAGAGGAAGCAGGGCTGCCGGAAATGACGAGCAATGGTTGCCTTCTGCATCTTGAAGCAGTGACATGGTAGTCGTCGATGGCCAACCGCTGTGCGGTAAATCAGAATTTGCGAACGATGAACCGAGAAGATCATACCTACTGCACGTCAGGTTGGGAGCCATCAATCACTGAATAAGGCGACTTACACCAAGCAGTTTGACACCAACCAGCTACGAAGCGGACTAAAAGCAGTCTCCGTCGCCAGGGTGGACGCGATCAATTTCTCAATGATTATCCTCGCACCATTGATATGAAATGTCCAACTGCCTCGCCCAGAGTCAATGAGCTCAAACCCAATGAGGAGAAGCATCACTGCGAGAATCACATCAACATCGGCTGAAGCAATGTCTTCGAGAGCAGACTTCAGCAGACAAAGTGCCTGCTGCTTGGCCCTGAGTGCGTCATGGAAAGTCTCCGGGCGAGATGTCACACATGAACCGATCGACAGAGAGCTCGGTAAGCTTGTGTGGTTTTGAATCGAGGCCGTCGTCGTAAGCATGCTCGAAGACCTTGGTGAGCATTGACAAGCATTGGACATGTGTAAGGCTGAACTGGCGATGATCGTCTGCAACAGCATGGGCTGATGGTGCGCCATCGGGATCAACTCGCGAAATGGATTATGGTTGGGGATGTCATAGAGAACCAGGTCCCTACAAACATCACTTGCAACTTTCACCGAGGAGTGTTAGTATGAGAAGCATTCAAGCAGACCAAAGTAACATACAGTAGTCTAGGTATCTCCTCGATCGATAGTCTAGATCTTGCGCAAACGGGTCCGTTAATGAACGAGGTAGTGAACGAGGAGGGCCCGGTGTGGACAAGATAGAAAGCCACGGCGCTGGCAGAGTCGAGGCCGTATCTCCCTTCTGGATCTTCCTTATGTCGTCGGACGTAACGCCAGTTAGTCTCCCACGACTCGCCATACCCTTCTCCCACCGCCACAGATTGCCATAGCCTAGGCAACTTTGACCTCTCCTGAAGCATTTCTGGCAGCGCGGAAGGGATCGGTCACATTTCAAGCGGCCGCGTCTGCAGTTGTGACATGCTCCCGGTGTTGCACTCATGGTTAGGCCCCGGAATGGAATAGGAGGAGGGCTGCGCTGATAGAGTGAGAAATTCGTGCTTGCGTGGAAAGGGGATCATGACGTGCGGTGATGTTGTGATGAGAACCGTTTCTAAGGCGGCCAAATAGAGGTTGTGACGCGATGGAGCCCAGATCACGAGATTGCTCACGTGACACCCCTCTTCCATCATTGAATAAATAACTTTTTAATAGACCCTCATTAGATTATAAGGTATTCAAGTCTTCTGTAAATTTCGCTTCGATTAGTGACTTCTAGCTATGGCGAATCATCACATTAGTCTTTCCAATCAACTATTGTGTAAGTACTATTGGGAACTTCACCTTCGCGTTGTAACAAAATCAACCGCTAGGTACTTACTGTACATGCACTCCACCGAGTGAAACCACCTTCAGATATCGTCCGAATTCGCCGATCTTCCTGCATTAACACACGTCATAAGCAACACAAATATGTGAAATGTGGTCATCAACCATCTGATTTAGAGGGCTAAGGTGTGCTAACAAGCCGTCTCATCCACGACTCCCCCAGGTTTCAAGTTAAACTACATGTAATCATAAAAAAACTCATTGAAGCAGCTCTTTAGTGTGCCAACTCGATAAAAAGAGTCAAAAGCCGAAATGAACATATGGAACCCAAGAAAGTGGCAACTCCTCATCTGGGATAAAGATCATGTCCCTTGCCAATCCTTCAGAAGACCCGGTCTGGTGGTTGTCAATGCTGCATCTTTTTAGATTCTCTGACATACGCTTAGCCGCTCGAAACTCTTTTTCTGTTACCCACTTGGCACGAAGCTCCCGGATTGTTCGGTGAAGACCCTCACTCACAGAAGCATCACTCATGCCGTGGCTTTTCATCCACTGGTACGTAGCACCCGCTACTTCCACGCATAATTCATCATTAACCTCCCACATAGTGCCAATGGCATGTCTAAAGCCGGCAAGTTGGAAAGCACTGATCAGATGAAGGGCCTCATCGATAAGCTCATCATGATTCATCCGTCCGGTTCCGCAGGCGGACAGATAGGCGAGAAACGGCATTCGCGTCCACAGATTCATCTTGAGGAGACTTGATACAGTGAGCTTCTTTGCACCATCCCCCAGCAGCAGAGAGCTATCCGAGGGGTCTGACGGGTTTGTGTGGCCATGGCCCGCAAAATGAAAGATGTCGCAGTCCTTCAAGGATGATAGGATGCTTTCCAAAGAAGAATCACCTCCAGCTACATGGACCTCCATGGATCCACAAATACTTCGTACTTTGTCGATCTCCTGCGGAACGAACGGGAGGTTAATTTGACCGGGCGTCTTTTCCATGCCGACCAGGAGGATCTTCTCTCTCAGATGCCTTGCCGAAGAATGGTTCTCATAGTTTTGGATAAGTGCCTGTATAGAGGAACTGTAAGATGAAATGACTCGATTCATGGCCACTCGTGAGGATCCATCGACATGATGCCCTGCTGCGTGAAGAGGGAATTTGGCCAGGCGCCCTGTAGGAACCCACCACATACGCGGCCACTGGTCCTTTGGTGTCTCTGTGAATCCGAGAGCGTTGAGAATGGGATCTGCAATTGCATCCCATAGCCAACCCAAGAGGTTCAAGCTTACTCCACGAAATCTCAAGCCATCTCTCCTCAGACCTGGCAGTTTCAATGCTTTGATCCCACTCTTCTCCACGGTAAGAGCATGACAACCGTAGTAACTGACGTTGATAATGACAATCGGTCCCATGGCAGCAAGGACCTTCATTTCATCTTCAGAAGGGCCCATCATGAATCGACTAAACGGGGGAAGTTGCCGAATGGCTCGAATCGTTCGCTCAATGTTTTGTCCAGCCTCATATCGTTGATTAAACCGATCAGCGGATGATGTCGCCGCCTCCAGTTGATCTCGATTTCTGCAGTACTCCTCGGCTAGCTGGGGGTTCTTCACTTGAAGCTTGGAGATATCTGTGCGCAGTTCTCTCAGCGACCCGCCAAGTACTCCCCGCCCAAGTTCCAGGAGTCGAATGGCCTCATATGGGGGTTTGCCTGTCTTCAAGGCAAGTGCGGCAGCATCAGAGGCTATATCGGCCACCTCGGCGAGTATATTCTGCTTGTCTGAATTCTCCAGAGAGCGAGGCGCGAGTCTGGGAATCAGCGAAATGGTCATTTGGGCCACTTCCGCGGCAAGGGACCATTCCTGACATTCGACATGCAGGGCGTATAACTGTTTCCCTACACGGATTCGGCTCGAAGTTGGGGATGAAGTATTAGCAAAGGCTTCATGTAGATGTTTTAGGATCTGCACTGTACTCGGTGCACGTCCTGCTTCCAAGGCTTGGTAGATGGTTGCCGTACAGAGAGAATGGAGGCGCCTTGTTCGCTCCGGTACGTCATTGGGAGTTTCGTCCAGCGCTTCTTGAAATCTTTGACACGCACTGTCTATATCTGTTGTTCCTTTGCTTGCCCCCGCGTCATACTTGAGATAGTGACTTTCACCTAGAGAATGCAGCAACTCTCCCCGTCCTTTATGGTCGCTAGGCATTGCATCGAGGGCCCTTTGGTGATACGCAATCGCTATGTTGATCCATGTCGGTGCTCGTTCTTTACGGAACTTGGCTTGATAAGCTAGACCAATTGAATGGAGCATATGAGCCCGGAGCAGAGGAGTCCGCGATTCATTGAGCGCATCGCCAAAAAGGCTGATGGACATATCGAGATCTTTGATAGCTTTTAGCCTTAAGTACCTCTCATACAAGACAGTTGCCAGAGCCTGCAATCTTGTTGCATATTCCAGATCGCCGTTTTGGGTTGCCCCGGTTACTTCTTGGAACTTCTCAAAGGCTGCTTCCAAGTCCGCGATTGCATTCAAGCGTTTGTATCGCGTGAAGTGTAAATCCCCTAGGTTAAACACCCGATTCGTCCACTCCGCATCATCCGAGCGCGTAGTATCGACTGCTCTCTGATGATGTTGGAATGCTAGTTCCAGATCCTCGATCATTCCGGTAAACCCATACTTGCTGCGATAGGCAGACCCGAGTGAGTGTAGGCGATCTGCGAGGAAGGAGTCGCATTGCGGCGTTGCGTTTACTGCCTCCTCTAGCCTGACAATAGCGGTCTCTAGTCTATCAATCTCTCCAGTTTCGAAATAGAATGACTGTAGTCCTGCTCCGAGAGAGTGCAGCCAATCTGACCTTTGGGGATGTCTTTCTGGTTGCCTCGCGAGCGCCTCTTCAAATAGTCGCACAGCCTCTGATATCTCCGCTACCTTTCTCTTCTGATAATCGTGACTCAGGTGACCACTCAAGTAGGATCTCGATGGCAAAAAGCTTACGTATCGATTCTGGTGCTGTTTCCCGAGGGAATACACCCTCTCCGGTTTATCTATGTGGCCATCTGGTGTTGCGTCAACAAGCTCGCGAGCCTGAGAGATGGCTGAGTCCAACTCTGCATTTCTAGACTTTGTCACATCTTCCTCATTCGGAATCACCCCGACCTGCTCTTCTATTATGCGCCGGAAGCTTGACCAGTCGCTCTCCAAGGAATCAGGAGCCTCTGGACTGTTGGACATGATGCATGCTCATCCATCTAAGCCACTGTGGAGCACAAACCATACGGTGTGAATGGAAGTGCAAGTGTTTAGTTAAGTCTATTAATGAACACATCATTACTGGTCCATAAATAACTCATCAATCGTTCATAACGCCCAGGCTGACATGATTCCCCGCATTAGGCTTCCTGAAAGGCAGATTACTGAAACCCTGCTCAGCGCTTATTCTCTGGGCCAGCACGCCCTCAAGAGCGATTTCAACTCCTCAGCTTACTACACACGGACTCCCGACTTTTTCGCCATTCCGAATCTTGAAGCAGCTGTTCGATAGGCGATATTCCCAACGTAATGGAAGAGAAGAGTAGATCCGATCCCATTTCTCTATTGAGTCTGCCGCCTGAAATTCAATCCAAGATCTGCTCATGCCTAGCTCAGTCATTTGAGCAGTCAGCCCTTAATGCAGTGCTCCGGACCTGCAAGCAGCTCTACGAGATCGCCCTTCCGCATTCCGTGAGCTTTTACCAGAACAAATCCTACCGTATTGATGACTGCGGCTCGTGTTCCCGGGCCCGCAATGTGCAGTTCTTACGGTATATCCTCATTCAAAGACCTGAGCTCTCTAGATACGTAAAAACTGTCATCTTCGGCAGCTTTTCGCCGGACAGCCCAAAGTTCGAGCACCCCAGGGATACAGCGCACCCGGACGACACCAAAAGTACCAAAGCGGAGGTTGGAGTCTTTCGGGAGACGATACAAAGGAAGCTGGGACAATTCGGCCTTGAGAGGTTTCCTTGGTATGATTCATGGGTGGGGGAATGGCTAGATGGTCTCGCGCAGGGCACCACTGATGCTCAGGTCACTCTAATTCTGCTTATATGTCCAAATATCGGGACACTGCTGTTCGAGCGGCCCAGGGGAGCTCCGGTTTTCATTCGTTTCCTATTTGTGGTTGGCCTTTTATCGAATGCGATACCTGGAGGGCATTATCCTGAAATGCCCAGCAGTGTCCCACTTTGGAACGTCCAAGACGTGTATCATGAGGCAAATATTGTAGACGTTCACTACAATGATTTTGCCGCACATGCACAGCCTCTCTTTTTCCTACCTCGCCTCCGATTCTATGAGTGCAATGTAGTTTTCGGAGGTGATGGAGACCCCCAAGGACTAACGCTCTTGAAGCCGAGGTCTTCTCCAATAGAGGAGATCGTTCTACGTGCCACAGTCGTCAGTGGGCCAGTATTGTTGGCCATGCTGAAGGCCTGCAAAGCTCTCAAGAAATTGGAGTACGTACATCTCTGCACAAGGACGGCGTACAGGGGCGTGAACCCCCAGCAACTTGAAGAGGCTCTACTGCTTCACGCCGACACGCTTGAGAATCTCTTCGTCAATTTTAACGATCTCCGGGACAAGCGATGGGAATGGGAAGGCCACACCGATAGACTGTACATGGGAACGAGGTTTTCTCAGCTGCATTCTCTTAAGAGACTCACGATCAGCATGCAAGCTATTACCGGAATACTCGCCGGACCTCCTGACACGAATACAAATTCACCTCAGATGCCACTCCGAGTCGAAGAGGCACCCAGTCTTATTGAATGTCTCCCCGAAAGTCTGGAATACTTGAAGATCTTGGCGTGTGGAGAAGAAATCCAGGAAAAGGCAGCAGAGTTGCTAAGGACCGTTGAAAAGCAACAACGCTTTACAAAGCTCACTTACATTGGCTTCTTTTTCAACCGTTGGCTGATGGAGTCGGAAGTTGATTTGCGTTGTGGCTCGCCGAATGTGCAGTTGGACATTCGCTATCTCGATCGAGAAGAGTACTCTGATGGTTTGCCGCCACTGGCTCCGAAATCAGGGTTTGGCGGTGTGCGCAACCAAATATCTCGTATTTACGGTGCAGATGCTAGACAACAATATCTGATGCGCCGTGGACTGTAGTCTAGGCATCCAAACAATGATTCTTTTCCAGAACGAAATCCAATGATTACAGACCAGGGACGATGGATGGAGGGGTACTACGTCTTCATTTTTGAGTCGTAGCAAATAACATGTCAGAGTTTATGATCGGGAAATTGATTCCCCTGTCTTATGTTTGCGCCTAGCCGTTCATGTCTAGGAACTGTTTGTGTCGATTTGGTCGTCTCAGAGAAACAACATAAAATAGGGAGACCCTGAAGACTTAGGTTGAGACTTTGTCAGCGTCAGTCAAGTAGGTCGGTTTGCATAACTACAATTTTCCTATAAAAGCAGCCTTTAAAATCAGATCCAAGTCTCAGTGTTTATATAGAATTTAAATCTCATTGGCTTTCTCAGTGTCACGATAGGAAGGTGAGTTCTGGGTGTCGTAACTTGGCGTGGGGCAGAGATTACTAACCCGAGACATGTTCCTCTACCGACAGTTACTTTACGTATGTACCTTCCATCGAGGAGTCGATCGATGATCCAAGAAAAAAAAAACACTGACCCCGCCTTGATCACCACTTCACCGTTCTTTACACGCAGCTGCCAGCACCGTCACCATGGTCTACACAATCGTTGTCCACCTCTACGCGAAAGATGACAAAGAGGCCATCGCCAAACTGAGCGCCAAGCTCATCGAAGCCAGTCGTGTTTATTCCCAGGACAAGGAAACCATCTCCTGGTTCGTCATGCAGGATCACAAGGACCCCAGAGCCTTCACCATTGTCGAGCGCTACGAGCAGGAATCGGTATGATTTGTCAATGTGGAACTCCAGTTTTTCAATCCCCCTTTGCTAATACGCCATCTTCAAATAGAGCCAAAAGTACCATCTCGAAAACCCCTACTGGAAAACCTTCGACCCTTATGTCATCCCTCTGCTTGAGAAGCCAATGGATCTGAGGAGGTTTGAGGAGCTGGACACAAGCAAGCCTGTTGAGGTTCCCCAGTAGCTTAGTCTCATCGCAAAAAGCCTATGCTTATTGGCCATATGTTCATGCTATGACAAACGGCAGAACACCATGAGCTAGTAGTCAGTCGTTTAGTCAGCCCGCCTAGTAATCTCGCTGTCGGCCTTCACAATTTGATTCCAAAGTTCCATTGATACCCTTTCGGGACTCCAGTCCCATCCTCCATCTCCCTCCGTCTTGAAGTCCGGTCCGTCCTTTATAACTTGTACAGTGGTCATAACAATGTCATATTGGAAACGGTCAGAAAAGCAGTGACGAGAAAATCGAATGGTCACCTTCTCAAGGGAAGACTGTGCGCCGCTCTCGCGGAATTTGTTGAAAATGGCCCGAGCCAAGATCAGAGTGTTTTCGACATTGACATTGGGAAATGACTTGCTACCCATCACATCATATTTATTCTCTCCTGCGAAAGGGGAGACTTTATCATCCAGATTGATGGCTAGCTGTATCTCTTTAAGACGATCCATCTTCGCCAACTCATCGATCGTTGCGCTTTCTTGTGGCTGGCCTCGGTTAGACGAACCAGTGGCCTCTTCAAACAACCTCTCAGCTTCCCGGGCGCTGACATCCACAGTCAGATGCGTAAGATGCGGAAATCCAGCGACAATCCTTCTTGCTATCGCTGGCGTCACGGTAATGAAATCGTAATATTCAGGTGTCGAGTGAAGCGACAAGCTCTTCAAAGTCTCTGCATGGCGGTATATCGCAGGCCATAGGATAGACACATCTTTCTCGTAATTGCTAATAGAGAGCTCATCGAGTGAGTCTATAGCAGCGATGAAATTGTTGGCGATGCTCAAGTCCCCACCACAGGCGTATAAGCATCCATAAAGCGCATCTTTCGCATAGGTCGTTTGTAGGGATTTTATCTTTCGCACCTGCTCGGAGTCTTCTCTCAGCAGCTTCTTCATCAGGCCTCCAGGGCAAGAACCGTAAAAATTGATTATTCCAGAACCAAAATCCATCCTCGGCGAATTTTTGATTGAGTCTAGGTGATTAGTTGACAAAAGGGTGCTGCTGTGTTTGTTCTTCGAGGCGCTAAATTGAAATGCCACCACGATTGAACATTGCTTTCATCCTGCTTTAATACCCCTAAGCTTTACCGTCGAAGCCTCGATGTTTGCGAATGAAAAGGCAGCCTGTCGCTGTGCCTTGCCTTGAGCTGGTGGCTGTGCAAATCTGCCCATCCGGTCCCTGGTCTCAGGCAATTCAGGCTGATTCCAAAGACAATCAACGGCGTGATATTTAATGCTACAAGCTAGGGCATTCCACGGAAGGTATTTTCTTTAACAGACCTGCTTTTTTTTTTTTCCGGCATGCCGCAGCTGTAGCCTCCGGCCAAGAAGCTACCCTAGACTTGATTCACTGCCAATTCTGCCATATGATCCGAGAAAAGAGGCCAATCAAGTGTTTCTTTCATAAGAGTTCTCTCTAGGATGTCTAATCCGTTAATCAATATCTACGAGTATAATTGACGGCTAAGATGGATGAATACTGGCAGTGTAAACCACTTTTAAACAACGTCTCAGCATTTTGGAGGCTTGGACCCCAGTGCCCACCGTTTTGTCTTATAGTTTACGGCTCTCACATCTTTCAATTATTTAAGGAAGTAGAACTTATATTCAAAACAAGATATTAGAAATTATCAGCCTTTCAAGAATTTTGCAAGGATGATGTTCGCATTTGACCTATTGCCTCTAAGTGCAATTGATTTTGCTTCAGTTGAGACATGGTATTTAGTACTGCTTAAATTGGTGATTTATTTGAGATTATTCTCAGCGACGCTCGCTTGACTATTTGCTGTAGTTCACCGACATTAATGATAAAGTCGATCCATCTTCAACCGCTGAACCTCCTGACTCTCGGCGAGAGCAATATAACCCGTGTCGAGATCAGAACGAACGTCTCCGAGCGTAACCTCGACGTTTCTCATCGCCCTTGATCTTTCCAATCCATCCCAGTGAGAAGCTTGCTGCTCTGTTGCCCTGATGTACGGATTGTCTCTTGTAAAGGAAGACACGTATCCCAGAATATCTGGCGCAAGGGTGTTGAACATCAAAGAGATCGATGATACTGCGGCGAAGAACAGGATGGAAGAGATGAGGATGAGAAGAGCAGCGAATGTCATGTTGCACTTATACTCCTCTCCAACATGATGCGTTATCGTGGTTTCGGTAGTATTGAAATCCGTGGGCGCAAAATTAGGTACCGCGTTGGTGATGTTGTTGTACAGACTCATATCTGCAGTCAGATTACCATACACATACTCCTGCGCATAGGTCGACTGCCAGTAGGTGTTGAACAAGACTTCGAGGTTCCTGCTCAGCGTCGGGAGCGGGAGTGCGGATAGATTAGCAAACGTATACGTGTCCCCCCCATACACGTTCGTATAAGGCCTCTCAAGCCACTTCTCAACCAGTGAGCTGGACATCCTGGACCCATGCGATATCGATCCAACGGTGATTAGAGGCAAGAAGACGAGGGCATTTGAAACAGCGGTGTAGGGTACAAACGAGTCCTGGTCGGCCGCGACCTTGCGAAGAGATTCAACCTGGCAAGCTCGGTTGATGCAAGAGACTGACGACTCAACATATTGACCCTTCAAAGAGCATTTGAGAAAGCTGCAATCTGATGAGTCATCGCTGTTCATGGCTGTCATGTTGAAGTCAATGGAGTTGTCTGTGACCAGCAAGGTGCCTGTTGGACGAGTAGGCTGGACGACGAAATTGGCACCTTTGCTATAGACTGAAAAGCCAGCGCCCACGCCATCGGAATTGTTCTTGAACACGGTGGAGTTGACCAAAACGGAGGACTGGGTGCAGTCAATGCCAAAATATCGACTGACCATGTTGAATGAGGTGTTGCCGGAGGCCGGAACGCCAACGACCGGGATCCCCAGCATCGACGAGTAGAAGACCTGCTGGTCGCGGTCAACTGTGTTCCATACATTCTCCTCGGCACCAGAGGCAACGACCGGCACTCTGACATTGCCGAATAGGTCCATCGTTTCGTTCTGCTGTATTTTCGACGTTGTCAGCCCGGTCATGAACAGCGACGCGAAGATTGGCCAAGTCGAAGTCATCGTGCTTGCACCCGACATGGCGCTCTCACGGGCTGCTGCGATCGGGAGGTATCGGATCGTCGCGTCTATTGTTTCCGCTCGGGGTACAATAGAGAGCAGTCTCAGGGCTGCCTGGCCTCCAAGAGGGGACATTGCCCACACCAAGATCATCGCCAGTCCGAGCGCATATTGGTCCTGTAGCAGAATCTGCCTTTCCAGGGTTGCGAAGAGAGACTGCGAGCCGATGAGACGTTCCAAGACTCCGATCTTGATTCCACGTTCAGCCCAATACAAGCCCAGAGCCCGGAAAAAGTGGCCGATGATTCCGGCGAAAATGATTGGGAACAGTGTTGGCGATGCAGTTATGATCTGCTGCACGACTTTCCCGGTGTGGGAGGTCTCCTTCTTGTCCAGCGCGATGGCAGTCGCGGCGAGTGCAACGAAGAGTATGGGGAAAATGGACAAGAAGATATGGCCAGCCAAGGGAAGGTATTCGAAGCGTCGCAGCCTCTGTGGCTTCGTATAAACGGTGTGGAACGTTGTAGGCTGGTCTTTCTCCATTGAGGGCGTTTTCGAGTCGCCCTCTGTCTCCTGAAGATGAGGGTCTTGTGGGAGCATTTGGATGAACTCGGGGACTTGGTTAGTGGGCCGCATCTTGAACGCTTTTACCAGCCGCCTCGGTAAATGCGGCCGATTTTGGAGAGTATCTCTCTCTGAGACCGAAGAAATCGGTTTTGGATCACGACTTGGCCAAAATCCAGGCAAGAGGGGGGAGCGGAGTTAATAATCAACAAGAGCGCCCTCAAACAAAAGCTTGTCATGGACCCCTGACCCTGCTGCATAGCTGTCAGCAATGGCCACGTACGAGCACATGGTAAGTCGGCTTTCAAACGGCAATGGTCCCCTGCTTGATCCTTAGGAGGCTGACATGCATTGGAAATTGTTGCCTTTTAGCGCGGCAACTTGTTCTGCTAAGTGAGTGGAGCGTTAAATTACACCAGAGAGAAGATCATCATACGGAAATGTATCTTAAAGTTCCCTTTGATATGATCTTGTCTATGCAATCGAGGCAGATCTGAGTCTACAAGTTGAGAAGTGACGGTGAGACTCCTTGGCCCTGGCAGCTCAAACAAAACATGGGTTGAGAGCTAAGGCAATAGCTTCACGACTTCTTACTCTTCATGGGTCGCCAGTGGAGCCTCGGACAGGGAATGGCTGGCTGGTAAGGCTGGTAGGGGTCGCGTGCCAAAGCCCCAAACCTGATTCTGAAATCTCACAATTCGCTTGCGAGCCTGAGCTATTTTAAGTACCGGGGATTGCCGGAGATACGACTCAAGCAGGTGTTTTGGGCTAAACATCCGCCCTTTTGTTCGTTTATATAATAATGCCGGAGCCTTTTTGTCATCTCGTTACTCTGATTGCAAGACTATACCTCAAGTGTCATTCCCTGTATTCCGATGGCGTGGACGAGGGCATGAATTTTACTTGTTCCATCAACCTAGAACCCTTACGAATTCGCGAGCACGCAATGAATAGTGAAGAGACCATAGGGGTGTTATGCTCATGACAGGGCGTATTCATAATTGTCAGACTTAACCGGCAGTCAAAACCCGGCGGCCGGTGAGTGATAATGCCTTTTTCATGTCCAATCAATTGAGCAAACGGTCAGGTAAGTTTGACAGGGTATGTATGGTCAACTGGGTTAATCTAGTGAGCAAATCTCGGCTAATAGGGATTACTTTCGGCTTTCGAAGAACTAACAAGCTTTACTATCGTTGAGTAAGCCCTACTAGAGAGTGTTTGGGTCAACTAGGTTCCGTTAAGAGGCTGCTCATAAACAACTCCATTGATCGTAGTAGTAAGACTACCCGTCGCATTAAAGATGTTAATCTCAGCATCAATCTCCAAAAAGAAACCACCCGGGCTAGTCTTCTTTGTGGCATTTACCACGCCCGTCTGCACTAGGTCGGAATACCATTCCACATGGTTAGTCCAGTAATTCGGCGGCGTTACTGTGACAGTCACATCTTCCGTCCCATCCAGAAAGTGCTCACCATCATCCGAGTAGCTGGTATAGTTCACCGCCACCCTTTCCAGGCCGTTGATACTATTCCCGCCACCAACAATAGTGACGTGAGCGATGCCCGACACTCGACCCTGAAGAGTGTAGTTTCCAGGTTCGACTGCATACTGTAGCGGGATATCTTCCTCGGATGTATATGGAACAGCCCAGGGAATGGCATCTGGCACCTGGAAGGCGGGTGGGACTTCTGCAGGTGCTTTATCCACTCGGGTAGCGAGCATGAGGCGATACTCGCGGCCACCATCTGCGGTTGAGACTGGGCAGGGGAGGGGATTGACACCACCGCAGGACGGAGAGACTACCAAAGCCTGCCAGAAAGCGATCTTTGTGCCGTCAGGGGAGAATCCAGGATCCGCTCTCCCATTCCAGTTGGGATCGTTGACGCTTCCGTCGCTGCCGTCGCCAGCGGCATTGATTCGCTGACCAAAGTAGTCGCCGCGGTCACCGTATCGATCTATCAGTATGGGCTGGAAGAAGCGACGAGGTCCATTGTTCCTAGTCGATGAGGCAACCGTCACGGCGACTAGGTCGATCAGAGGCGGGATCTGTCGCATACCGGACATGAACATCTGGCGGTCAGTGCCCCTGGTGTCCATGACCACGAACCATTCATTGTCGCTAGAGTAGGCCATAGGGTCCGTGTACTCGGGATGACTGGTTAGACGGCGTACTTTGCCAGTGACGAGATGGACTGCGAATACGTCGATGTTGTTCGACTCTACTGGCGAGCCGATGTAGGTAATCTCATCGCCCGTGCCGCTGAAGCCACGCAGCTCGCCGACGGTAATAGCATCGTCGTGCAGGTGCAATTCTGTGCCATCGACTTCGATTGGCGGGTTTCCGTTTGGGTTGGTGAGGACATATACGTTGACCAGCTCATACCTGGCAACTTCATCTTCTGTAGCCGGAACGAACTCGAGTTTTCCAAAGTAGGCGAACTGGCCTCCAAGTCCCGTAAACGCACTCCAGCCGAGATGCTCACCGTCAGGATGAATCCGTAGCTCTCGCGGGCCCGAGCCGCTGCCATCTGCTTTGGTGTTCCATCGAATGGGGTAGATGTGCGTCTTCTCCGGTGTGCAGCTATCACTATGCAATTCTTCGCCTTCGCAATCGACGATGTTATGACCCCAGAGAATCTTGTTCTCGCCCCGGAATCCTTGTGGGTAGTCCCGCTGAGGGTCCAACGAGACGGCATTCTCTGGAGGCACAGCGCAGCTCACGCACTTCCACGGATCACCATTTGAAAAGGTACTGCCGTCCCCCTTAACAAGAATGAGCTGCTCGCCAGTGTAGATGCTTGCTGCGTCTGGGGCGGCAGGCGCTCCGACCATGACAACATTCACAACAATGTGGTTGCCATCCCTGGTGAAGCCGCCAGCCTGAAACTCGCCAACTTCTCGGGCAATGCACCCAGTTCTGTTGGGGTTGATGTCTGTCGTGCAGGCGCCTTGGTTTGAACTGGGTGCTACGGGGGGCAGTGGAAGCTCTATAACGTTGAAAGCCTCAGGCTCTGGCGGTCGAGGCACATCAGCGAGGATCTTGGTGGCGCCCAAGATGGCTGACCAGACCATGAGAGAGCCGCTCAAAATCATGTTGGGATGCCAGTAGTGCTCATGGAATGTCATGTTCCAAGCATGTCTGAAGTCCATGGTGTATATGCTTTTATACAAGTACGATGACATTCCGAGCCGTCCACCTCGTCCGAGTTGCTCGGGGTGAGATCTACCGAAGCACGAGAGGCAACCTAGACGATGAGTGCCTTGACGGTCGGGAGGTTCACATTGTTCACCGCATTATGACGCTTTGAATGCTATAGTAGCTCATCCCCGCGTTTGTCTACAGCTGAAGAGTAGTACTCAACCTCAGCCTAGACGATCGATCCGCGGACTCGCTTAGGAACTAACGAATTATCCGCGGGTTCGCTTACTAGTAGTGCGGCTGATCAAAGGAAAAGCTGAACTGGGAAAAACCCCCGAGCATCGGTTTGGATCTCCCCGCATTATTTCACATCTTTGGAAGCATGACCGGCACGGGGGATCCCAGCACGGGGGATCCAGTGACATCCCCAGAACACAGATCATGATTGAGCCAGGAAAGCTTAGCCGCATGGTACAGTTTACTTGTGAGGTCTGAAAGCTGAATTCTGTCCCGAAGCGAGCCCTGGCAGCCTGGATTGGATCACACGGCGCGTCCCTCTTTTGTTTCCGATCTTCCCCATGGGGGACTTGGCTTTAGATTGCCGTCCCATCAGTGGTCTGGGCTTCATCGAACCTCAAGATGGAGATATCAACCACGGCATCCCAACTTCCATGCCTAGAGTAGGTTTCTTGGTGACCGTCGACCTCGCGACACCCCCTTCCAAGTTGTCAGATATTGAATCACGACACTGGCTAGTGCCGCAATATTCTTTCGCTTCCTGGTCAAGTGATACTTTCTTCATCCTCGCGTTAATTGAATAGGGAACGGTGAACACGTTTGTTTACAGCGGTGAGATGAACGCAGTCGATAGCATATAAGAGTACGTCCCTGATGAGACTGCCATAAGCGGTGCTCTTGATGCGCTGTATGAAGGTTAAGTAAGGACTGGCCAGAAATAATTGACACCTTGGAACACTGATAAACAGAAGTTGGCTACGATGAAGGAGACAGGTATTCTCTCGAAAGTGAAAGAAACTAAGATGGCTAAACGCTAAGTAACCAGTGCCAGTTCTTTTAATCCTACGTAGCAACATCAAAGCAGATTATTGATATTCCCCTTGATTAGCCTTCGACCTTTGAGAGGCTTGGAGGCATGAGAAATGGAGCAGCCGATCACTCATAGGCCCCGCACTCCAAGACTGCCGATGCGCGATTCTAAATCCCGTACACTTCCAGTTTCGGTTTAAATTGGAGAGCAAGATACCGATGCTTACTAGCAGTGTGGTCCCAAAATGGTCTAAGGCGGAGAGCAGGCCGATGTTCTTCTTATGGCCCAAACTAAAAGCAATTTTCTGCTACGTGAAGAGCCATAAAAAGCTTCATGAGATACAGTCAAGTCTGAAACAGGCAGGAAGAAGGAGGAAAGAATCATGCTCCCCTTCGCCGAAGGTCCGATGCTCCGAACAACTCGTGCATATTGAAGGACAGGTCATCCCGAGCATATACTAGTGGTTTTAGTTACTGGGAAACTTATAAATATCTCACACTCTAGCCTAGCTGTAGCACATTTCCAATAGGCATCTAATTGTCATCCAAACTTCAGACAACGGCCCTACTCCCTCTTTCAAGGACAGCCTTTTCAAAGACAAACAATTCACAACCGACTGAACAAGAGTATGTTGATCACTACAGAACTCATCGAATTTGTTGAAAACAATGGAAAACTCACTCATATCTGATCAGTGTCAGGAATCGTTCCCATCACTGTCGTTAAGGGCGCTGGCGCTGAATTCATCCCGATCCCCGAAAACTCCTGTGCTACTGTTGCCGACTTCCACACGACCCGCACCAAAACCACCGAGTCTCCCACTCATATCACATCCGGATTCTACAAAATTACCCCTGGTGCCCCGCGGACAGCGACCTACGATTATGAGGAGAGCAAGTATGTCCTGAATGGGCAGATTGACATCTTGGTAAGCTCTCACCATCTCCCTCATAAAGGATTTCCCCTATACAACTCAACGAAGAAATTGCTAACATGGTGCTCAGGATGAAGCGACCGGTAAAACTCATCGTCTAGTCCAGGGAGACTTCGCTTTCTTTCATGTTGGGTCAAAAGTTCAGGTAAGAGCCTACTATCTCTCCAGGTGCTTCTGTTATCTCATTTCTAATCTAAATCACCTCAGTTTTCTACAAAGTCAGCTGGTTTTGCCTTTTACGTTGTAACCCGACCCATCCTAGTCGCACACAGTAATCTCCAAGGTCGAGAGGAGTAGCATTACAAAGGCAGTGAAGAAGAGTATCCAAAGCACGTTGTAACCGACCATGTTCTCTATGACATCAAGATATTTCAGCCAGAAAGTTTTGTAGCGCTAGGATTTGACGCATGTATACATGGGTTTGCTTGTCTCAACAGTGAGCCAAGTCCTGCAGCATCATATTCCTACATTGAAATTTCTATTAGCTTTTAGACATAAATAAAATGTAAGACATCGGGGGTTACAGACATCGATTAGTACGCTGTATTTTTTCCTTTGGGTTCATTCATAATATCCCACCAATGCGGCTATCAATATCTACCCAAACCGGATCGTCGTGTGCTTGACAGTGGCAACGGCTCCGGCCTCCAAATCCTGAACCAACCCCGACAATAGCGTAATCCGCGTCAGTCTCCCCCTAGAACGTATTCTGCGGGTTTTCTACATTCGTTCATACACACCAGGATCAGCAAGGGTGCTGGATGGATCTATTAAATATCAGATAGCGCTCCGATGACATCTTACTCGGCTACAATCGGACCAGGTGGAGCAAGAACCGGCGCAGATCCAGCGAGTCAGTGGTTTAAATCACGGATGAGACGGGTCCCTGAACGGGTACCTACGGCGCAATACAGGAACAAGGATCATGGTAGCTCTGATCTGCAGCCCGGCGCAAGGTCCCGCCAGGGGCTACTGAGTCATTATAACGCACCACCATCCAACTCCCATGCATAGAAGTATTCCGTGGAAATTTTGGAGATCCTGCGCTGGTACTCCATGGGACGATATTGGGGTACCACCCCTTGTCTGATCCCCAGACAAGCGGATCAGAAGTCGAGATGGAGAATAAGGTAACTTTTATGTAATGTAATAACAGGAGTGACATGCTAAAGATAACATTGATAAATTGCTCATAATGAAAGATGAATGAGAGATGACCCAAGTAGGTAGCTATTCTATTGCTCTCCTTTCTCTGTATATCATCATGATTGTAAAAAGTAAAGTCTACAGATTTTCAAACATTCGCTACCAAGGCGTATGATCCTAAACAGAGTTGGAGTTGTCCGCGCAGGACCAGGCTGCCGACCCGCCAGACGCTTTGTACTGTGCGTTGATTTCCACAACGGATCCCCAGGTTCCAACAATCATGATGAAGGTGCCAGCTAGAATAACAAAGCAAGAGAAGGCCACCATGGCGTACCATCCAGGGGTGCGTCGAGATTTATCCGTGGTCCAGTTGTCGTAGATCCACATGCAGGCCATGGGCTGGAAGGTCATCAGCGTACCAAGGAGGGCTCCAATCAAGGAGATGAGGGTGCTGAAGACAGGGATGGCACTGGCAATAATGTACCCGACGACGACAACGCCAATGGTGCAGCTGAACCAGGTCACCCAGTGGCGCATGCTGTTCGATGACAAATGGGGGGTTCCACGCAAAAGACGAACGAATATGTACTTGGCAGCCAACTAGACAAAAAGGTGAGGTTAGCGTGTCTCATGGATCGATGGACCGGATGCGAGGGAAGCTTACGTGAGAGAGAAGAATGGTGGAAACCATTACGCCGGGAATGCTGATGCCATATGCGACCTTCTTCATCAAAGGACCAGCCGAGCCCATCGCTGGGCTGGAAACGTAGGAGCCGCAATAGTAGTAAACAACGATACCAATCACCAGATATATGGCCATCACGAGACTCAGACAGCTAAAGACTGCTCGTTTGTAGTGCTTAGGCTCTTTCATCTCAGCAGCGAAGCTGAAGCAAAGACTGACACTAGCAAAAGCGAAAATCAGGCTGGAAACTGCAGTCGATGCCTCCAAAAAGGTGGGCGTACCGAAGAGCTTGTAATCAGACTCCCAGTGTCCGGTCTGCGGGGCGGAGGCTGGTCGATCCTGGACACCGACGGCAATGGTGACGGTGAAGACTGTTCGACATGGTTAGCTGTCTTTCCTATCACTGGGGGTGATGGGTTCAAAAAGGTTGATGAGCGAACTTACTGGCTGCAATGATGCTGAAGAGACCGACCCAAGCCAGGATGGTGATTCGCCCGAGGGTTCGAATGCTATTGAGGCAGATGGCGACGACAGCGGCTACGACGACGAAGATAGCAGTGCAAGCACCATGGGTCGAGACGGCATTGAGAGCGATAGAGACGCTGAGCAAGCCAGAGCCTGTGACAAAAATCCAATCTTGCAGTCGTGAAGCATTAGCGAGAGGCCTACAAAGAGCTGTGAAGCATGGAGACCAAGAAAAGAATAACAAGCTTACAGAGAAGAAACACAGCACCGAGTATTTCTCGTCCCACACGACCAAACATTTTGAAGCCAGCATCATCGATACTGTACACATCAGGGTGGTTGAGCTTGAACTGCCCAATGACATACGTAGTCCAAGTGGCCGTGCCACCAATCGCCAGGATGAGAATGACACCGGGAATGAGACCCAGGACTTGGAACGCAGACGGAATACCCAAGACTCCAAGCCCAATGTTGCTCTTGGCCATGAGAATCGTGGTAGCAATCCATCCTACACTTCGATAATTCGGACCGTCCTCAGTCACAGCACCGAAGACGGCATCGTGAGTGACATCGTCGCCATCACCAGGCTTGATATTGGGCTGGCCTAATTCGGGATTCTCGGTTTTCTCGGTCTTCATGCTGGGCTTCTCGGATGCGTCTCAAGGTTCGATAAGAAGGGAATGAGAAAGGATAATGAAGAAGAGGCAGCCCAAGGGAGAAGAAAAACGGCTACGTCTGCGATATTAAACCAAACTATGACCAATCCCCCCCACATGTTGCTCCTCTGCTTTGCTGGAGAAACCGGACCCTGGCAGAGTCGTTCTAGAAGCGCTCCACTATGATTCATGGGCTGATCTGATTGTAGTTTGAGCACGATGAACGAGCGGTTTTCGTTCCCCTCGAGTCCACTTATATGTTTTACATCTCAATCATGGGCGGATGCTTGCGTTGAGACGAATCCACCCACCACCATCCCTCGGCGGACGCATGCGGAGAAGGACTGGAGCAGCGCACGCACACTGATAATTTGGGGCATGATGGTTGAAATTCTTACCCGGGGAGGCAATTAGTTTTAGTAGTGGGCCATGATCTACGAAATTCATTTGTCATGAACCAAAACAAGAAACGTAGTCTCTCATGGGATGGGGATACGATAAGACTACCTCCTTTTTTGACTTTACTTTTCCCCTTTGCTCCACACTTTCTAGCACCAGCATTTTTTTTTCATTGAAGAAGTTGGAGAAAGGAACAGGGAACTTACTCCGCACTGATCTGGAGTGGGCAGTTCACTGGATTCACTTTTTCTGACCAATTACTGCGCCTATGTCATCGTGGAGAGATGGCGGATAGCTGCTGAGTTTATGTTCTCATGGTAGTGAGCAGTGGAGGGTTTTTCTTCTGCATGACTGTAGCTTGGGGCTAATGGAGCTTATTTTTTAATCTTTCGTATTCTTTGAGTGAGAGGTCAAGTCTGGACTCTGCATTGCTGGTTTTGACTGTGTACTCAAACTCTCTCGTCCCCTATCCCGTAGTAAGCAGCAGCAAACAGATACTCCTTGTCCAACAACAAGGTCCTGGTTCACGAACAATGCAGCGAGAGTATTGGTCAGTCAGCGTTACTTTGCCGCTCCGATAGTTATTTAATGAGAATCTTTGGTCCAGAATTTCATCTTCTTTGTCTTCTCATCTGGGATCTCTTTCGCTTGAGCCGTATTGAAGATTGAATTTCCCCTGCACGCTGCATAATTTTATCCAAAACCTCGCGATGCCAGGGTCATGTGAGTATCGTATGGCACTTGAATGTATCTCAATAGTAGCACGTAACTGATCAAGATGTGACCTAGACCCTTGCCCACAGGCCCAAGTTATATCATAAAAGATCATTCTGAGGCTCATGAAGCGAGCGCAATGTGGCAATAACGGGAAATAATAAGGACAAACCGGATGAAGTACCCTTGCCAGCATCTTTATGCAATTATGCATATTAGAATCCTTCTACTTGCGTGACACTCTATTTCCCCACTCCTTCGCTCCTTGCACTTGGTCTGCCGAATATGACCAATACACCAATACCGCGGTGTGGTTGGCACTCCCAAATATCTTGTTGCCGCGATGCCCGGTGTTCCTCGCTCACGTGGCTGTCAGCGATGCAAAGATCGCAAAATAAAGGTAAGTCTACCAAAGACTCTCTACCAAAGGTCCAGCTTGGTGCTAGCGAGCTGATGATTCTATCTTGGGATGAACAGTGTGACCAGAATTGGCCCCAGTGCGGTAACTGTGCGCGAAAAAGGACACCATGCCCAGGGCCAGCTCAACTACTCAAATTCATCGTGAACCAAGATCATTCGACCCCGCAGAGTGTGCTACGGAGAGCTGGGTATTTTCGGAAGAGTCAAAATGTCGCTCAAGCGTCTGGTATACAACTCCATTCCCGTTCATCACTCCAGAGTATCTATCACCTCACCTCAAACAGGTCTGATACAGGAACCCTTCGCCCTGCTCTGACCACGGTCGATGATGGTGTTGCTGCTCGTCTAGTTGGTCATTTGGGGAGCTCCGGAAAAGACCAGATGATTACCCAAACTGAAATCCTCTGTCACCTTCCAAAGAGAATGTCAGCAAATCAAAGTCTCCGTGACTCTGTTGATCTGCTTTGCTCTGTCTGGTCAAGCCGTCGCTCAGGTGGAGCGGCGGTGGAATTCATAAACATGCCGCTATACGGGAAAGCGATCCGTAGTCTCTCTCAGACTTTAAAGACTGACCAGGCCTTCACTATGGAAACTCTGGCAGCAATTCTGATTATGCAGCGCGCCGAGGCCTTGTTCGACCCTGGACACCGTCCACTCATCCACTCTAAAGGAATTGCATCTCTCTTGGCTAGGGTTGGTCCTCCTAAAGCCGGTGACAAGTTCCACGCTAGTGTTTTCGCCGAGACATATAGCGTTATGGTATGTTGCTATCTCATTCTTATTTCTTCTCTTCTATTTCCTGTCTTATTCCTTCTTTTAATCAATATCATAGCTAGGCTCTCCTCGCATGTTACTAATATATATGACTACATGTAACCGAGCCTTGATAACATCCGTTTCCTGTTTCTTTCTTTTCCTGCAGTTGACTAACCAGGTATTATGCAGATACCATATTGGATGATGACGGGTTGGGATAATCTCATCGAAAAGCCCCCATGGAGAGACGCTGTCGTTAGTGGCTTGACTGAATATACCGGAGTGCCGGAGCTTAAGCCATATTTTTATACAGCCTTCGACAAGAACAACAGGCTATGTGAGAAAGTGCCCGTTTTGATGCAAGGTATCATGGTCCTTTTTCAAGATCCCGAACATGAAAAGTTCTCTGCCATCTCGCCATTCGTTCAGCAGATGACAGAGGAGTTTCGCACAGCAGAGACTTCTGTAAGAGAAGCCGTCTATGCCATCTTTGACGAAGCAATGAAGCTGGGAGCAATAATCGAGGAGGACAAGTCCACGCCCCTTACCAGGACTAGCTACAACTTCTCCTCAACCCACCTGGCTCAGTCACTAGTCTCATATCTCTCTTTTCACATTTACATATTACGTCTTCGTTATCAGTGGAATGTCTCATTTCAACTTCCAGACGCGCCCGATTTGTACAAGATATTCCAAGATGCTTGCATTAGAATATGGAAATTTGTTCCTTTTATGCAGAAAGCTTGGCTCTTCCTGCTACGACATCTACAAAGCTCTCTTGCAATCAGCTTCGAGGCAGCAAACGAAGACGAGAAAGACTATATTCTAAGTATTTTTGAGAACTTGGACAGGCATGGCAAGAAGGAGTCCAGGACTCGTGAAGAGCTTAGAAGCCAACTGGAGCAGCAGTCATTATTACTGCAGATGGAATGGAGGTAGCGGAATCGGAGTGAGAGACCCGGAAATTCTTTCTCGTCAAGCCATCCTTGATTCCTAAGGTTTATTATTAGTTTGGGGAAAAGATTTAAGAGATAGAATGCATGTCTGTCTAAAGGAAATGCTGCGCCGCAACTTGTTTTAAGATGACCAGCTTGCCATACCGCGCTTTCTCTCCACAATAACGTACTCTTCCAAAACCCTTATACCCAAGTCTATACTGTAAGAATTGAAAATTGCGAACATTCCGAAAAGCCTCCAGCACCCAGAGTCTTCAATCTGGCCGCGAATGGTCGATAACGCTGTTTTACTACAGTTGATTGCAATGGCTGATCCGATCCTTAGCTGAGGGGCAAAACTCTCGGCAGGAGGAGTTCAATTCAGTTGCCAAACTTGCGGATTTTATGCTTAGATTTGAATCACGCTGAGGAATCCTACTCCCGTCAGAAGTCACATTACTCCTCTGGTGCTTGAAATCGCGTCCAGTATCATGCATTGGAAGACTTTATGTATGCTATTACACTCTATAATTTCACTGCTGCCGGCAACAATTTGGCCGCCTTACCTGATCTTCTCGGAAACGTGTATAGTCAGCTGAAGGCCACCCGACTTTGCCATTGCCTCTAAATACCTCGAATATAACATTCTGCTCGAGGCTGGGTTGCCTGTTAAGGTAATCCAGTGGACACGCAGAGGCTCCATCGAAGTCATCAGACCATCGTTACCCATACAGGTAGCACGGTCATCTTCCGGAACCTCTACGACGGTCTTAGCGAAGGCCTTGCAGATGTCCACTACAGATACTACCCATGCGTTGTAGGCGCAACCGGCGGCAAAAGCGATGACCTGATTCTCAACACAAAGTTTCATACACTTTATCTGTCCTCGGATACCCTGTGCCAAACAACCCTAGGTGAGCCCTGAATTCAGTTCGCTTACTTCTTATTCTGGGGAATAATAAGCATTGCTGCATGACTCGGACGACTTTATTTAGTGCTGACTCCAGCGAACCGGTGTTTGATCCACTCGAAGTAGTACGGCTGGGATGCCTTGAATGCAGGGTCACGATCTACTCCAGGAACAGGATACTGATCGGCACTGGCCTCAGAATAAGAAATATATGTCGTAATTGTTGACGATCTGCGAGGTTATCTAGTAGCGGGATCAATGGAAGAGGTGAGAACACTGTGTCACTCCTTTCTGTGATCTCTCAACACCCATCTGTCGAAAGATGCATCCTCCTACTTCAGCTCAGACAGATAAGAGTCGGTCTTAATCAATCCGATTATTACGGCAAGTACGAGGTTTTCCATGCATTATGCAAAGTGTCGGAGACGAACAGCGGCATGTGACGAGCAAAATTTCCCCGCTCGAACAAAGGTGATGGGGTTGAGAGGGAGGGTTGCATCGACTTCTTTCTGACACGAGGGTCTTGAAAAATCTGACTGGTTCTTGACGAACAGCCTGATGCCAGGGTCTAGTAACATTTCTGACTTCAAATCGTGCCAAATTATCCACTGCAGAAATCACTCTCCTTTCTCTTTAAATAATCAGAGCAAAGTTGGCGCCTGATAATGGCACAGCGATTCATACATCTAAGAGCAGTTGATATGAGCCACTTGCGCGTTGCGGACAGGCCAAGATTAAGCAGGTCATCTTGGCCCGTAAATATCGAATCTCATGGACTTTCCATCTTCTTTGGCAAGCAGCGCACTAGCAATAATTTCTTGGAACTTCTGACCAGCCAAGATGCTGGACCGGGCCGGATATTGGCGAAGTCGGGAGGGAGAACTCATGCAGCTGCTTCGGTTTATTGGGCACCATGATGAATTAAGTAAATCCAAACACTACAATAGGAACCCAATTGCTAGATAAATCATTCTTGTTGCCTTTCCGAGGATATCAGCTTACCGTGGCATTACTCATATGGGGTGCCAGCCGGCATGGGAATATTGAATGCGAGAAGCGCCACATGTAACGCACCTTCGTTACTCTGTTTGTCCTGCTCGCTTGATATGACAGTGCAATGTGTAATAAGTTATTTGGTAGTAGATCCTTCTGAATTTCCGTCCTAATTACCATCAGTTATTGCCCGTCCCTCAGCTGGGCCAGATCGTGGATGGATGCACATGGGGCAATGGTCTTGAGATTGCTGTAGCGTTGGTGGAACTTCGATCAGAACTTTAACAATGACCAAATCAATTTCAGAACGCCTTTTTGGCTACCAAAATCTAATTAGTGAGCTTCTAAGTAAACATCTCTCTGCAATGGCCAAGCTCAGCCTTGTTCTCGTAATCCACAAGTATACTGCTCAACGAGCGGCGCAAGCGAGACAGTCAACGTTACACTCGTTAAACAACATAAGATTGTGAAGTATCATGTGCTTACGTGCAAATAGATGTGGGTTACAAGGTAGACGCTCCAATTTTCACTAGTGAAGTCGAACCTTTGCAAGCTGCATCCCAAGACGAGGAGCTCGGGTTCGTGGTTCCAGACCGGCATCGCGAACCTCCTCATGAGAAATTTTGTGAATGCTCGGCTACGCTGACAAGTAACAATACGGGTTATGCGAGCTCTCCAGTCCTGATATCTTGGATAGGAAAATTCAAATATAAAAAGGGCTCCTGTTCCTACGTCTTAGATTCTAGTTGTGATTCAAGCAGAAGACAAGCCTCCAACACTTCAGTCCAACACGTCAGCAGCTTCCCACAATTCCCCTTGATTCTTCAATCATGCGCTTCTTTCCCAGCATCGTCTCTGCCGTCTTTGGCATGGCTACTCTCTCGAGCGCTATGCCATCTGGCCAACTCATGTCTCGTGCTGAGGAGCTCTCACCTGTTGTTGTCATCACTTCTGAAGGTGAAATCGAGTCCCTCGCTAACGCGACTGCGCTTGGAGTCGACATCTACGGCCCCATCCCAGATGATTACACTAAAGTAGATGACCATATTGTTGCGGACCCGGGCAGCAAGGCCTATGCCTGGATCCGTGCTCGCATCGATGTGGACTGGGACAAAGTGTCTGATGATGTCAAGGCCGCCGATTACGCCAACATCGGCGTGGGAATGTGGACCTCCACTGGCTGTAAGTTCTTTCCTCATTCTTGCTGTTGAAGATTCAAGGTGCGCCTTTGGGTTGGCGAAAAGCTGTGGACTAATTTGCTTTGCTCTTCATAGGCAGCGGCTCCGTCTCCTACTGGAGCAACATTGAGTACAATCCTTGGTTCTACTGGAACACTGCCTCCAACTTTTACTCTGTAGGAACCGACAAGCGTGCATTCAGCTGGAGGGAGCGACTTGATCTCTACCGCCGTGCTGGTGACAACCAGTGTGGTACCTACACTGAATATGTCCAAGGACCTGCGGGACGTAAGTTGACAATCCCCCAAGCCATTCACTTCACAGCCTTACTAATAATGCATTCTTACGATAGCCGGATGCTGGAACGGCGGCCCATTCAACTGCTTCAGCTTGAAGATCGTCGCCTAAACCCATGTGGTTTGTTCAGGGGTTCATTCTCCCCTGAGAGACCAATATCGAGCACATGAAAAAGCATAATCTACCGTCGCAGATATGCTAAGTTTCAGACCTTCTCTTTCCTTCCTGTTTCTTCAACGATCTCTTTCAACAATAGGTCCCGAAGATATTAAATTTGGAAGTATTTGGCTACATCTTAGACTAAATACATGCTCTCCAAGAAATTTTTGCAGTCCAGTACATGTGATGCGCTTTTTTCTTAAGCACCCTTGTAATCCATTTTATAAAAGAATAGACCTCAAGTTTGGCTGAACAGTTATAGCGTTCTTAGGTCAAAACTGCCATCTTAAGCAACGTAGTATTTCTCTTTTTTTTCTCGTGTTGGCAAGGATTAGCACCAAAGTCGCAATTCCACTCTGTGTAGTGACCCAAATAGTAAATGACCGAGACTTTACGCCTCTTGGTATGGGCAGATGATGATGCCCCAGAGGAAATGAAACTGATGCTTAATATAGTTATCCCCCCGCCTTCACTTTCTGAGTTCCCCCCTCTTACTACCACAACCACCCAGACAGATGGTGCGACAGCTTCCAACCAAGGCGCAATTGCGGCGTGCATGTGTGGACGCTATTTGCTTGATCTTCTTACCTCTCCATTACTCACATTTTGTTTTCAAGGAGGCCCGGCATCACCTAAGTCAGTGGTGGGACGACAAGCGGTACGACAAGCGAAGCGCTCAGAAGCTCAGAGAGAAATGCTTCAGCAGTCGACCTCACCAGCGGAGTACTACGACTCAAGGCCCCCGTTGTTCTTTCTTCACACGTTTGCCACCCGAAATCAGGCGTCGCATTCTCATTGAAGCATTCGGGCAACAAACTGTTCATCTTGACCTCAGCTTTTGGTGGAAGCCAGGATGGCGATGCCCTACCTGGGTTTGGTTCAACTGGATATGCCATAGTGACAAACCAGGCCAGCTTCACCCATGGAGATGGAAGTCGAAGAGGAGATGGGTTTACAGTAACAAACCGATACACGAATCCGGCCCAAGGAATCCGCTTGAATGCCCAAGATCAGCCGGAGCTGCGGCGCCCCATCGTGGACGGTGCCGTCGCAAGTGTCACGTTGGAGCATCCGGCTGGCTTCTGTCTTGTCGACAGGCGTAAGTTTGAGCTTCCCCAGTCTCATTGTTGAACTAGCTTTTGTTGAAGTGTGAAATTTTAATCGATGGGATAGGAACATAGAAGGACTCGAGGTTCTCTACGGGACCAATACCATTTGTATCGACTCCCCGATTCTCCTCAACGGTCTTCAGGATATTTTATCGCCCGAAAAGCTCTCGCTCATGACTTCCCTGGAAATCACAGTCACTCACATACTTCATCCGGCTTACTTCTTCGAGGGACTTTACGACGATTCTCGTCTGGAACAGGGGACTATCTTATTTCCATCAATGAGACAGTTACATTTCGTCATTGACCATCATGAGCGTAGTTCTGTGTATTATCATTATAAGGTCGTCAACTACACCATTTTGTACGCCTTGGTGAAACTGCTGGTGCTTCCGGGAACCGAGGTCATCATTTCGTGCGGCGACAAGCGGGAATACTTGGTTTATTGCGAACGTCCATATGGGGATGGTCAGTCGTATGTGTCCTACTCTTTGATTTTGTTGCTAACTTCAATTTAGGTTGGGCCTAGAAACAATTCGCCATATGAATTTGCGAAGTTAGAATGATCGATAATAGCAGTAGTATTATTGGCTATATTCCTAGATTTGCAGCAGATGTCTTGTCCATCATCTTCTAAAGTTTGGACTTTGCCTCGCCTCGTGCCAATCTCATGTGAGAGGCAGTGAATGTGTCATTTGCAATCGCGGCCGCCGTGCTGATGTCCAGGGCCAGGGCGAATGAAGCCATCAGACCGGCTAATTTTTCTTTATCTTCTGGCCGATCGCACTGGACCATCCTCAGTGCTTCTCGTTGTGTAGGATTGCCCGTGCCTCCGCCGACAGTTGCGATGAGGATCGAGGGGAAATACAAGCTCAGAGTCAGGACCTTGGTCTCCTCGTCGTACTCTGGCGTGAGATCGCTCCACGCCGACTCTCCAACGCTGGCAGCATCTTGGCCCGTGGCGATGAACATGCCTGCCAAGACGTTCGTGGTGTTCACATTGCTCCCGAACATGCCGTTTCTGATGCCGCCCTTGATGAGAGTCACCACCTGGTCGTTGAGACGCTTGGTTGTACATCCAAGGATGTTCTGGCAGTCTTGGTCTGAGACGGAACCCCACGCCACTACTTCCACTCCTCTGGCATCTTTGACGTTGCCCCATGAAGGCTTTTTATCTGATGATAGATTTCCTTCCACAACCCAGTCTTTGATAGAGTACTTGTCTCCGTACAGAGTTCTGAGTTGGTCGCAGGCATGCTTGGTAGCTTTGGAGACCATGTTCTGCCCCGAGGCCGCAGCGCAGTGAAAGCTGCAGAAGAGGTGAACTTGGGAGCCAATAATATGAGCTTTCGTCTTTTGGAGTTTTGCATATCGGCTCGTCGAAGCGGCCCATTTGCCAAACTCCTCCTCCAGCGAAGGCCATTCCCGTGCGAACCTGACCGCTGAGGCCGGATTCGCGAAGATAAATACGGGAGCACGGCTCATACCCTGGGATAAGACGTCGAACTGGACGCCCCCTGAGGCACTGAAAGCCTTGCACCCACGCGAGCAACTGGCCACGAGGGTAGCTTCTTGCGTTGCCAGCGGAGCATAGAAGCTGCCGTCGGCCTTTGGCCCCTTCACGCGGAGTGGCCCAGCGACTCCAAGGGGCACCTTTGTAAAACCAATGCAGTTCTCGATCTTGATGGGGTCGATCTGGCTGGCGGGGGCTGGAATGTGTTCAAGGCCCCATCGGCTTGCAAGTTCGAGGGCCTTCTGGTTCCTTGACGTGCTCATGGTGAAGGAAGGGGTGTATGTGATATCTGAATGTGCTAAATTATTGCACGTAGATCTAATGTTGTACGAACCTTGGGACGGCGTTACCATCTTATATATGGGATCAGCGATATCTCTCACCTCTCACATGTCGCAACACACCACCAAAAATGGCAACCATATCTGTCAAGCTATAAAACAGCCGCGCACAACCCTGTTCCATGCAGCCGGTACCGCTTCTTTATTCCCCGTTTACATAGACAAACATGGAAAAGTGCATGGCATGCACCCTGCTTCATGTCCCTGTCTGGACCTTTGATTCGCTTCTGAACGGCAATTCGGTATCAAGTATTGCGTTTGCCGAGACGCAATACACTAACACTACACATATCGAAATCCTTCCCACGTAATATATGCTCGGCATGTTAGCTGGTCCACATCCAATTGGCTAGCATGGCGATTTCGACATGTAAGTCGGGAATAACAGGCTAAGCTAAACGCGCGAGTCTAGCTGAAATAGCGAGAGTAGGTAAGAAGATACGGGCCAGCGGATCCTATATTCAATAACTAAGAGTTAATATTCCCAATTTGGGCTATGACCTCCGGCCGACGGACCCATTGAAGGATCTAGGCAAGCTGAACTCGCCCCCTGATGCAACGTTATCTACTGGTAGTGATGCGACATATATGTGCTTCAAGCCGCGATTATTTCTTTCTAGATAGAAGATCGTACGCCATGGATTCACCACCTTGTGGATGGGTGGAGTCGGTATTTGGCATTGGTGCGACGGCAGTTGTAATATCTTGGATATGTGTTTGAGCGGCCCGGATACGAACCCTTCTCCGGTAAGAAGCCTAAACGTAAACGGCAATGATTTTCAAGGCTGGAGGTCTTGCGCAAGCTGTGGTTCCGATTATGCGCTTACTCGACGGTCTTGTTCCGCGATGGCACCTTGGACACTTGAAGGCTGGGATGTGCAGGGGCACTGTTCAAGTTAGCAATTCGGGGAGTGGACACTTGGGGGTCTCAGATATCGCCAGCAAACCTCGGCACAGAGTTTCAGAAACATATATAATCCGGAGGATGCTTCTTATGAGAGTTGCCGCATTCGATGGACGCCGGTGCTGATCCCCGGCCAAGGCAAGGAGCGAATGCTCCGACTACATTTATGTTTGACTCCCGAGTCTGATAAGGTCGCCAGATAGCACCCAGTATTCATCAAATGTTGCAGCTCATGCTTTCAACATATTTCCATTATTGGTCAAATCAGTACATCAAATATAGGTGAAGATTTGTCGGTTCTTCTGCCAGTCCATCATCGTCAGTGTGCTGCACAAGCCCAAACACTCCCCAGCTTCGATGGCAAGATTTTCGAAATGCGTAGGTTGAAACTGTGCTTGTCGGCCAGTTGGCAGCTTTTAGGGATCTCGCTCGAAGTCAAGCCACAATCTACCGCCAGTGTCGGATCAGAAATGCCAACTCTTCGCTCAAGGCCGGTAAAATGAATGGCCTAGGGCCTAAGTGAAATATGGAATTTAGAGAGAAAACTTTGGATTATAAAGCAGGCAGCTTCCTATGCGCTCTAATCGACATGATTGAAGTCTCTCTTGACTCGATTCCGGGCTACTTTCACGTGATTCTGAATACATTCATCGTCATTTTCCCTATATATCCCACACTTGAAAAAAAAAAAAAAAAAAAAAAAAGGAATAGAAGAAAACCTCGAAAATCTGTTCTTCCAGTCAGCTATTCCTGCAACTGCAATGCGCAATATGATTGGCGAGCAATGAACAGTGCATTACATTGAAGTGTCGGGGTCACGGTACAGGGTAGCTTGAGATGCGCGGGGTCTCCGGGAGCCAGTTTGCGGCATCCGGATCCCAGTTTTGGACTCCTATCCGGCAGCTCTCGCCCACCTCAACATTACTCCGCATTCGCAGGAGGGAACAAGAGCAGACATTTTCCAAATATTTGAAGAGCGTGAGCTCGATCAATTGCAAGAAAGCGAGAAAATGGGTTTCTTCCAATTGTTTCGGCAACCGAGGCATCAATATTGTGACCCTCTGTCGCCTTTCCGTGGTCAATCTCGCGGTCAACTTCATCGAGCATCCCGAGTCACGGCAAGGCGCTATCGGCGACGTTGAGATGATTTTGGACGCCCTACGGATCCACTGAGGGGCTGTGGAAGAGCTATATCATCATAAAGATCAATCATGCCCAGGCGAGAGTATTCCAAACATCTATCAACTCCTTGACTCTTCTTCCTCTCTCTGACCTCCTACGAAAACCCCAGTCCTCACACCCATCACCACCCACAATGGCATCCAGCGATAGCGGCGACAAGCGCACCGCGGTGAGCACTACGGCCGCGCCCCCTCCCCTCCCGCAGTTCTCCCAGGGCATCAACTACAACGGCCTCCTCTTCTGCAGCGGCTCCGTCGGCATGGACCCGGAGACCAAGACCCTCGTCGAGGGCAGCATCAAGGAGCGCGCGCGCCAGTGCCTGCGCAACCTGTCGGCCGTGCTCGAGGCGGGCGGCAGCGGCATCGACCGCGTGCTCAAGGTCAACATCTACCTGACCGACATGGCCAACTTTGCCGCCACCAACGAGGCGTACGACGAGTTCTTTACGCAGGAGCCCAAGCCGGTGAGTTCCTCCGCGTTGATGTGAATTCTCTGGGCGGTTACTAATCTGACGATGGTAGGCCCGTACCTGCGTTGCTGTGCACCAGCTGCCGTTGGGCACGGACATTGAGATCGAGGCGGTTGGAGTTGCGGACAAGGATGTCAAGTCAAAGATCTAAGTGGAGGATGGTAGGTAAAGAAAGCAACGATTGCACGAAGTTAAATAAAAATAAAGGTCAATTAAACAGCTACCGGCTTAAGGCCACTTCTGAAATGCAAGTAGCCCAAGAGTGATGGACGCCTGACCGACATAGTATAGCACCCAGACGGCATACTGCAGCGGCGCGCGCAACACCGACGACCTCGCGACGAGGAACTTGTCCGCCGCAAGGATGGCGTCCGAGGTGGTGAAGAGGAGCGCACCGGTAACGATCTGGGCGTTGTCCATGGTCAGCGCGGCGAGGAACATGCCCAGGATGGCGACCGAGTATGCGACGATGTGCACCTGCAGGCCGCGGCCGGCGACGCGCGAGACGAGCATGTAGTTGATGCCCGGGGTGAAGAGGGCCATGGCGGCGGCGAGGCCGGTGCGCCAGGACTGGGAGAGGATGAACTCTGCGCCGTGGCCGCGGGTGAAGAAGAGGCGGATGTAGAGGATGTGCGAGGAGAGGAAGCAGACGAGGGCGTAGAGGAAGGCCACGTCGCCCTCGTCCCACGCGAGGAGGGCATCGCCGGCGGCACTGAATGCGAGGGCGGCGATCAGTCGTCGGGTTTGCGCGCCGGCGACGGAGGCTGCGAAGGCTGCGAGGAGGGCGGTCGAGGCTGTCTTGGTGATGGTGCGAGGGAGACTGGGCGCGTTGCGTGCGATGAGGAGGTAGAGCACCGCGTTGGCGATGGAGAGGCCGAGGATGGCAGAGGGCGTTGGTGGGAGCTGAGTGATGTATTCTACTGCGGCCTCCATGATGTCAAGATTGATGCGATTGGTGTCTATCGCTGTGTTGGTGTCGCTGAGGGCAATTTTTGGTGAAGAAGCTGAATTTTACGAGGGGCGCGTCAAATGGGAAGAGGAAGGCGCGAAGGGAAGAGACGCGGTGGAGCCGAGGCAAGCGCAAATCAGCGAGACAGACATTCATTTCAGCTCTAGCACTAAACTATCACATGGTACCTAGGTAAGGACAAAACACCACCCTCTAACATTCGAAATATAGGTTTGGTGTCAATTGGCTAGATGCTGACAATCAGGGACATCGTGAGGATCCAGGCTTTTGTTAGACGCCCAGACTGGAAGTGCCCAATTTCTCTGCCAACTCGTCAATTTGGCCTGACTTCTTGCCTGCCACACTGGGCAGCTCTGGCAGCAGCGACAGAGCGTTCTCCAAAGTCGCATACTTGCGCGTATACAATTCAGCGTCTTCGTTGAAATGCTTGCGATCCGTCAGATACGTCACAGCAATCTCGGGAACAAGCGGATCCTCGAGCCCCGGATCCGTCAGAATGGACAAGATCCCGAGCATGACGCCCCCGAAATGGAACCACGGTGACCATTCCTTCCCTAGGATATCCAGGCAAATACTCCCGTCCGAGTCAATGTTGGGATGGTACATCTTCGTCAGGAACTGGCATTTCGGAGCGTGGAAGGGGTAATCGGTTGGTGGCGTAATCAGGACAGAGAAGACTCCTCCTGCATATGGCGACGAGGGCGGTCCTTCGAAGAACGCGAGTATGCTCTGATACGACGAGTCAAGGGCGGCCCCTGTAATCGCAGAATCTGTGTTGAGCAGTTGGGAGAAATGTTTCAAGACCATCTTCGGATGGCGAGCCTCATCCTTTGAAGGGGCCGCCGGAGGGAGGCGAGTTCGATAGTCTTCCAAAGCGCGGCACAGTGGTTGAATGGCCGTTCCGTAGGTGTTGGCGGTATTTGTATCAAAGGCTGGTTCCAGAATCTTCTGAGCCTTTGAGAGCAAATCTTTCATGAGCCTCCTGATTTGAGGTAGCGGATCTTGAGTCTCATCATCGCCGGGGGGCTGCGACGCGCCTTCAGATTCTGACTCTTCGTTAGCGGTCGTATTTTCCGAGGCGTAATCTGGCGTTCGATCTCTGAATGCACCGCTGGGTTGAGGGCTCTCGGGAAGCCTTATGGTGGTGGCCACCAGTGTCTTTTCGTTCTCCGGACTTGGCTCTTCTCGCGAACCAGGGGCCATCTTATTGTATTTACCTTTTCTGGTAGATGCTGAAGCAGAGGGCGGGTGATTTTTTTCCTTCGTGCCGGGAAGAAGAAGGGAAGAAAACTTCGACTGGATGTGCTTCCGTCTCACTGCCCAAAGGCATGTAACGAAGAGTGGCGCAGCAAACCCCCAGAAGAGTGCCTTGAAATAAGCCCACGGATCTGACATCGTCTTTCTTTGGAGCCGTCGGCCTCCAATCTGTATAAATACACAATGAAATGTGTAAGCTGTGTGTGAGGGCAGAAAGAAAAATAGGATAGGAGACCAAAACAGTCAGAAGGAAATACGGAGACGGAAACATAGAGACCTTTTGATATATACCCGTTCCTTTCGACCAAGGTAGAGAAAATGAATGAAAAACTTAAGGGTCATTCAGAAAGCTTAACAAAAGGCTTCCGCCCTGGTATTGACTGCACGGATGCAATCACAAAGTTAGCTCACGGCCGTGGCGCATACGCTGAGAAGCAATGGGCCGGATCGCGAAGACTTCATTTCCACTATGGGAGTCTTGCATTGCGATCATGGTCTTTTGTAACAAGACATGGTGTAACTCACTCAGGAAGCTTAGTTTCTATTGCTATTTAATTCTCACCAGGTTCCTCCCCGGGTATGGCGCCCGGTAAAGGACTCTATGATAAAGGCCGTAGTCTCACAGCATCAAAGCGACCAACTCATACAAACGAGGCGACGATTCATCGCCCATAACAGCTCGACTGTCAGATTCAGCCGGCTGAACTGGGAACCTATCCGAGGTGACTGTGCAGCGACGAATTAGTCTCCAAACTCTGTATTGTTGGTGTCTTTGGCCATCCCTCAGATTCGGCCTTCTGTACGATTTGAGTTTGATATTTCTCGCACTACTGTCGTTTACTCACGGATAGGCTCGAGCAAAGCCGCCGCATCGAGTTTTTGAGAAGCCGTTGGAAGGCTTCAAGTGGCCCGTCAAGATCCACAGAAAAGGATTTTGCATTGCTTGACCCGGGAGCCAGAGCCTTCACCATCCAGTCTGTCGTGACATGTTCCTTTTCTCACGCCATTCATCGAGGATTGTTCAGGGCGATATGGCTCCAGGCTCCAATTTGGTCTAGGAGATACGGCGGCTTTGCGTCCTAGCTGTGATATTCGTGTTGTTTCGCGAAAGATCTCTTGGCCTTGTCCCGAAACTTCTGGCTTCCTATCTTGATGGAGGAATATCTCTTGCCAAGGTCGATCTGAAAGACCGGAAGGTCAACCCGATGGTGAGCCGTCGCCCAGTCGTATCAATCATGCCAGAGACGGAAAGCAAGGATGGTCAGCCGATCCCAATTCCAAATCTTGACAAGCTTCGTGCAGCTTTCGATCGGGTCAACGGCGAAGGTAGAGCATGCTGTGGCCGCCACTTCATTCGTTGGAATGGGATATAGCGACGATTTCGTTCGGAGGAAGATGGCGGCCCTTGTAGCCTTCTGGTCTCGGAGAATGTCGGTGACATACTATAGTCGTTAGTCATGATAGTCAGGAGTCTCCAACTTTCGGCTCCCCTTGTCAAGGGGCATCTGTTGAAGTGTCATTGTCTGGCAGTGGGACGTAATTTGGGTCATGGAGAATATGGAGCGCGTCTGATACGTTCCGACCCAAATGGCCTGGATAACGTTGGATTTTGAAGCCTCAGGCAGCTATGCTCTAGGCAGTAATACTCACCAGCGTGTCTTCCGTAATGACCATATGTCAATCCCCGTAAAATACTTCCGTAACTTATGGTCCTCTCTCGTCAAGGGTTAGGGTTAGCGTTGCCGCAAAGTCAAAGGAAAGCATCTCGCGCATCTCTGTAGAGTGCGAGTCTCTATTAGACCTCAAACGAGAATAAGCGACTTATTATATTACTCTCCCAAAGGGGAATCATTTTATCGAGGAAAGAGGGTGTAGTGCGGGGGAAAAGAGTTGATTACGTGGGATGAGACTGGTGTCAACACTTCCTCCCTACATGCATCCGCAAAAAAATCTGATATTTTTATGCTTAGTTGTACAAGATAGGGAAATCGTACTTTCGCCAAGGGTAGTCTCTTCTCTTCATAATGTGTGTGTGTTCCATCGCGTGTTGACCATTCCAAGAGCTACTTCAGCCACGACATCCAACGCGCAAACTAGTGTAGGTGTGATCCAGGATACCTCCTAGTGGCTACGTCTGACGCACGGAGAATCAATACCATTCAGCTGCATGCCCAAAGTGGCCGCTCGTAGTCAAATGGGAATTGGCTCACCTCACCTCAAGCTTTCGCCCAATTCAGCTGCACAGGGTCCAAGACCATCGTGTGTTTAGTCAAACAATATTGCGAGTTAAGACGGGGATGGTGGCCAGCCAAAGCTAGATACTGTACAGGAAACGTCCTCGTATGCCTTCTAAGTATCCCCTGATGACGGCACATACGACTGAGACTCAGAATCGTCCCCTTCCAACATCTAGATCATGCGAGATGCTGACTTGGGCCTTGTATTATAGCCATGTTTAGAATGAAAGCATTGGGAGGGACAGTCTATATGCCAGAGACTAATGTATTCAAACTCCAGGTGATCCCGATCCCGAACTTGAATTGACAAGACAATAAACACGCAATCATTCATCCGGAAATTTCTGATACAAATCGATCCAATGCATTCTCCTAGAATCCTATTTCTTGCCCTCGCCATCTTTGGTCTGCCTAAACTAGGCCTGGCTGGGGCATACGATGAGGACGCTTCCCTCCAACCCATGAGCGAGCGTGACGGTACGTATGGGGAAAAGAAAGGACAGAAATTACTCCAGAATATTGCTTCTAACACATCATAATTCCCGAAATCAGAATTCTCGGGTGCCGACATCCTAGAACTGGGTGCTAGGGATCGAGTTGGAGTCAAACATGGCTACGGAGGCAGAGCCAGACCCGGCAAACTGGACAAACGTGCCGGAGAGCAATGTTACCCCATCAAAGACACACGGAGAATCTAGGAGTGCAAAGACTGCAGGCGCGATGAATGCAGGCTTAATCCCCTTACTGGGAGATGCGTCTGGGCAAGGGCAAATCGGGGTGGCTGCAAGTGCAAGAAATATGGCGAATAGTTACCAGAGTGATGATTCCGAACGGAATTTTCTAGAGATCAAGGTATCTAATAGTTGGCATTTGTTGCTGATTGGCGATCTTGCGTGTGTGCTGAAGCTGGAGGGTGAGCATGGTCTGTTGTCAGGCAGGATGTTTAGGTAGGATCATTAACTGAGAGCTTGTTCATGTTGTAAGCGATTCATGAGCTCTCGATCACCTGACAGAGTTCATCAATGGGGATTAACACAGAACTTGGCCAACCAATGAGCTTTTTCATTCATTCATATTCTATCCACCGTGATCCAGGGGACAAATGAAGATTCTAGGGTTTCTGCAGTGCTATTTACACTGACCTAATTTTGACTTTGTGCAGCTTCTAGGGCTTGCGACCCGTTACAAGTCTGACTTGTGTTAGAATTTGTCTCTCCATCTCTTCTCGATCGGAAGAAAGTCTTCTCAAGAAACAGTTAATCTCTGCAAACAGGTCCAGCAGGTGACTCTTTTGTTCCGCATCTGCAAGCTCCAGCGTGAAATAGAGACCGCGGGGCGTTGCAGCTGCGACGAATGGTTCGAGACTGCGGAGGAACCTAATGTGCTTCCATATGTGAACACAGAGCTGTTTTAGATTCCGATACTGGGCGGCTGTATCCGGGAACTGCTCCGCTACGCTCCAGTCATAGAGCATTCTGGAGAATCCCAGATGGAGACTTTGCATAGAGAGCAATATCTGGGCGAGTGTCACGCTCGAGAAGCTGTAGCTCGAGCCCGCAATGGATTTCGGGTCCTTTTCTTCCGTTATCTCCCCCACCTGGATGAGCTTTCTCACCAAGGCGGCGATTCTTTCTTGCATATCCATGATCGTCTGTTGAAATTCTTCCTTCAATTCTGCTTTCCTTTCGTAGGTAACACCAGGACCGGAAGTCCGGATCATCTGGACTAATGTTGGGAGTCTATTCACCATGTCTTCGCACTTATGCATGGTTGACTTGAACTGTGGCCTTGCCTCTTCGTTCCGTATGCAGTACGATAGACTTTTCTCGATGGAAGCCCTCCAGTCAGGCTCGTTTAGATTATTCGTCCAACCAGTTGCAACTGCGTGTGGGACCTGGATACAGTTCGCTGGTTAGTGATGAAGCACTGATCAAAACGTAGAAGATTGTCTAGGTGAAATCATGCGGCGGAATAACCTAGTTAGTGACGGAGGAGGATAAATCGAAGCAATCATACCATGATAACGTATATTTCCGCCATGAGTTGTGCCTGAAACTTGTCATTCGGCCTAGGCTTGCCAACTGCGGTCACCAAACTCGCGATTCCTTGTTGATGGAGAACCTTGTGGCGGCTGGGATTGAACACCTCCTCTGCGCGATGGAGAATCGTCGCAGACGCGAGTGTCTCCGTCGTGAAAGCCTGGTCACTCGACAAGGCTAGACGAAGACTCCGGATAGCTTTGCCGTATTCTGGCAGGTTGACGAAATCGACGGCAGGTTTCTGACGACGATGATTGGCCCAGACCGTGTAGAACAAGCTGATGGTGTCCCGCAGGCTTGGGTGCTGGGATAGGCGTTTGGGTATGTCCTTGAGATACCGGGTCTGGATGACAATGCCGCGATCCGGGGCAGTCTTCAGATGACGGACAAGCTGTGCCGCAACATGATCGGCAAGAGTGCTAGGCGCGGGCTGGGGCGTGTTGAGGCGGATCTTTCCATCTGCGGAATTCGGCTCGCGATCTGTAGCATTGTGCCTGACTAACGGTGTTGGTCCGGGGCATGTTGCCCCTTTCCGCCGACAGGGTGAACACGTTGGCCACTGCTGGTCACACTATTCTTGTAGAGTGGTTAGTTGCTGCTCGTCACGAACAGGAGCGGAGGCTGAACCACTTTTATTTTCCGGATCTTGCATATTGCACAGCCTCTTGACCTTGGTCCGGGCATGATTGAGTTTGAGGTAGTCGGCTCGGGGCGAGACACTGCGTCGGGAACAAGTACAGTCTCAGGCCTCGTAGTGTAAGAATGCTACTTTGGGGTCCTCTCTGTCGGCAACAGGGCGTGAACGTCTCTGCGCGGCTTCCTTCATGAGGTTGGGTGAGCGTGAACAATTGAGTCATCAGTGACCAGGTGGACCATATCATTTTTGTCCAGGGGTTGGTTTGACTAAGCAATCCTTCGCAACTCGAGGGGAGAATGATATTGTAAGTCGTCTCTTCTGTTTTATTTGCCCATTAACCACTAGTTTGATGGATAGGGCGCAAGATGCCGGCCTGTCTGCTCAGTTTAGTTTCAAGTAAGGATTCCCTAGCTTAGAATATCATGTCCCAAAGTCTCAAATTCATCTACCAACACTGACCCAGCCGTCTCCACCCTTGTAGGACAAAGCTACCCTGTCATGAGAACCCTGTCGAATTTGACAACAACTTCAGAAGCTCAGAGAGATGAAGTTCGAAAGTCTGGTCTTTGTTTCCTTGGTGATACTTCGGTAAAGTAAAGCATGATTTGATAGCACGCTAACCTCCGCTTAGGTGGACGTTTCTTCGATGTCGTCTCCTTCGCGGACGTAGCCAAGTTTCGGATACGGGTTCGGGTAGTGGCCGTTGCTGCTGTCTGAAGTCCAATTGGGATAATCTGGATCCTGCGGTTGGTTAGCAAAGATCCATCCAGATCTCGGTAGTGACTGCTTGGAATTACATTGTCAAAAAATGGCATGCCGTCCCTTCCATCTTCGTACCAATCATCTTCTGGGAGATGTCGTCTCCTACACCAAGTGCATCTGATCGGATTGTCATTCTCAAGGGCCTTGCCGCATGTACACCAAAACTGATCGCAATGTGATTAGAAATATGCACCAATGTATTGCGCTCGAGAAAGCAAGGTAGAGGGTAAGGTCTTACCGCTACCATAAATGCATGGTCGATGATGGTGATGGATGGCCTGAACAAATCATCACTGCTTGAATCATCAGTGCTTGAATCGTCACTGTTGGAGTCCTCATTCTCGTCGAGGTCGCCGGAGTCTCCCTTTTCGCCACCCTTAGCAGTACGTCTCTCCCGATTACGCCTGCCAGGATCCTCGTTCTCCCCGGTCCCCAGCTCACTCCAGTAGAATTCCTTCAGGGTGTGCTTATTGCAATACTCGGTGTCAAATTCATCCTCCTCTATTTTGCAGCGGGTGCAGATCCATCTCGCCCAATGGTCGCAGTCGCAGAGCTCGTTGAGAAACTGCCCCTTGACTTCTTCCTCCACTGCAGGGTCGCATTCGGGACACAGACACATAATATTACTGATCGTGTGCGCTATGTCGAAGTGCGGGCGTCTCGTCTTGTAGGACGGCCTGGCTCGGAGGTAGTATCTGCACTCCTCGCATACATTGATCCCGCACTTGACGCAGGGGAGAGCGCCGCTCTCGTCGCATTTGGCGTTGTACAGTTTCACTTCGATCTCCTCGTCGCTGACTCCGTGCGAGCTGCTTGTCCACCTCCCTGCTTCGAGGTTGGTGCGGTACGGGCGTTGGAAGTTTTGGCGCTTGACGAGGCCGCGGCCGTCGCAGAGGCAGAGGCGCCTGAGCTTCTTGAACAGAGTCGGTGAGCCGAGGATGTGCGAGTAGTGGGTGCGGTTGGTGAGCGCGAGGTGGTAGAGATCGACTGTTGACACCCAAGTTGCCAAGGTCGGTAAGATGGCGTAGGATGAGATGAGGTCTGTCAGACCCGGGCGGGATGATGTTTCGTCCATGGCTGTCTTTCGTTGTTTCGAGAGGATTTGGTGAGGATGCAAGAGCGACAAATGACTCATGATGTTGTGTCTTTGTTGGTTTGTGGATTGGTCTGTGCGGATTGATGGCACTTTCTAGCTAGAAAAGGCAGAATGTGGCGGTCAAATGAAGGATAGAGGATTCTCAACTCCATCTTAGAAGCTAACAAGTAGCCTCTAATAAGCAGTGGACTACAGATCAACACACCATTACGTGATGAACAACCATCTGGAGTACTTCCGTCTTCGATTTCTTGCATTATTCCTTACAAGTCTATAGTTTGGCAAGTAAAAAACTCGGAATGATTGAAGCAAGTTCTATTTGTTGTCGGCCCTCACGGAAGGTTCGCAAGTGTGCAATCACTTATCAATCAATCGATAAGCGATATGACGTATGTGCAAAGTTCTGACATTATATAAGGTACACCAAAAGCTGCTCTTTGTAGTGATTCTCCAAAAAAAAAAAAGTTCAACTCTATAGCACCTGTTGGAAGATTGTGCCTGTGCATAGGTATACTAGAAACGGGCTCCAACTCGTCGACCCCAAAGCCCCCCCCAGAGATCGATATGGGGAGGCCTCGTGTTATCCAATTCAAGGCCCTCCTTCATTCTCTCTCGCCTTCCATCCACCCAGTGTCTCCATTCCTGGTACTCCTGCACTTTAGGATGCTCCTTGGCCAGACGCTCTGTTCTCCACTGCTGCAGTCTTTCTTCGATATCGATCGTATAAACTTCTTTTCCGTTCACCATGAAAATCAACGAGCTAATAATCTGTTCAATTACCATCATTCCAATGTGTGGCAGGTACGCTTCAGGGCCCAGGATCTTTTCTAGGAGCCATATCATGACTGTCGCCAGCCGATCCTCAGGTGTCAGCGGGTCCTTGTCTTTCCCTTTCCCTTTCAGTAAAACTAACCGGCCGCAGATGGCCTGGGATTCATTATTTCTACCCAGCATGTTGTTCCGGCCAGAGGCATTAGTATTAGTGCGCGAAACAATGTTAATGATGAGATGATCGACTACATATCTGGGAGCGATGCTGTCGTCTTCTTCAAGATGAATGAGGCTGCGGTCCAAGAATCCCGGCCCACGATTGAACAGTGTTGAAAGCAGCCCCTCCAAGTAAGTTAGAAAGACATTGTTGCACTTCCATCCAGGGCTGGGATTCCACCCAGGGCCGAGTCCTGGTTCGTCTCGGGAATGGCCTGGCACAGCTGCGGGCCCATCTGAGGTTCTTAAGATGGCATGGACTGAGTTGATATACGGCGATTTTGGCAGAGCCGAGATAGACCAGATTGGGAAAACGCCTAAACCCTTGACATACATGATATGAACAGAGTAGTCGGTGATGCGTAGGTGTTGAAGAAATCGGGTGACTTCTGCATTGACTTGTTTGTTGACTTGGAGGAGAGACGTGGCAGGGTTTATCTGACGATACCAGGCACCGCGAGTGTGAAAGCCTTTGCCTCTTTCCGGCATTGGAAACGGAAGACAGGCAGTAGACAGGTAGTTTCGATATTGCAGGACCTGACGGCTTTCCTGTTCTAGGGCCGGTGATACAGGCGGCACAATTACACTGTCGACGACCCAGCGGTAGATTTCATACCTAATTTCTAGCGGTATGAAGAGCAGCAAAGGAATACGGCCAATCGACGATGGCTCCATGGTAGGTACTGTCAGAAGCAATAATACGGCGGGGGCTAGTTCGTGGGTGTTTCGCTCTGGCGCGCTTGACTTGCGTGTGGGCGAGCGAGTTGTTATGAGCTTTTGATCAGCGTGTTTGTGTCAACACTGAAACGCGCTATGATCTAATCACAAAAAATTGATCACAAAGGATGGAATTATGTGAAGCATGTATCACAAAGCATCTTATCGAAACGTACCTAATATTAAGCATCTAATCACAAAGTATCTAATCACAAAGCATATCAGCACGAGCCCTCTAATATCCCTGATTTTTCGGGGCAGGTTGCACTGCTCGATTCCAATTCCAACTCGCCCCTGCATTCCCTCCATCATTGCAATCGAATTTTCAGCGCCATAGCTTTGATATCGGGTACTTCACTGGAATACCTAGTGGTTTGCCGAAAAGTTTTCCTATGGCCTGCGTAACTCCCCGATGCTGGTTGCCGGTCCTGTCATCTTCTTTCACACCCCGCCTACCTTTCTCCTTTGCATGACTTGACATCATGGAGTCTTCAAGATGGGGCCTTCATCGATTATGTAGTTGGTTTCCCTCTTAAACTGCCATTAAGACTCTATGGACCCCGATTGGTCCTCCAGATAACTTTTGTGAATCTCTTCGAGTAGGGGATGTTCCAATAACTCCTTGGCAGTCTTCCTCTTTTCAGGTAACCACTGGAGCATGCCAGAAGCAAAATCGAGAAACATCTCTTTCTCATCGCCAGCCAGCTCCGTCACCGTGTCTGCCAACTTCATCCCTTCCCTAAGCAAGTCCTTGCGGAGAATTTGGCCTGGAATGAGGCAACGCGTAAGTTCTTGCAATCGTTGTCGTGAAAATCTTTAATTCTTCGCCACATGACTTACCCTCGTCGTCGAAAAAAGGTCCCCCCCAATATTGGTTCATCGTCTTGCACTCCTTGCCGCATAGGTTCATGACTGGCCTCTCGAGATGGTGTGTACGAGAAAATCGCTCCCTCTGGATCACTTCCTCGGGCGGTTCTCCCAGGAGAGAAACCATCCAAGAAAGGCGGACGTGTGCATCGTATTCTCCGCCCTCTCCAGCAGACCCCCCGAACAGGTTGATGTCTTCCAGCAGATTCCACATCTAATATAGAAATAATGTGACTTAGGAGGTCACGGTACGAAATGCACGCTAGGGAGATTTCTTTTACAAGGAGGCCGAAATTCCAGATGTCAGCACTGTATGACCAGCCGCAGCCGAGCAGAACCTCTGGGGCCCGGTAGCGGTCAGATTGGATGGGGAAAAGATGGCCGCGGCCGACAACAAGTCCGGGAAAGCAGGCATTGAAATCAGCTAGCTGTGGTAGCAGATTGTTGCCCTCCAAAGGTCCAAACTCATCTTGTGAGAAATAGGTCACACGACCATCTTCACTTCGGATATGCCTCCACTGGGGGACACTCGTTTGGTAATTGGCATAGTCGGCTAAGAGAGTGTCATTTTCAAATGTTATCATGATGTTCTCGCCCTTGATATCTGGTGGGTTTTCATTAGCGGTAGGGTCATTAGAGGTTCTTCGATCCCTTGCCTGTATGGATGAGACGGCACTTCGTATGCAAAAAGTCTAAAGCGTGAAGGAGAAGGTAGGTGTAAAATTTGAATAGCGGTGGCGGTATTCTTTCCCGCTCGAATCGTTGCTGAAGCTGAAAAAGAGTCTCCCTCATCGGCACGTGCACGAGACAGAGGTGTGTTCCTCCCGGTCCTTCCAACTGAAACTCATCGATAGGCGTCCGGATGAAATCCAGACCATCGTGTGGGCGTTGGGCGTTGATCATCTTTGATAAGCTCGCCTCCCAAGATGCATTACTATCGAGAGTCGCAATTTTTATACTGACGAATCGAGGAATCAAAGATTCCTTCTGTTTTTTGCTGGCGTTGAGGTTAGAAAAGTGGACTGAACAGAAAATCGGAGAGGGAAAGCGTACAATTTGAGATTCTCAGCCAGCCAAACAGTAGAACAAGCGCCAAAGCCGAGCTTGGAAATCGTCTTGAACCTGCCATTCAGTATCTCGCCAGGGTGAGTCGGATGGAAGCATCTGAGTCGATTGCTTGGAAACAACTCCTCTTCGATAGGCTCATTGATTTCATGAGTCGCTGATCTAAGGTGAGAAGTAGAAAACTGTCGGTTCCAAAAAGCTGGCAATCTGCAGCGTCGTTTCCGTGCGAGAAATCGCTGACTTGCCATCAGCAATGCGTTTGCCATCTTCAAAGAAGTACTTGGATGTTTCCAGGCAGAAGTCGACTCGTGCCTTCCCAGTAGGTGATACGTCTTCAAAGCTTAAAACCTTGTTGACGCCTACCCTATACCTCGTCACGGGTATTCGTTCTTCCGCTTCAAGGTACTACTACGTTTCCTGTTCCCTCCTTCCATAAAATAAACTTGTTCATTATTAATGCAATTATTCCAGTCATTAGCTTGACAATAAGTTTGACAAACAACGCTGTATCCTGCGCGTATTACCCAGCAAGTTATGTGTTCGCGTACAAAGAACAGCCATCCACGGACCACCACTTTTAGAGAATAACCCAGTTGTAAATCATCATCAGCCAGCTCCACCAGCCTTCGAGATGAACAACCAGGAAGTCCTTGACAACATAGACGACCGCATGCACAAGTTTCTACAACATCATAACATATGCTTTGTCTAACATTCTAGGCCTTCAGGGGATCTCCTCATGCGACGGAAAAAAACAACAACCCATTACCATGCGAACATAGCGCTACAGCGCTCCGCAAAACCGAGAGTTTTAAAGGAAATTGGCTTTGTTGCGGACTGGCGGGCCTCAAACAAGGCCAGAGCCAGCTCAGGCGATACACAGGGCAAAGGCAAGGGCAAAGCTGGGGACTTCAGTGGGTACAACAAGGATCCGGACACAGGGACACTGTATCGCTACGCGGAAGATGGTACTATAGTGTACCTGGATCCCAAGTCCCGACGGGAGTACTATTATGACGGACATGGGCAGTCTGCATGGCTTTGACTTCGTATGGTGAAGCTGTCTCTGTTGCGGATGCTCGTCTACATCTAGTATATCTCTTCTTTCCTTGACGTTGAGTATGAGATTTGCTAATTTTGAATATATCAATAAGAAATCTCCAGGAATTTTTTTATTTGCTCTTGGTATACGGATTGCATTCAACTGCAGGCGACAACGATCTCCAGTTTCCGTTTTGCTCTTGTTCAAGAATGGCAAAGGAGAAAGTTGGAGTTAGGTGGGGTCAAGCAGATCGATCGGGATCACGATGAAAATGCCTAAACAGGCAACGCTTTCGTTTGTGTACCTACCTTGAACTTCCAACACAACAAAATCCAGAAGACACGTCCTCAAATAAACGTAAATTTGGTTTAATCAAAGAAGACCTTCAGACGTCAAGAGGTCGAGGAACAATACAAAGAACTACTCGACGAAGCTATGGCATTCGGAATCGATCAACAACCCCTCCGTCGGGCAATCTCCAAAGTGACAGAGAACGAAGTGAAGGTCTTGTCCAGAGATAACAAGATTAAATTATACAACTTTGGGCGATGTCACGATGGTCCTCTGCTCGTATGGTCTGGTGGGTCAACGTGGGGACGACCGCACGGAATGGGAGGTTCTCACTACTCACCAAACAAACCGGAAGAAGATGCGTGGGGAGATGCAATCAGCATTCACACCGGCGCAACCATACCACACAGTGGTGATCGAGTTCATTACATTCCTACCTGCAGAAGCGCAGAACAGATCATTCTGGGGTTTGACCGACAGTACGGTTATGTTCGATTCACTGATGATCGTGACGTGTAAATGGTCGAAGAAATCGATTCTGGTCCCCGGCTGTACGACGTATACGGCGAAGCATTGGGCAACAATCTTTCTGAGGATACTGCTAATGTGTGACTGGGAGGTGCCTATAAGAGCACGTTTCTGCATCTGATCATTGGATTCTTGCTCCTTAGATAATTCTCATCAATTGACTGCCATGCATGATCCATGTGGAAGGCAATTGTTTGGCAGGCCTGTTGTGGGGTTGCACCTGCCATTTACTGTTAGCTAGCGAGTTAAGAGGATCCAGCCACAGGCAAAGGGAACCTAGCTCTATCATCATCATCAATCAATTCTGCTTTCTGGCCACAACTCGCGAAATTCATCAATTCCTCGTTCGTAAATAATTAGGCCCACATCCCCGCTCAACTGTGTTATTTAGGTGAGCAACATCAGAATTCATGGTCAGTGAACTGAGATTAGCTTACTTTTTTCTTTTTTTTTTTTTTTTTTTTTCGCTTTGATCAAGCGACTTCAGACTGTGGGATATCGTCATAGCTCACGAAGCATCATAGGAAGTCCTCGGTCTCAACCATCTACCCACGTCTTGTACTGTGTAGCGCGTTTCATTAAGGCCATGGAGAATCACCCAGTGGCAAATCATCCACCAGCGCCACCTACCTTCGCGATGGACGACCAAGAAATCCTCGACAACATAGACGGCCGCATGCACGGCCCCATGGGCGCATTTATCTACAAATACTTCGGAAAGTTTCACTATGACCACCAAGGTGATGTATTGAGAATTTTCGCAGGCGGAAGAGTGAGCAGTCGCTGTGCAATTCCATCAGCTGCCCCATCACCGGACAACTTCCTCCAATGGTTTTCCAACTATGTATCGCAGGAGGTTGATGGCGCTCGAGGCTCGTGGCATATATCTGGCGACTGTGAAGCCCCCGAGCACGAGAGTGCTAACAACGGTACGCGTCTCCTCTTGACCATTCCCATTTTGCCAGCCACCGACACACAAATGAGATGGGGCGATGTCCAGGTTATTGGCCAGTTTTACCTTCATGATAGCGTTGATTATCAGGAAGGACTAGTGCAACTCTCTCGGTCCGCACACCAGGTCTTCGTCAGCCAACTACGCGGCTCTTCTTACATGGGTTCTACATTCGTGGCTCAGTAATTGAGCTCTGGGGTTTCGATCGATCTGGCCTATATTGTAGCGACGTGTACGATGTTCGGCAAGACTTCGTCCTATTTCTCTCCTGGATTCTCATCTACCAGCGGATGACAGACCAGGACCTGGGGAAAATCAATATCATCAAGACGGATAAGGACGGCAGCTACATCATTCTTGATGGTGCGGAGACACCTGCTTTGCGAAAGCTCTATCTCGAAAGCCAGCCACTTGCGTCGCGTGAAGGCCTTGTTGGTACCGGGACGACTTGCTATCGGGCTAGAGTGCCTCATTCGGATCGAAGGAACTACGTCTTGAAGTTCAAATGGCGTTGGGCCAGGGCGCGTCCCGAGGATGAGCTTCTAAGGCTAGCCAAAGAGAAATGCGTCTGGGGTGCCGTCTCTCTTGATTATTACAAAGAACTTGAGACTACAGCAAATCTACGTCGAAGTATCCGATGGGGGACACACAGAAAATTCAAGAGGATAGTCTCGAGAGAGTGAAATGGAAGTATTCAAGAGCAGCGACATGAAGTCGTTTGGAACGCCGACGGACTTGCCAAATATACAGAAGAAACCGACGACTTCTTTCAAAATCGCATCCTTACTTGCATCGTTACTTCTCCTGTCGGCCGACCCCTTCACACTTTCCAGTCCCAAAAAGAATTACTGCAAGTATTTCGTGACGCTATCAAGTGTCACCGATCACTCTGCCATGATGCCAAGATTCTTCACCAAGATATTTCCCCGGGGAACATGATCATTCTGGATGACCAAGATGAACGGAAGCCGAAGGGGATCCTGATAGACCTCGATTCCGCAATAGAGCTCACAGAAGGATTAGAAACGGAGTTCGGAATTACCAGCACCAGACCCTTTATGGCCATTGGCGTTCTGAAGGGTGAATGCCACACTTATCGGCACGACCTCGAGTCCTTCCTCTACGCTTTCCTATGGATAGTCATTACAAACCACTCGGAGGATCCCCCAGAGACAAGTAAGCTTCGACGATGGAGCAATGGCGACTGGAAAGAACTAGCGGCACGCAAGTTTCTTGACATGGATCAGGATGGCTTTCAAAGTATTCTAGAGGAATTCGCCCCCGAGTTCCAGCCCCTTAAGCCGCTCGCCGAAAGTCTCCGGCATATTCTATTTCCCCTACGAGATGGGGTGATTTGGACAGGGACCGACGGCTCACCTGAAGCTGTAGACAAGCTCTACGATGGAATGATCTGCGCGTTTGAAGAGGCGGTTGCGTCTGAGGGTGAGAACTATATGTGATAGAAAGGAGAAAGCAAATGTCCATCCTATCGAAAGACACATTTTTTGAAGCAATTGATCAGTTTGTTATGATTTGTGATGACGTATAAGCCATTTCTTCTTCTGACTTGACTTGTGTATGACTTTGTTCCTAGCGAGTTTGAGTCTGCACATCGATACCAGTGTCTTATTATGATCGACGACAGCAACGAATCTCGGCAGCACGGTCAATACGGCCAAGTCGAAAAGTCCAGATTGATCTAGACACTTCTGAATTCCGGGCCCAACATACTAGCGCCCCATGTTGTCCACGAGGACGGACCGGCAAGGATATTCAAGCAGGGCCCCTAGCCTCATACCCCGCATAATACGGAGAATGGTCGCAGATCTCCTCCGGAAAACTATATGGGCTCGCACCATATCCGTCCCCACTCCAGCTTGCTCCAGCCGGTTATGCAGAGCTTCGAACGAGTCCTACTATTCGGCCGTGGTCGGAACGGGTGTATCAAAGTATACTATCGTGAGTGTACAGAGTCTAGGCAACAGGAAATATTAAATACTCCTTAAATATTATTTTTCAGAACCCGAGCATGCCGTGAGCTACGTCGCTGATCTATTCAATCCTTTGCACTTAATATACTTTTATACTTCGCAATGGCTTCTCGTCACCCCAAAGACGCGCCTCTCATCATTGTAGGAGCTGGAGTGTTTGGCCTCGGTCTTGCTTATGAGTTGGCCGCTGTCAGAGGATACATCAACGTGACGGTCCTCGACCGCTTTGCTCCTCCTGTCCCGGATGGCAGCAGTGTTGATGTTTCCCGCGTCATCCGCGCCGAATACGCGGATCCCGTGTATGCCCAGCTCTCGGCAGATGCCCTAAAAGAATGGCGTGGGGAGGGAACCCCGTGGTCGAAGCACTACAACGAAACTGGCTTCATCATGTTAGGCACCGAAAGCAATGGGTACGTGCGAAAGTGCCGAGCTATGCGTGAGCAGCTTGAGCTCGGCATCCAGGAGGGAAAGGAGATCTTTGAGCCCCACGAGACAGACTCCAAGTTGAAAGAGCTATATCCGGACCTGCAAGCGGACTTGCGAGGTCTCCTGTCTCTTCGAAACACCATGGGCGGCTGGGCAGATGCTGCTAGTGCAATCCAGGGGCTTGCGGAGCGGGCTAGTCAGGCCGGCGTTTCGTTCATCACGGGACGAAGGGGCACTGTGACATCGCTTGAGTACTCTGGGAAACGCGTCACTGGAGTCAATACGGCCAGCGGAAATACTTTCAAAGCAGACACGGTCATCCTGGCAACGGGTTCGTGGACCAACCGCCTGGTTCCGGACATGGGACACAATCTCGCCGCCGTGGGCCAGCCCATCGGCTTCGTGCAGTTGACGCCGGAGGAGGCCAAACACCTTGAACGTATGCCCGTCATGCAGATATTTGACACGGGAATGTTCACGTTCCCCCCAACTCCTGATACCCACCGGCTCAAAATTGCTCGACATGGGTACGGTTACGCAACAGAGTTCGAGGCCGCCGGAGGACGAGCAGTGTCTTCGCCTAAGCTGATCGGAAATAACGCTATTACTGGATTTCTACCTGGAGATGCCGAGCAAGCCTTACGGGATGGTTTGAGAGTGTTCTTTCCGGAATTCGGTGACCGTCCTTGGTGCTCGCTTAGAATGTGCTGGTACCAAGACACTCCCGATGGCGATTTCATGGTAGATCACCATCCGGAGCTTGATGGATTGTTTTTTGCCACGGGTGGATCAGGCCAGTAAGTAATGTGTTTGAAATCAGTCGTCCTCCCATTTGCTAATGCAAGCCTCTGTAGTGCCTTCAAATTCCTACCAGTCCTGGGACGAAATGTGGCGGACTGTTTTGAGGGCAATGCCTCGAAAGAGCTTCGCGAGAAATGGAAGATTCACCATCCTTCTACTCGCAACCCAGATGTAGCAATGGGCCAGGATGGAAGTCGGGGAGGTCCTCCGCTTCGTCGATTGTCTGTTCAAGAACAATCCAAGCTTTGATTTGAGTTAGCTCTAATTAGACCATGGTATGAAATACAACAGTTGCCCTCTGGCTACACTTACAAAACTAACCTGTACGGAATTACATGTGTTGGCTTAGCACGGTGCACTTGATGTTGTAGTTCTGCAAATAATTTGGTTATCGTTAGTGGACAAACGCGGTAAGGCAAAATGAGATGAATATTTGGCGACTAACCGTGTATCACTGACATGAGTGACATTGAGGAATTTCCATCTCTAGTTTAGTTTTCAGCAAGCTCAAAATCAATTCATCTATACTGACCAAAACCTTCTAAAACTTCATTGAAACGCAATTAGTTGTATTATCACAAAAAGTATTAATCTCTAGTCCTTGCATGCCTACACCTCTGGGGTCGCGGTTTTGTCACGTAACACCAACTCAGCCGTTCTTCTCGCTCGCCAGTTTCGGGAACTGGTTGAGATCACAAATTCGCTTTCGTCACAAGAAGCCTATGGAGTCTTAGCAACTCCCCAGGGGTACACAAAAGTTGTCCGCGGACAACTGCCGCGGCTAGGGGAAACCTCCGCTTGCGAGATCGAATTCCGGGCCCGCAATTACAACTCCCAGAGTCGTAATTTGCGAGTATTGTGCCCCATACGGGGTCAAGAAATCGGTACATGATTCAGGATTGACGTAAAAGAAACTAGGGAGCATTGGGGGAAATTGTTGCTAGTTTGGCGATCGAGACTAGCTAGCTAAAGTTAAGAGTGTTGTCATAGAATGGGGTTTACTGTTTTGACAAAACCGAACGATCAACATTTCTCAATGCCTGCTTGTGACTACCTGAGATTAGTGTAAACCGAGAACCCCTCAAGTCGGAGATCAACCTGATGGAGGAGCACGAACCGAAAGTGCTGCCACGGGCGTTCAAAGAAAAGTTAATCGATTGGGCTATCTATATGGGAGCAGCAGATGTTCGCGAGCATATGACCAAAATGATTGACCACGATGTGACAAGCTGTGCGTACCAGGAAGTCAGACATGCCACCGCCCTTCCACACTGGTTATACAATCCCATCTGGGATTGGGGTAACCATGCTCATGTACTGACTGGCACTCGCAACCGAGAACAGACCAGAGTACCATCGCCCACGCATCCTAGGATAGAGAATGAAGCGAGCGGCTGCATCGATTTAGACTAGCCTAATGGGCAAACCTAGAACTTGGAGCATTGACTTTCAACACGTTAACGCAATAATAAACACATTATCGTACTAAATATTATAGAATAGTTTATAACTGACTCGTTATTGTGTTCAGCTCAAAATGGTAGCCATGAAGAGTCGGCAACAAGAGAACTCGAAATCAGATCAGTCAAGTATGGCTCATCGAATACATTATCTTTCCACGATATCTCAGCATCATCATCCTGGCCCTGCTCATTTTCCGCAGCAGGATGCACAATGGTTGTCGTTACCTGGAGAGTGACGCTTGAAACGCTATCATTCCCCGGACTCGTTTCCCAAGAAAAGTCCTGACCGGTGTATGAGGGCGGGGCTTCCGTTGAAAGAAGTTGCCACATTGCCGCGGGTGGGACTTGGATGGTAGTACGGTCGGGATCTACAATGGCATGCTTTTGGTCTACTGTGGACTCAAGGGTCTTGAGAGTTTGATACTAAGATACGCCGTCAGTTATGTGCCTCCATACGCTTTGTTAATACGGGAGGGAGGGTTCGAGTATGAAGTTAAGAGATAGCAATGGAAGATGCCAGACCAAACATCTCAACGTAATAACATGTCGTGGTTGACACATACCATTTTTATTAGGTCGGGCCAGTATATCGCGATTCGACCTAAAGCTCGACCACAAGTCTGGAAATCTTGTCTGGCTCTTTCAGCAACAGAATTATCCCCAACAAATTGGAATAGCCACGGAACGGTGGAGGTCGCAGCAACCATTTGCCCAATGAGCAGATTTGATATGTCGATTGAGAGATCCTCGCTGATCTGGAGCATACGAGCAACCCAGGCAGAGTGAAACAAGGCTCTGTCCAGCGTTTCCTGCAAGAACACACGGGATTGTGATGGCCCCCGAGAGCCTCGTAGTGCGACAAGGTGGATGAACGGATTGTTCAACGTGGCTTGAGCGGCATGGTAGGATACTTGCATAAATAGCCATGGAGCCCAATACTCGTGATTGTCTAAGAATTCGGATGGCTGTCGATGCTGGAAGGCGACCTTTCGGAAAAGGTGTTGATACGAGAATTTCGACTCGGCCTCGTACATCTTCATCGTGAGCTGATTGTGCCACGAAGCTAATGAAGTAAATCCCTTGGGATATTTTCCTGTTCGTACGCTTTCGATAAAAGATGACACCTCGGCCCATATTCGTATCCTTTCCAAGCAGGTTGCATTAATCCCGTAGTCTTGCCCGATTATTTCATTGCTGTCAAAGATATCGAGTTGGTCCGTTCTGTTTTGGATAAGCAATGGAGGTGGCCGTTGAGGGCTGGGCGGGAAGTTTGGAAGGTCGAGGCCTACAAGTTGACTTGGGATCCGCGTAGTAAAGATGGTTTGGAGGATAAGGATGCTCCAGTAACACCTAGAGTTGGCTTCTTCATTGTAGGCCTCGCTCTTCTCCAGTTGAGTAGCACGGGTATAGGCCAACTGCGCTGCTATCCCAATAGTCATGCGGGCTCTTTCTCGTAAGCCATCTGCCGGCTATTAATATATTGTCTGCACAAAGATCACAATACTCATATCGCAATACTCATATCGCAATACTCATATCGCAATACTAATACCACAATACTCATACCTTTCGTCTCGCACAAAGCGAGGAGACACAATGCTTGGAGCACTTCCAATTTGCTGACACCATCCAAAGCTAGTTTTATAGCAGTCTGACGGGAATTTTCCAGGTGAACATCGCTCCCTTCCCAGCCATGGTGAAGGGGATTATCGGTGAATCTAAAGGTTGTCGCTAGAAATGCCAGTCGAAGAAAGGGAGGGAAGAATTCGAGGTCCTCATAGAGAGTGTTCAAGTTGAATAAAGGCAGTGGTTGGAAGTAGATTCGACGTCGGTATACTTCGACAGCATGGTGCAATATATCTTGATCGGTTGGGGCTGACGTGGGTGCCACATTCAAATTATCGAAAGGAGACGCCGACTGCGGTGAGCTATTCGAGGCTGCTTGGTGACCTTGGCCGTGGGCTTGAAAGAGGATTTGATCAGAGCCAGGTGGTGGAGAATCGAGCGACGGAGCCTTCCTATGAGTAGTCATCAGACATGGGCAGCGAAGGCGCAGGGCGATATGACTTAGCAACACTTACGGCTTCGATCTTTGACTTTCAGTGGTAGTACGATCGATCCCCCTTCGAAGATAGATGCATGACTGCCCAAGGCGTTGACAGAATGAGCACGTTGGTTTCTCCCCCGGGCACCGTGTCTTCTTCTGGCTGCAAGAATGGGTCATCAGCCATGCTGCTCGCTCCCGGCCGGTTAGCCAACGAAAGCCGCGTATACTCACCGGCACCGCTCACAGGCCCGTCGGATTCGAGGCATGGGCATAGAAGAGATCATGGGGCAATGCGCTGACTTCAATGGAGCAAAAGACGCATCAGACACGATGCCCGGAGAATGGGGTTGACGCAATACAGGTGATGATTGTCCGGAACTTTAGAAGTGGGCACGGAATTCAAGGGCAACAACGTTCTACCATGGCGACTTCCTTGCAAGTCACTGTGTCTAACCAAAATAGGAATCATAGCGACGCTAAGATCACGCTATTCTAAATTTGGAGCATCCCAAGCGACTGGCACAAAACATGGCACATCTACACACTCCAGTATGGGGTTTAACACAATATCAAAACAATTAACCTAGTAATAAACACAATATCTAGTTACATATCGTACAATAATCTAGTATTGTCTTAATATTGTATTTGACGCAAAAAGGAGGTTGAATGCGGTGACTGCAAAGAAGTTGCCATCACAGAACGCGTTGCTCGAATTCATATGCTTGGAGACTTTGGGGCAATCTCCATCCTCCGGAAAAGACTAGGCCAAGCAGGGCTACCCGCGGAAAACTGATTTGGAGAGATAGGCAATTGTCCCGGACGCTGGTTGAAATCGGCGAAATGGAAACTGGGGTAGAGCTTGATGGTTCCAGTGTTACTCCGTGTACGAAGTATCTCCGGGAATCTAGATGAACAGCTCGTATCAGTAGCGGATGTCACTATCTGTAATTACTCTGCCCCACGATAAACGTATCTGCGACTTCCCCAGATGTCATGCTCCACAGAGATAACAGGTCAGTCAACGAATGCGGGGAATCGAGATTGCGTAGTTGCTCCTCTGATAAGAGTAAAGAGCCAAGGTAAGTCATGTAAGTCTTAAAAGGGGAGGGTAGTTCCAACCAGTCACTTCACCTTTGCACTCCATCATCTTTGTATCCCTTCCCATCTGATATATCACCATGCTTGAAAAGACACACGAACAAAAAGCCCCCCTTGAGGGTGACCAACTCCACGAGGTGCGCTCTCATGGAGAAGAAGGCACTGTTACACGCCCTTATGACCCTGTATTTGGAGAAATCACCGAAGATGGCCCAAACTACCGCAATGTTAGTCTCTGCTAGAAAAAAGACATTACAGATCATCAACTGACATCGTGTAGGTTGGCTGGCTTGGAACATCTGCCCTCATGATAAAGGCTCAGATTGGCCTTGGTGTTCTCTCGATTCCTCAAGCGTTCGATGTCCTAGGTATTGTACCTGGCGTTATATGTCTCAGTATGGTTGCTGCCATCACCACCTGGTCCGACTACATTGTTGGTGTTTTCAAACTCCGGCACCCCGAAATTTATGGGATCGATGATGTCGGTTGGATGATCTTTGGGCGTATCGGAAAGGAAGTTTTGGCCGCTGGCTTTGTCCTATGTAGGTGCCGCGGTTGCATCCTGGTTCAAACACAACACTAACGAGTCCTCGAGACTACGCCTTTGTTGCAGGAGCAATGATGCTTGGCATCTCGATCGGTTTGAACGCTGTTACCATGCATGGAGTGTGCACTGCCGTCTTTGTTGCTGTGGCCGCTATTATTGGCGGCGGCTTCGCCTCGATTCGAACACTAGGCAAGATGAGTTGGCTCGCCATGTTCGGTGTAACCTGCTTAGTTATATCGAGTAAGTTGCCTTTGTCGTGGGATACTTTCGCTTGCTGACTCGCATCCGTGTCCTGAGTTGTCATGGTCACCATCGCTGTAGGAGTCCAAGATCGACCAGCTACCGCACCCAAGGACATACCTTGGAAGTCCGACTTCAAGATTGTTGGCAATCCAACATTTGTCGAGGCTGTGTCAGCCATCTCGACCTTTGTGTTCGCATACGCGGGCACCCCGGCCTTCTTCTCCTTTGCGGCAGAGATGCGCAATCCGCAGCACTATGGCCGTGCCCTTTTGCTCTGTCAAATAATCGTTACTGTTGCCTACGTTGGCATCGGATGTGTCGTGTACTATTTCTGCGGATCGTACGTGGCTTCGCCTGCTCTTGGTTCTGCCGGCCCTCTCATCAAGAAGATTTCCTACGGAATCGCTATTCCAGGGATCGTGGCCACTGCCATGCTTTGTATCCACGTAAGTGCTGACTTCCTAATAGTAACACTATGCTGACCTTCCTGTAGCTCCCTGGAAAATATCTCTTTGTTCGTTTTCTCCGCGGCTCCAAGCATCTAACGGCTAATTCCGTCGTCCATTGGTCGGTTTGGCTTGGCTGTGTCTTCGGTATCACCCTATTCGCCTATATCATCTCCAGCGCAATCCCAGTCTTTGGTGGTCTGGTTTCTTTCATCGGGGCTCTCTTGGGTACACTCATGTCCTTTCAGCCAATGGGGTGCATGTGGCTCTATGACAACTGGAGCAAGGAGAAGCGAAAGCGTGATATTCAATGGGCTTTTATGGTAGTCTGGAGTGTTTTCGTTGTTGCCTCGGGTACCTTTCTGATGGTTGCTGGGACGTACGGCTCGGTTGTTGGGATTATTGACTCGTACCAAAAGAATGGCGGCTCCAAAGCTTGGTCCTGTGCTGATAACTCCAATTCCGTCTAATTGGCAGAAAAGCCGGATTACTTACAGTTTGTTGCCAAGAGCTCCATACTCTATAAACAATTGATCAATAGAGTACCATGGGTGCAGTTCATGACTATAATTAGCTTCGTGGTGGCAGGAGCAAAATTGTGGCGGATCGAGTGCCGCGGGATACGCAGAAAGTCAAGCAATAGCTCAAGCAGCGGACCAAAACAATTAAGGGATTCCCAGGCCAAGCAGTTAAGTTCGCATCGGTATCATTTCTGTTGATTTGGTGAAGTTCTAAAGCTATCAATGGCTGTAGGGTCACGATTGACAAAAGAGGTCGAAGGATGATCACGGAAGGAGCTTGGCTGAGGTGGCCCAGCGACGGGCTGGCTCAAGTTCGCACGATGGGCTTGCGTTTGGTTGTTCGTGCAATCGTGAGCGAGTCGGAAGAGATAGTGCGACGGGAAACTGTGATACGAAAAACAGGAATGTAGAAAAACACTTGGAATGAGGCATACAAAGAACAAGGAAAGAGAGAGGAATGGTGAGAGCTCGTCAAAGTTGACCGGGCGGATTTTCAACCTACCTACCCTATGCACCTAAGTACTTAGTACCACCCGTACCCTGATCCGCCTCTGACTCGTTCGGAATTTAAAGCGCTACGTGGACTAATGTATATGATTTAGGATGGGGGGTGGGCAACCAGAGAGCGCAAAATCAGATCAGTCAAGGTGCGCTATGGGTAAGGAGGCTGCTACCAATTTATCACTCCTTTGGCTCTAAAGCTGACGGGGAAGACCATAGCAGAGTGAAACTTGAGAGTAGAATACACACAAGTCGAAAAGTCAATTCCTATCCAACTTGTACGGTCGCGTTGAGGACAACAAGCGCAGTCAGCAAAGGCATCAAGTCGCTGTCAGTTTCAACAACCATGGCAAGTCCTCGCGTGACATCTTTGAGCAGGTCCAGATCTGCATCCCTGCCCTCTGAGATTTCAGGGTCAGTCGCGGCAAGGTGCTGAACCAGACAGCCGTATGCCATGTAGCAGCGATTCAGACCCCATATAACGGACGCCGTGGGCGTGATCGGAACTTTGTTCATGCCCTCACTAGCAAGATGCAGGATCTGACGTGCTATCTTGACGGACAGAGGGTGGGGCGAGACTATACCTTCCCGTGAGGTATGATCGGGTAACCGCGCACGGATGTCAGTGAGCTCCTGGCTTATGATCATGACGGAGCAGCAAGCCGCGAGGGTCACTTCGTATAGCACCCACCACAAGGTACGAGTATTTTCATTCTCAGTCATAAGGTCGGCCTGCCCAGGATGAAAGATTAGCCTGCGGAGGCGCTCATTATTCCAGCGAGGAAGAGAGTCGCCTCTCAGTCGCCAACCTGGAAGAACCGAGGTGGCGGAACTTACCACTGGCCATTCCTTCATTGAATCTTGGATTTCCTCGCACAGGTTTTCTATGCACCTAGCCTTGTACTCCTCATCACCAGAACAACGCCCAGTTACCTCGTAAAAGCGAAGCAGATGTAATACCAGACGAAACCGCACTAGAAATGCAAGATCAGGTATTGCAAAGGCTGGAAGCTCCGGATCGATTTCCACCGCGGGGAGGTTGACGTGCCAGTTAGCGACGTCGGCAGTCAGCATGGCAGGCTTGTCGTGGAGGAGCCGAAACACCAAATCTGTGTGGACCAACCCCCAAAACCCCTTTCGATATTGGTCTACTCCTTCCTTCAGAGGTTTAGCGGTGATCAAGGTATTTGGATGGTCTTTATCCAAGACATGCATGTTCCGCTTGACCGCGCAGAGGCACACAAGCTTGTGCATGTTCCAGCTGAAATCCATGTCGCATTGCTGGAAAGCAGCCCTCGCCTATTCTTGAGATCAGTCATGCCCATTAAAAGATGCCTATAGTAAGATATGTAAAGTCCATTCATGGATGAATACGTACCAGTAATATTGCTGTTATCAAATCGCCCTTGCTCCCAGCAGCGTGCTTTTCCCAGGTTGGGACAAACCGCAAACATTGCACATAAAATCGTCGCATAAAATCCCCCGTCTGCGACTTGTTCTCGGCACGGTGATTGAGCGCCCCGTGGTAGAGCATGACATAGTAAAGCATCATTGTCGAGGGGTCGATACGAACCTCTGGAGTGCTGATGAGATCTGGAATCAAGTACATGAGCTTGATGTTGATGAAGAAATTATCGAAGAGTTCCGGTTGGTAATGTTTGCAGAAATCTGGGGCATCATCAGTACTTGGACGATCTTAATGTGGAGCATCTCTCGGGGGGTATAGCTCGCTCACTATCCAAAAACTCCCTTGCGAGCTCCGGCGAGAGGGGACCGTCTAGGCTTGCACCCTCGAGACTCCGCCGTTTGCACTTGAAGACCTGATCCATTGCATCCTTGAGTTGCCTTTGTGGTTCATAGTACTGAATGGGCCTTTTGTTTCTAGTAATGCTTCCGAGGCCCTCAAAGTTCGTAGTTCTGCTCGATTGAGGACTTGATGGTGATGGTTGCGGGTTTCCATGGACTTTAGCGTAGGACGTTTGTTTCTCAAGAAGCCATTCGTGTAGCCCTTTCTCGACTTCGATGATCCTCTTGCGTAATTCAGAAGCACTGCGATACTGTTAGCCATGCCGCAGAGGCCGCGCTGCTGGAACTTGAACCCGACTTCACCTTTGGGTCAGCTTCAGTGCTTTTGCTCTCTTCTTTCTTTTTGGGTAAACACATGTTTGGTGTCGGGCAAAACAACAGTCGCACTGGGGTTTTATGCGGTCGCATCGAATCTGGCCGCTCCATTAGCCGAGGGTCCAAACAGTGATGAGCCGTATATCACCTTCCGGGACTTGCAGCTGACGCACTACGTGCAGTTTGGTCAGTACCGATCGGCCCAGCACCTTGCACCTTGCACCTTGCGAGTGTGATGAACGGTGTTGAGACTCACAGCAACATCATGAACACCCTCTGCCAGCCGGCTGCGTGATACCATTTCAGATGAAGAAAGAAGGCTTCGTGGGAAGGGTTATGGGTAGACGCAAAGCCAATAGTGGAAGACGACATAATCCATAGAGGAAGAAGCAAGTAAGGCGCCATCGCAAAGTCTGGGTGAAAAAGGACTCCAAGTCCGAAGGTCGAGCGCGACTTGGACTCGGCCTGGAGGTCGGTCTCGGGTAATCCGAGGCCGAACAGATAAGATCTCGGGCCAAAGTATAATAAGTGGGACGGACTTTCAAAAGCCTTCTGGTGACATGCAAAAATGTGGGACGGGCTTTCGGACCGTCTGCCTCGGTGATTGGCTGATCAAATCAGAACAGGCCCCACTAAGTAAGTGAGTTGTACCTTCCTTATGCCATCGAGTAGGAATTTGATGGCTGATATGTTTTTAAAAACAGTAAGTAGCAATAGCGATGTCATGAAAGTGTCGACAATTGATCCCAGCGTTATGTTAATGCCGCTATCATGAAAGTGTCTATTCAGGATGCAAGATGTAAGAACCTGACGCCATGAATGTCGAATCTCGCAGTCACCAAATGACATACTATGTCTTTGGCATAGCTGGAAAAGAAGAGAGAAGGAAAAAGCCCTCTAAAAAGCGCCAAACTACGAGCCGAAAGTCCGTCCCACAATTCCTCAATTACTACACACGCCTCTGCAACGACCTTGCTCCTTGTCTGTTCAATTTCGAGACGGGAGATCCGGGATGAGCTTTCGCTTAGATATAGATATAAGAGTGCAGATGCTGGCTCAACAAGTTTTAATGGAGCAACTCAGTTCCAATCGTTTCTTCCCTCGAGTTTCCGTACGAAATTCACAGCCTCAGCCAAGATGGACCATCAGCATAACTCGCTACAGCCAGAAAAGTCGGCACTCGACGTGACTGCTTCATCCCGAGGCTCTGTCAAGACCCTTACTGCGAAGGGGGACGAAGGGGATGAAACGATAGGCAACGATGTATCCGAACAGCGCATCCACGACGACATGGCACAACTGGCCAAGAGGTTGACAGCACACTCGCAAGCCTCCGGCGCCATTCCATCCCTCTTCCCTTTGGTACCGGGAAGTACTTTGGATCCATACAGCGAGCACTTCAATGCCAAGATCTGGGCCAAAGCTTTCTACAAGGCTAGGATGGCGTCTCTGGACGGCAGTGCGCCGCGAACATCAGGCATCGCCTTTCAGAACCTCAGCGTATACGGTTTCGGAGCCGACACCGACTTCCAGAAGACTGTTGGCAACATCTTCCTTGGCGTGACTGGCCTTGCGCAGCGGCTCCTGGGCAAGAGGCAGCAACGCGTAGACATCCTGCATGGCCTTGAGGGTGTAGTGCACAGCGGCGAGATGCTCTGTGTGCTCGGCCCACCGGGATCAGGCTGCTCGACATTTCTACGCACAGTTGCAGGAGAAACCCACGGCTTCCACCTCGAGCCCTCGGCCAAGCTCAACTACCAGGGCATTCATCCCTCTCAGATGACGGGCGCGTTCCGAGGCGAGGCTATCTATACCGCCGAAGTCGATCATCACTTCCCTCAGCTCACCGTTGGGGACGCGCTCTACTATGCCGCAGCTGCTAGGTGTCCCAAGAACATCCCCCACGGAGCTTCTCGCGAGGAATACATCGGCCACCTCCGTGATGTTACGATGGCAATGTTTGGCATATCCCACACCAGGAACACTCGAGTTGGTAATGACTTCATTCGTGGCGTCAGCGGCGGTGAGAGGAAGCGCGTTACGATTGCCGAGGCTGCCCTGAGCTACGCACCTATGCAGTGTTGGGATAACAGTACTCGGGGTCTTGACAGTGCCAACGCAGTCGAGTTTTGCCGTACAATCAGGACCCAAGCGGACGTCTTTGGGTGTGCTTCTTGCGTTGCCATCTACCAAGCGCCGCAGGACGCTTACGATGTAAGACTACCCCTACTTTATATTTACCGTCACAGCCAAGCTAACGAATAAATCAGCTGTTTGACAAGGTGCTCGTCCTGTATGAAGGCCGTCAGATCTTCTTCGGTAAGGCCTCACGCGCCCGTCAGTATTTCGAGGAGCTTGGGTTTGTCTGCCCCGACCAACAAACCACAGCCGACTTCTTGACCTCGATGACTAGCCCAAGCGAGCGCAGTGTGAGGCCAGGATGGGAGGGCAAGGCGCCTCGGACTGCTGATGACTTTGCTTCCGTCTGGAAGCAGAGCCGCGACCGCTCTCTCCTGGTTGAGGAGATAGATGACTACATGGCCCGTTACCCGTTCCACGGCGAGCACTATGACCAATTCCTCGAATCAAGGCGTCAGGATCAGTCATCAATCCAGCGTGCCAAGTCTCCGTTCACGCTATCGTTCATCGGACAGATGAGCCTCACACTCCATCGGAGCTTTGTCATGGTCAAGAACGACCCAAGCTTGCCCCTGACCATGCTTACCGTCAACCTCTTGCAGTCTCTTTTTGTCAGCAGCATCTTCTACAACATGCCCGAAACGACAGCTTCGCTCCAACGCAGGGCCATTCTCCTATTCTTTATCATCATGATGAACGCTTTTGGCAGCATCCTCGAGATCCTCACATTATATGCCAAGCGGAAAATTGTAGAGAAGCATGCGAGGTATGCGTTTTATCATCCCAGCGCGGAAGCCCTTTCGTCCATGGTGATGGACCTCCCTTACAAGTTGACCAATTGTATCATCACCAACGTTCTCACCTATTTCATGGGAAACTTGCGTCGCGAGCCGGGAGCTTTCTTCTTCTTTCTACTCATTATCTTCACGACCACAATGACCATGTCCATGGGGTTTCGGCTCATCGCATCCTGCTCCAAGTCGATGCCCCAGGCCATGGCACCAGCGTCCGTCATCCTGTTGGCTTTGGTGCTTTACTCGGGCTTTGTCATCTCCGTCGACAATATGCGCGATTGGATCTCGTGGGCCCGTTGGGCTAATCCCATCTTCTACGGTCTCGAATCCCTCCTGGTCAACGAGTTCCACGGCGTCGACTTCGCCTGCGTCACGTACGTGCCCCATGGTAATGGTTATGACGATGTTGCGCCCAGTGCCAGGGCCTGTTCCTCCATCGGCTCGGTCCCTGGGCAGGACTTTGTTAGTGGCACGACTTACATCAAGTCCGCCTATCGATACAACCCTGCGAATCGATGGCGGAACTGGGGTGTCATGATTGCTTTCATGGCACTTTACGCTGGCCTTCATCTTTTCACAACCGAGTACGTTGCTTCGGAACGTTCAAAGGGCGAAGTCCTGGTCTTTATCCGCAAGGCTATGAAGAAGCTCAAGAAGAAGACATCAGAAGACGACGCCGAAACTGGAACGTCGCCAGCCGTCGGCCACGAGATCAGAAATCAATCCGGAGCAGTGGCGGGTATGGACCGTCAAACTTCTGTTTTCCATTGGCAGGACGTGTGTTATGATGTGCAGATCAAGGGGGAGACTCGTCGCATCTTGGACCATGTTGATGGTTGGGTGAAGCCGGGCACATTGACAGCCCTAATGGTCAGTACCTGGGTCCTAACTGTTTGTTCATTGCTTTCTTGCTAACATGGACATCTCAAGGGATCCTCTGGAGCGGGTAAGACGACGCTGCTTGATGTCCTTGCTAGCCGCGTGACGATGGGCGTCGTTACTGGCAGCATGCTGGTTAACGGGACATTACGCGATGAGTCTTTCCAACGAAAGACGGGCTACGTCCAACAGCAGGCAAGTTGCCTTGGCTTCCGCTCCGTTGTTTCTTGAAGCTAATGCAAGACAGGACCTCCACCTTAGCACCTCGACTGTCCGCGAAGCCCTAACGTTCAGCGCGCTGTTGCGCCAGCCAGCTCGGTACACCCGCCAGGAGAAGATTTCTTATGTCGACGCTGTCATAGATATGCTTGGCATGGAGGATTATGCCGATGCTGTGATCGGTGTCCCCGGCGAAGGTCTCAATGTTGAGCAACGAAAGCGACTCACCATCGGCGTCGAACTTGCAGCACGTCCACAGCTCCTCCTCTTCTTCGATGAGCCGACTTCAGGGCTAGACAGCCAGACGTCGTGGTCTATTTGCAATCTCATGGAGAAGTTGACCATGAACGGTCAGGCTATCCTCTGCACGATACATCAGCCTTCGGCCATGTTGTTTCAACGGTTTGACCATCTGCTGCTGCTGTCCAAGGGCAAGACCATCTACTTTGGAGATATCGGGGCCGGTGCCTACACTCTCGTTGACTACTTCACCCGGAATGGAGCTCACGACCTTCCTGTCGGTGCCAACCCGGCCGAGTACATGCTCGACGTAATCGGCGCTGCCCCTGGCGCGACCACCGACATCGACTGGCCAGCCGTTTGGAGGAGCAGCCCCGAGTACCAAAAAGTCCAGCAGGAGCTCGCGAGGCTCGGGACAGACCCGGGACACACCGAGAGCCAATTCGATTCCACCCAGCACAAGGAGTTCGCCGCTTCTTCTGTCGAGCAGTACCGCCAAGTCACCAAGAGAGTGTTTGAACAGTACTGGCGCTCACCCGGGTATATCTTTGCCAAGATTACCATGTCTGTCGGCACCGTAAGTATCATCATTCCATCCTCCTATACCAGTCGGATACCTACTAAATAATTTCTAGTCACTCTTCATCGGGCTGTCGTTCCTAAACGGCATCAACACTCAGCAGGGACTCATGAACCAGCTGTTTGGTATTTTCATCTTCCTCAGTCTGTTCTCTAATCTCGTCAATCAGATCATGCCAGTCTTTGCGTCGCAGCGCGCCATGTACGAGGCCCGGGAGCGCCCCTCGAAGACTTACTCTTGGAAGGCATTCATGGCTGCCAACATGATTGTCGAACTGGTCTGGAATTCAGTACGTATTATAATAATAGTTTGATCGAATCCGCTAGACCTGAATCGCTGACCTCGGTAGCTTATGGCGCTCCTCGCCTTCCTATGCTGGTACTACCCAATTGGCCTCTTCAGAAATGCAGAGTGGACCGACTCGGTGCACTCGCGAGGCATCACCATGCTCATGCAGCTCTGGATCTTCCTCATGTACACGACGACCTTTGCGCACATGCTTATCGCCGGTGTTGAGACGGCGGACATTGCTGGCGGCATCGGCAACCTCTTGATGGTCATGATGTACACCTTCTGCGGGTCAGTCACTGGTTTCTACGAGTTGTTATCAGGTAGCTGGCACTAACCCATATGTCTTCACAGCGTCCTTGCTGGACCAAGTGTTCTTCCCCGCTTCTGGATCTTCATGTATCGCGTGAATCCCTTCACCTACATTATCGAAGGCTTGCTCGGAACTGGTCTTGGCAACGCGCCCATGTACTGCGCGGACAACGAGCTCATCCGCTTCACCGCCCCCGAGGGTTCGACCTGCGCCGAATATACCGCTCCATTCCTCTCAGAGGCCGGGGGCTACATCGTGGACTCTAATGCTACAGAGTGCGAGTACTGTCCCGTCACGGAGACGAACCAGTTCCTGGCCTCAGTCAGCGTCAGCTACGAGCACCGGTGGAGGGACTTTGGGTTCCTGGTCGTCTTTTCCGTGTTCAACATCTGCGTGGCATTGTTGGTCTACTGGCTAGCGAGAGTCCCTCGGGCCAAGAAGGAGGAAAAGACAAAGAAGGCGTAGGGGAGACGATCAGCAAGATCCGTGATCCTGGCGTGGCCGAAGAACTACGATGTAATTAGTCTCTGCAACAGATCCTGTTTGTATTTAGATTAGAAGTTGGAGGCATTACTTGTACAAGTTTCTTTGTTTTTTTTTAAAGTAGGTTCTAGTATTAGTTGCTTGGTAGATTACATGGGAATAACAGCAAGAGAGTCAGTTTACAGGGAGCTGTCAAAATGTATTCATCTTTTCAACTACCGAATTATGCCTTAACCTCCAGTCTTATTCTCCCGGAGCGATATTTACATGAAAGGTTCCCGCCAGGCTGCCATGAAACTAGCTCTAGATGTAGTCTGCAAACTAGAGGTACTCCAAGCATTGTGTCACCTCGCTTCCTCGGATGAAAGATATCAGCACCGTAGTCATAGTCTTTGTGCAGTATATTCATAGTTGGCAGATGGCTTAAAAGAAAGAGCTCGTACGACGGTTGAGATAGCATACGCGCTAGTCGATCGGAGGAATAGCCAGACCTACAACGAACAAGCCAACCCCAGGTGTCAGTCAAGCATGCTCGGGGAGCCATCATGTCGTTCGATGTCCGGGGAGCCGTCAGATCATTGGATGATCGGGTCCTCATCCTCCAAGGTACCTTTACTTCGCGAATTCCAAGTCAACCTGTATGGCTCGACCTTACAGATTCTCACTCAGCCCCAAACGACCCCCTCCACTGCTTATCCAAAACAGACGGGACCGACTTGACCTCTTTGACAGCAGACTGAGCCTTGTTCATCCTGCTACAGAAGTTGAGCAGGTTCAAGAGGATTCTCAGGACGCCACAAATACCGTGAAAGGATGATTCGATGAGCAGCACTTGACTGATCTAATTTCGAGCTCTGTTGTAGCCAACTCTTCGTGGCTGCGATATTGTGTCCATCATCGGTTGAGTGTTTTGATATTGTTTTGATATTGTGTTGAAATTCAACGCTCGAGGTTCTGGCCAGGATACGGCGACTGCCCGGACGGCAGTGAGCCTGCGTACGTCATCTCCCAGGCTTCATGAGACGCGGTTGTCTAGTTTCCGCGGCGCCTGGGTCAATAGCCCATGGTGGTCGCCGGTTGCAGGAAGTGCGGCGACGAGCGTGAGGCGCAAAGGGTTCGTGTCTGGGTGTGCCACGTTTCATGTCAGTCGCTTGCTGTTGTGCAGAGACGGCAACCGGCGTCGGCACCCAAGACGTCCTCTTGAGGTACGTGTAGGAGAAAGAGGATAAAGTTTAAAACAATGAAGCTGCTAGGACCTAGACAACTCAACGCAATGAATACAAAGGCCTTACCTAAAAATATAGCCTTTCCTAGTACACCCAAGGAGTCATACGGCTAGAAAAGTCTAACCATCGTACGGATGACCCACTTGCCGTCAGGATAGCGGCTTGTCGAATGACTATTAAAACTGCCTCTTTCACCTGGCGTCTTCTTGAGGTACGAGTTCGACATTAGAGAAGAACTGGTCAAAACATCCTCCCTGAGCGAGGTGAAGGTCTTTGTTGCCTCAAAGGCAGGACGTTATAGGCACCTGAATCAGGGCAAATGGGGCTGCTTGCCGCGAATGCGCACTGAAACAGTGGTTGGAAGAGCATAGATTGTGTGAAACGGACTCTTGACAGGACTGTTGGCCGACTTGACCTCAGCAAGCTTCTTCTCCAAGCCGACATTACCAGTTGGTGATGAGACTGGAGGAAGAATCCAGCCTTTCTCCTAGAGGAAAAGAGCTCCGTCGGGTAATTGAGCCGGGACTTTGCTTGATGAACGGTACGAGCGTGGAAAGCATAGGTGGGTGGGTGGCATAGTGGAGAAGAAGCTGGACTTGTGCCAGAAGTCGGAAGGCATCGTATGGAACCCGATAGAGATCGGCGGAACGCAGATGATAGTCATCATACCTGAGGAGGTTTCGTAATTGCTTTCCCACGACTATATCGATACGGTTTCTTTCAGAAGAATGATTAGCAAACTGATCAAGATAAATATTTAGAATTGGGATGAAACGATCAGCCGATTGAGATTTCCTAGCCACAGCTTTCGGTCATGGATAAAATTACCTTCTGGAGAAATGGTTCGCTTTCCCTAAGTCTCGGTTGACAAGAGACGACCACCAACCTGCCAGTACGACGAGCCACTAGGGGAGGGTGGAAGAAGGGTACACGATAAATAGGTGCGATAGATCTTGGACTGGAGATTCAGGTTCAGTCACACGTTGAGAGTTAACGACACCAAATTCTGAGCTGATCGTCACATACCTCGTGCTGTTGTGTGCGTGTTGTGAAGTTACTTGTCAGGAGGAGGCTTTGATTAAAAGCGCTCTAGGGTACGGTGCCAGAATGGACCAATCAGATATGAGGACATGGATCATGGTGGACCGGCCATCCCGTTTCATTCTTAGCGCGTAACGAACTTGCATAAGTGCTGGGGTCAGTGGATCTCTTCCATTGGCCAGCCGTCATTTCTACCAGGTCTCCAGTAGGTACTAAGGTAGGCACTCCTTCCTTGAATTGGACTATGCTGACGTAATTTAGAGCACTGCACTATCTCACCAACTTCCGGTTGTACCATCTCTTTCCGCATCATACTCCTGATTCCTCGCGATTTGTCATTGCAAGAAATCCTCTAGTACGATGCAAGCCACCCTACGAAGACCAGAAAACGGGAAAATGTTGACCCAGCACTCGCTTGATATGGTATGTATGGCGAATGGAGACCACCTGCGTAGAGCCAAGCCTAGATCGTCGTGTGTGAACTGACTGGCTTTGTTGCTGCTAGATCTCAACACGAGAGGACGATTGGCGTGGAATCACAGACCCCATCGAAAGACGGAAACGGCAGAATCGTCTTCGGCAGCGAATCTGGCGTACGTGATTGAGCCTCCCCATCTCTACTCTATACACAACGGGACCGATCCACTGACCTGCGGACAAGGTGACAAGAAAAAGGCCATCGAGGACAGATCAGGCGAACCGGAAGCTCTCGGTGATTCCTGGATCGGATATGGTCTCCTAGTAACGGCAAGACAACCTAGACCTGGCCCGCCCCCCGATGCCGATGTTCCCTTGGAGTTGGTCCGCCCTAGTGGGATCACTTACCACTCTTTCGACAGCTATCCAGCTTTCACCAGCAAGCCCACAAGGGAGGTAGTTGTGCCTGGACTGGTGCCTTACGCAACCGATGAGTGGCTCAAGAAAGGCCCGATACAGGTTGTCTTCCCACTTTCCCCAGACCACCGCTTAATCACTATGATCCAATACAATTGCCACCGGGCGGGGTTGATGAATATGGCGATCCTCCGTCTTCTCGACTGCCTCCCTGACGAGTGCAACGGTTCACGAGCATTTATCCCTCTCAGCCTTTTCCCACCTGAGACCGTTCCCCCTAATCTCCAACCCACCCAACTCCAACAGTCTACACCGCACCCGTACTGGATCAAGGTTCTTCCCTTTCCAAGGATGCGGGACAACCTCATCCGCCTCTCAGGCACTTTCGACAGCCGGGAGTTCAACTACGATATGGGAAAGAACTTGTACGAGGGTTTCGATAGCCTAGAGCATCGTGGTTGGCTGGTCTGGGGGGAGCCGTGGTCTGCTTCCGGATGGGAGGCGAGCGAGGGCTTCATCCAGAAATGGGGGTTCTTGCTTGAAGGATGTGGTGAATTGATCACTGCAACGAACCGCTGGAGAGCAAGTCGGGGAGAGGATCCTCTGGTCATAGAGGTTTGAGACCACTATTCCAATACAATGAGTTGTTCAACCTCCAATAAATCCACACAAGGAAAAGTAGGTCTTCTACGTGTTACTCCCCTCGAATTCGGCGTCACTAAAAGTGTCCTATTCACAATAGCTCTCTTTTCTCGGCCACAGAAATCAAGGATTACGATACCTCAAGTCAACAACTGGCCAGAATGAGGGTCAGTTCGAGAGGATCCTGGAAAGGACAAGCGCCCGATGAACATACCCGCGAATAGTCTCTGCTTGACTCGTTGCCAAACTATATTTGGGCTATATCAGCACTTTGAACGGGCATCATTTGAATGCGAATTACACTATGAATCCATATCTCATCAACAGTCTTCTTCGCCATTAAATTTATCTGTTACAGCCTAGGTGGTTATCACTACTTCCGCTTTGCTTGCGCTCACTCCCGAGTGATGGACTTTGCGTCGGGGACATAGTCAAAGGAACCTCCCATTCCCAACAAAACGACATCCTGTACCGTCTGAGGCAGTCCATTGCGGAAAAGGAAATCATGCGGGAACCCAACCTCAAACGGCGACGCTGCTTCAATCTCCTTGATATCTTCATCGCTGAGCCGGATGCTTAGTGCATCAATGTTCCCCTTGAGATGCTCGACGGTACGGCAACCCACTAGAGGGAAGACGTAGGGGACTTTGCTGGTCACATAAGCTTGCGCCACACTGGTGATCAGAGTGTTCTTTCTCTTGGCCACGACCTCGAGGGCCTTGCTGACCTGGATATCAAGCTCTCGCGCCTGCACCTGTCGACCCTCCTTGCTAGCCTTCTGGCGTTGCTCCTCGGTCTTGAAAGTACCTCCGCCCAAGGCACCCCAAGGAATCAGGCCCATGCCCTCATTCTGGCACATGGGGATAATCTCCCGCTCGAAATCTCGTCGCGAGGCGCTCCATCGTCCCTGGTAGACGCAGAACTGGGCCAGGCCGTGGTTTCGCGCGTACTCATTAGCCTTGCTCACTACCCAAGCCGGGCTGTCACTGATACCCAGGGTGAGAACCTTGCCGGAGGCCACGAAGTGATTCAATGCCTGCATCAACTCGGGGATGGAGCTGGAGTAATCCCACCAGTGCACGTAAAGCTGGCAACAATATTAGCGGTGCAACTATGAAAACCCGGGGAGGCTACAAACCAGGTCGATGTAGTCAGTCTGCAGATTCTTCAAGCTGGACTCGACAGCCAGACGCAAGCTCTTGGGTCCATTGCCCTGGAAGTTGGAGATAATCTTCTTATCACCCTCACCTGAGCGGACATTGGTGGTGAACTTGGTGGCGATCACCATCTCGTCGCGCAGGCCGCGCTTCTTCATCCACTCGCCGATCCACTGCTCAGACTGGCCGAATTGGTAATTGCACGAGGTGTCAACGAAGTTGCCTCCATTCTCGTAAAAGAAGTCGAGGATCTTCTCTGTGGTGGCTTGGTCACATTCGCCCACTGTGCCATGGTCAGTCCTCGCTCAACGGCGTATGACATCACCATTGCTTCACACATACTGTAATCTTTCCACGCAGTTCCGAAGCTCATGCCGCCGAGACACAGGGGACTGACGCGGATGGATGCCTTGGGTGAGAGAAGTCGGTGCCGTCCCAAGGGCGTCTTGGCCGCTGGTGCCATCGGAAGCGCGGTGGAGACAGACATATTGCGAGAGATTGCTTCTTGTTGGATTCGACTTACGATGATGGTTCAGTCGTTTGGGAGACAGCAAGGAGGCTCTCTCAAGAATTTATAACCACGCCACGAACTTTATATCGCTCGACGATGGAATGATGCATCAACTCTGGCGCAGCCGATGTCATGATGAATAAGGAGCGGGGTCGACTAACTCCGAAAAGACATAAAGCCGGGCCCAAAGTCCGGCCCCGTCCCGAAAGTGAAGTTATCTCCAACTCCGTCGCGCATTGCAGCCCATAGGGGAAGGATAAGGTCATACGATGGTCGGTGATTAGCTTATTGCCATCGGTCCATAGCCAGGATGGCCGCCAATAATATGAATGGTGCCTGTCATCACTGGGCAGCATCTCTCTTCATCGCGGACCAACGAAATGTTGCGCAACGTCGTATCCGGTGATGCGGGGAAGCAAGCTTGGCATCACCGGCCCTATCAAGATTAAGCTGACTGACACGGCCTACTTTTTCATTTGATCGCTCTTATCTTCACGCATGTGGGCTCAACGACAGTATCATTATTCAGCTACGATACTCCCGATAATCCCGCACGAGACGATCAGGAACAAGCTACTCCGGCGAGCACCCAACCGGGCCGAGCTACAATTTAGCCTGTACTCTTATATATGTCTTCATACGGCCCTCTTCTCATTTGCCGAGGCTACGAGGCACCTCTCCACCAATACACTTATCAACCTCCTTAGAGCTCCTGCTGCTGCTGTTGCTGTTGGTCTTGCTGAGACGACCTGAGCAAATCTCTGGCCTCGTCAAAGTTGAGAATGAGGTTGTAGTAGAACTTGGCGACACCGATATGGGCACTCATCTTGAGGCGCTCGTCCACAGCGTGGATATTCTCGATATCGAACGCGGGGTGGGGGTTCCAGCGGTAGACATTCTTTGACAGCTCTATTTGGTGAAACAGCGGTCAGCAAGATCTGGACTAGGAAACACGGGGTGATTAGGGTTCAGGGGGCTTTACTTAAGTAATGCTTGGTATCTGTGTTGCCTGTCATGATGACTCCCGTTGGGACGACGGTAATGCCACGCTCTTTAAAGGTGGCTTCAATGGTACCTGCAAAAATGCGCCATACCTTGTCGTCAGTGGGCGACACAGGTGCACCATTGAATTTCTTTTCCGCTCTAATGGTCAAGGTGCCCTCATAGTCGATGCCACGGCGCGGCTTCCTGTGATGGCCCCCGCCAAGCGAAGTAGCATAGCGATGGTACTCATCATCGCCCTCATAGGCGTTGACATCCAGCCCAAACTTTTCGACGATCTTGTTAACATGCTTGACGACATTATGCTGGATGTCTAGCACACTATCCTGGGGCGCAACACGGTAGTTGATACCAACGGTGGTATACTCAGGGAGCGAGTTGATCTTGTCGCCGCCGTATATGATGTCGATGGCCTGCGTGGTTTGAACCAGAGCCGCCGCAGAGAGATCCAGTGACGCAATCACCTCAGCGAGCTGGTACAGATTCCCGTGGTCAACTAGGTGCGTGATGGCAGGGAACGCGTTGGGCGAGTAGCGCGCGAGGCACTGCAAGCTCTTGTGGACGGGGCTGTTCCACTCTACCTTGGGGTAGTACGGGTTGTTCTCTAGTTCCACGACCATCTGCGACATAATGCCGATGCCTGTGTGCGGCGTGGGAGTGCTGCTGTGACCACCCTTCACCTGGAGGTCGAGCCAGATATTGACAAAACCTTTCTCTGTCACTGCAGGGAGTGCATAACGCACCGGCGGATCACGACCGAAATCCAAATCGATTATGCCGAGGCCGCCTTCGTCGATGACGGCTCCAAATCCATTTTGGCCGTATTTGTCAATAAGCACATCGTTAATATTCCGTGCGCCACGAAGACCAGAACACTCCTCGTCAAAGCCCAAGGCAAGGACGAAGCCACGCTGCGGTTGCCAGTCGGCTGTCAGGAGCTCTTCGAAGACAGACATAAGCGCTGTGAGGCGGTTCTTGTCATCTGCCTACGTGAGACTCTTAGTATCAGCGACTTAATGTTCCAAGTCAAGTAGGCATAAGGAACCACTTACAGCGCCTCGACCCCACAACCAATCTGTTTTCTCGTCATACTCGGCAGAAAATGGTGGATAGGTCCAGTCCGCTTCATCACCCACAGGGACGACATCTTGATGAGCTGTCAACAGAATGGGTGCCAGCTCCTCACTGGCGCCCTGGATGGTGTAGACCAGGCCATAGGTGTTGACCTTTTCAAACTGGACATAGTTCTCGTCGTGCCTGCATGAAAAGTAAGCCGGGGAAGTGTGACATTGATCTACAGTATATGTGCTTACATGAGCGGATACGAGCGTTTGAGGACCTCCTGGAGCTCGTCAAAGCTCTCCCAGCGTTTGTCCTCACCAATCGGTCCGAGGTCATCGTAACAGATGGAGTCTACCTCCACTATATCCCGGTGGCGCTCAAGTTGCTTTTTGAACGCCGATGGGCTATCGAAGAGCTCGTCCGCGGAGGGAAGACTATCATTGTCAGGATAGATGGGCCCTGTGAGTTTGCAACGTTGAGAAGGCCAAGAGACCTGCTCGAAGTCATCCCGAGAGCTCCGAGGCTCTAGAGCGGCTCCATGAGCGTTCCGGAGGCAAGCCAATAGCCCGAAGGCCATCGATGGCACCTTGAACAACGACTTTGAGGCCATTCTTTTGCTGGACGTCTTCATTCAAGTGTTAGGAGGATGTGTGAGAAGACAAAGAGACCAGAAACAGACAACAATCCGGGCACACATTTATACCCGGGGCATTCAAACTATCCTTCGCAGACGCGTCACGATCTTTCTCGCTTTCCCCGCGCTCAACAGTTTTCCGAGACATCTTCCGTCATGATACACGACACGGGCGAATATTCCTGCAAGCCACAGCATCAATATGTAGGCTCATCCGAGTTGAGCGGTGGGCGTCTGCACATCGGACCCCGAGAGACCAGTCAGAACGAACCCTCTCTGGCAGCCGTGGAGATGTTTTTGAATCATCGACTCGCTGGCTCTGCATGTCGCGCCCACCGCAAGCATAGACGGTGAGAGTAGGTGCTCCGCTCGTCGGAATAGCCATCCGTACGCGCGAGCATGAATCTGAGGGCGGGAAGACAAACGAATGAGACGCTGCCATCCGAATCAGAACCACAGTTTTCTCCACAGCGGGACAGAGGTTCCCGCTTGCCATGGACGATCGTGAGATCCTGTGAGGGGGTCCTATTTTCCCATTGGCCATGCAGAAGCTGGGCGGCCCATATAATCTCGGAGAGTTTGATACCCGAGAAGTTGCCAAGCTGCTCCCCGCTCGCAAATCATCATATCTGGACGTCATCATTTGTCAAGCCCTCGAATAGGCGGCGAAGGTGCAGTGGTACATTAGATGGCTTTGTAAGATGAGCGGTAACCATTCCGATTCCTTCATAGTGTGATCAACGATGAGGGATGGCCACTACCTTACACACGATTGGCTACGGACAGCAGTCTTGGCGTTCCTCTTGGGTTGAGTTGGACACCTTCCTTTGCTTTTTCTTCTGCCAAAACATTTCATTTAGAAACTGGCAGCCAATTTAAGCCAGATAAATATAGCAAAGTTCAACCGCCAGACAATGAAACCAGCTTTGTTGCAGCTAAGAGAATAGGAGCGTGACAGATTAAAATCTGCTGAAGCAAGACCTAGGTCAATGATCCTTTCTTGAGACGGCCTTGGCACGTGCTGGTCCGCGGGGAATGTCTTTGTTTTTATGTGAAGGAACAGCGTTGTTTCAAGATGGATGCCTGACCCCTCTTCTTTGTGCCCAAACAGCCCAACCATCATGCAGACGACAATGGCTTGATGCTGATTGTCGGCTTGCATGTACACATGATATCCGTTTCTCAGTACGTTTCATCATGCACGGCGTACTTCTCCTCCTAGCTAGAATTCTATCACATTATTTCGCATGCTGGTCGATTCCTCAAACAAGTAGTGGAGAGGATTTCTTTCGGACGCAATATGTAATCTGGAGGCTTGAGAGATGAAAATCAGGTTGACACGCTTAGTAGAGACAAGTATGGGCGGCTTAAGCTTCATAACGTTAGATTTTATACACTTGTTTCTAAATAACCAACTCATCTTTGATTTGATTTGACTAAAGGATGAATCCCTTCATTCAATTAGTAAATACAATTAGATCAGTTGCCAACTATGATTCGCATCCCAGAAAAAGGGGAGGGGAGGTAGAAATATGAAAAAGAAAAAGAAAAAGAAAAAAATAATGCTTCTGCCCGGACTCGGACCGAGGACCTCTCCCAGCTCGTGCAATGTACTCGATCTCTCGCCTACATCCCTAGATATCAGGAAACTGCGGGCACTCAATAGTTGACGCAGAATGAGAACGTACATCACAGGGCCAGTCATCGGAGCGCGCTGGCCACTGCGCCGCAGGGCGTTATTGTTCCTATTGAATGGAATGTCCAGGGAGCTTGTATATAAAGTCTTGATAAACTGGGTTACCGCTACGGCCTCCTCCGATGCATGCTGGGCCATGTCAATGGGGCTGCCAACTTCCGATTACATACAGCCCTCAGTTCATCAGTACAAGCCTTGACGGGATCCTGCCATACCGCCGGTTCCCTTGTTGGGATTGATATTTGATCATTGAAGTGTCACGCAACCTTTAAGCTAACCATCTCGTAAGACACTGTTGTAAAAGTCCTGCGTCATGCAACTCCAGTGTGCGTAACTCTGTATGCGCTGAGGCATCGACACCTCTCTCGCCGCCTTCGACGGGTATCTATTTAGACGCGAAATTCGTTAGGTCGAGGGCGAGTATTCCCATATCCTTCGTTTAGGGAAGCATGATTTCGGAAGACACAGAAGCGGGACACCATCCAGCGTCCAAAGTGGGATTTCCCCCTCTTGCATCACGCCCTCATACGCTGGTATTTTCTTGCTTGCTGGGTCACAGCCGAAGACAAAACCAAAGCACTTCTCTTCATAAACGTCCAACCCACCAGAGAATTCACCGCTTTCAAGCGGCTTGGCACCAAGCTTGATCAGGCCTCTCACAAACGAGCATTGGAGCTTGTATCTCATGCTATCGGGGTTGAGACCTTGCTTGAAGGAGCTTGATACAGCTTCCAATATAGACTCGACTTTTCCACCCCACAAAGCCGTACATCTAAGGTTCGCGGCCTTTTCGATCAACTTTGGTATTGTAAGAGCATGTGTCATGTTGATGATGCCACGGTTCAACCTGGTCACCAGAAGATGGGGAGTGTTGATTTAAGGCGAATCAAGGTCCAAATCAAGTGCGTTCCTCACTACTGACTGAAAAAGATGGGAGAGCATGCGAGTCAGCCTGGAAGCATCGTGGGGGTGAAAGCCTGTGGTCATTAAATCCACCAGCGCTGCCCACCGTGCCAGGATAACTCGTCGTTGGCTCAAGGTTGGAGCAGACTCGGTTGTAGAACAGGTGCATTTGCATACTGTGAGGTAGTGTTTGAGCATCGATTTAACTGCAACTTTCCTTAGCAGGATTTTCAGCATTGAGAATGCCTCATCGTGGAGCAGCGCGCTCTCACAGTCCCATTTTCTCCAGGCATACCAATACAAGGGACGGATACAGCCCTCGGACAAGTCTTCACGCCTCCAGAAGACTGTGTCCCCCAGAGAGGCGCCCTTCTGAAACAGATACTGCAGTCCCTGTGATGCTGACAGAGTCCCAGGCTCTGTAGCCTTGGTGCAATCAACAGAGAGAACATAAACATACACGGCATCCACGCCTGTAAGTCCCTTTGGGTCTATCAGCCATCCTTCTGTCATGGTGTCGCGGGTTCGTCGTCCAAATTGGAAGCCAATCTCTTCCGTGTCTTTGGCGATGTCTATCCGGGCGTCTAATAGCACATCCATCATCTTCGTGGATCCAGATGAGGCCATCTGGTGTGCAGCAATCAGAACGAGTCATTCTGCTGTCGTCGGAGTACTTCTGGGAATGACCGGGGGGACGAATAGCATCAGGCGAAGCCAGTCATATCCGTAGTATGCGCGTAGTAGGAATTCAATCGGGTGGTTGTCCCAAGAAGGGGCGAAGCTGGCGAGAAATCTGGCAACTGAGATCGATTCTAAGAGAACGATTGCTACTACCGCACTCTTGACTCCCTCATATGTGTTTTGCAACAAGCTGAGATGAGGGTTGGCACCCTTAGCCCACCAGTCACTCTCGTCAAGATCGGCACTTGAACTGACTGGTTCAATCAATAGCCTGTCGATGGATTCCTCGTGGTTCCTCATATCATCGATCAATCCGTTTTTGATACAGTGATGCAGGAGCTGTATCCGGTGGGAATCCAACAAGAAATTGGATATTGATGGCCATCTCGAGTCACTCAGAATACAGGGATCGATCCGCGCACCATGGTCTAAGAAAGTGAATTCATCGCCACCGCCAGCAACAAGGGCAATGGTGGAAACCCTCGTGAGCCTGTTGGCGGGATGGTCTCGTAAGGGAAGCCCGAAGTTAGTTGATGCTGAAGGGCCGGCCTCATCAATTTCGATGATACTGACATCGGCGTCGTAAGACAAGGCTCTCTGGGTAAGAAGGGGTCCCCTTGAGAGCAAATCCAATACGTTATTGCGGTATGCAGAAGATAGAAGTTCAACAATTTGTTGATGGTCTTGTCGCATTGGCTCAGCATTGACAGTTCAGTCAATGAAAGATGCGACCAAAATTTGCAAGTCGATTTCCGCCGGGAGGTCGTTTATTTTGCCCATTGTCCCCCAGGATTTGATTTTGAAAGAGTCCTCTGTGTCGATATTTCTTTTTGGCCCCGTGATGTGTGTTTATCTTAGTTTCGGTAGTGAACGCTTGTATGAGATAGTATACTCCGTGTCGTGCAGTCCCTGGCGGCACGTGTTTCCAGGTCTTTAGCGATGCCATGTGCTTTATTTATCACCATCCTTCTTCTTCTAAGTATCTTCCCGCTTGTGGTTTGATGGGACGCCTCTTGGTCGCGTAGCCAAGAGGCTTTGACGCCTCGACCCTATCCTTGGCGAGCGGAAGCATAATAGCTGACAATGCGGCGGGGGAGAGAGACCGATGGCATGTGACTTCAGGTCTGTGGCTGATCGGTCGACTGGAATCAGTTGAGAGTCGTGGAGCTAGGACCGGATAACGGTAGATAAAGGTAGAGATGTATTGGGACAGATCTTAGCAAATTATGGGTTAGATCCTGGCGTTTAGACATCGGCTCGAACGCGGGATGTAAGACAAATCAACCTACATTGATTCCGGCTTCCAAGTACTGAGCATCGAGAGCAAGTTTCTGATAGGTATGACGAAGGATAACCTCAGCTGGCTCTGGTTTCATAAGCATGCCCAAGGGCGGTTGGCTGATAAAGGAGGTGATTCTGGTGACACCCTGTTTCAAGGCATACGCGCGCACTTGCGAGTCTTGAGGAACAAGACCAAGACAATGTGTCAGGGGCCAGTCCTATAAGAGTGCCCCTTTCTCCCTGACCCAATGCCCCCGGGCTCTCGTCGTTTTCTTGTGTGGATCAACGAAATCCGTTCATAGTCCCCCTCGTTCCCGCGCCGCCGACATGGAGAACCGCAAAGAGACAAACTCTGCCGTGGATATACCAACAACCCATTGCACCGATGTTGAATCAAGCTCAATCTCAGATGGCACGGTAGTCGCATCGTCCTCTTGGGAGAAATCCCGTCAATGGATCCGGAGCATCGGAGCCGAGGAGTATGGCATCGAGCGGGTTCCTGAATCTCGAAGAATAAACCAAAGCCCGTGGTCACTATATATCGCATTCTTCAGTTTCAACTGTTGCACCACGGCACTGGCTCTGGGCTACCTTGGACCAACCTTGTTCGGCTTGGGGTGGTGGGACTCGTTTCTCTGCGTGCTCTTCTTCAACCTTATTGGGGCAGTGTTCCCTGCGATAGTCACAGCATTCGGTCACCGAACTGGCCTTCGGACACTAATCATGCCGCGCTTCTCCTTTGGATGGTGGCCGGCAAAGGTAGTCGTCTTGCTCAACATCTTCACCCAAATGGGATGGGCCATTGTCAATGCCCTCGCGGGTGGTGACATCCTCTTCGTTGTTGGTGGTGGGAAGCTCCCAAAGGCAGTCTGCGTTATTCTGATCGGGGCAGTATCTATCATCATCGCTCTATTTGGTTACGAATACATCCATGCATATCAACGATATGCATGGCTTATCATGCTCTCCTGCTTTGTCATTCTTGCTGGTTTCGGCGGCTCACACTTCGAAAACATTCCCATGGGTTCGGGGCCACAGGAAACTGCTTCCGTCTTGGCTTTCGGTACGGCAATAATCGGCTGCGAGGTCGCATGGGTTCCTTGCGCGGCGGACTACAGCGTGTACATGGACCAGGAAACCAATGATTGGGTCGTTATCGCCTGTTCCTACGGCGGCCTTTTCCTTAGCCAGTTCTTGCTCGAAGCACTGGGCGCTGCTTTGGGGACCCTGATCTCGAGTCCTGATGAACGGTTTATGCGCGCGTACGATTCTTACGGACTCGGTGGCTTGATCGAAGAAACATTTGCTGATCGTGGCTCCGGTGTTCGCGGACTGGGCATATTTGTCCAAATCGTTCTGTCCTTCTCAACAGCAGCCGTGGGTGTCGTTTCGATGTATTCGATCGGTCTTAGTTTCCAAATGATGACAGGGAAAGCGGTTCGGGTACCTCGTTTCATATTCACGGTTGTTGGAGGGATTGTCTTCTTGGTTTGTGCCGTTGCAGGGCGAGATCACCTCGAGAGCGTCATGACAAACTTTGCCAATATATGCGCATATTATCTCGTTCCTATGACAACTGTCTTGTTAGCAGAGCACTATCTCTGGAGGAAGGGGTTCACATACAATCTCACGGATTGGAACGACAAGGAGAAGCTGCCTGTAGGGATTGCTGCAGCCGTCAGTTTCACACTGGGAACGCTTGTTGCCTTCCTCTGCATGAGCCAAGCCTGGTGGGTTGGACCGATCGCCGCAGCTATCGGAGGCTCACCTACAGGAACGGATATAAGCTGGATGCTTGCGCCTGCGGTCACATTGGCTGTCTATCTGCCAGGGCGGTACTGGGAGCTTCGGAAGTGGAAAAGATAGTTCTCGAAGTCGGGCGATAGCTTTGCCGTTGGTAGCTGATTGTAATTCGTCTGGTGCAATACTGTGAAGTACTCTCTCTATGAAAAATAAATAGATAAATCGCGAGTGATTGACAGCGGTAACTGGTCGCTTCCTCGAGGCAGGTGCAGGCCGAGGCTGCCAGCACGTGACTGCTTCCTGCCTCCTCCACCTCCAGCTCTGACACAGCAGATTTCAATGATTGTACTTCTTAATAAACCCAACGAACTTCCAAGCTTCACAGAAAAGAAAAGTTCGCTTTCCTACGTGCACTCGCCCAAGACATGCCTTTAGCTAACGAGCGTCGTTTTAGCCTTCGGTAATCGCTATCCCGAAAAGCCTCGAATCTTTCTCCAGAGAAGAAAACCCGGTTCTATACGCCAGCCCCTTCATTTGGCCCGAAGCGCATCGTCAAAGTCGATTTAAAGACCGATCTCAAATCTCCGAAGCAATACACTAAGACACGCCCTGGCGCATGTTCTTATAGCCAACCAAGGTTCCCCCGAGCCTGCGACGTATCCGCCGATCCATCCACACAACAATGGTCAAGAAGCGAGAAACGCTGGAAGTTTTCTCTCTAATCTACTCTTGCGTTTCGACCTCAAAAGCTTTCTCCACACCCGTATGCGCAAAGGAAGAACAAAAGATAGTTCTAGAAAGTCGATGGTACGGCAGAACCTGGTCTTAACCGAAGATGATCCAGAAACTCAGACTGACGGTGCGGACCTCGGATTCTCCTAAGAAGCGTACTGGATCCTCCTACGGCTCTTTTGTTTTGCAATCATATTCCCACCAAGCCGGTCTTAGACAACTACAGAAGTACCCAATGCTGAACACTGCCGGGCTTTGAGGTCTCAGTCCACACACCCCACTCAGAAGCTTATATCGCGCCGGTTAATTGTCCGAATCATCAACAAGACTCAAAACGGCGTTTAGCACACCGCAATTTGTTGAGGCATAATAATCCTAGGAGATAGGCCGAGACAGCACGGATAGCTGTCTCAAGCCATCCACTCCGCCACAGATTGGTACGTGTACAAAAGTCAAGCTCAGCCTCGCCAAACGTCACAGCCCAAAACATATATATTATGATTACCAAGCTGATAGATACGATGCAGGAACGACACAATGACCAACGCTCTCGCTCTTCACCTGATTCAATATGCGAGTTCAAATTCACACCAGCCTGCTAAAGAGATCAAGTAGCGGCCCAATTGATTCCGGCAATAGCGTGCAGAAAGTCGAGGATTTTGAGAGCAATAGATTCCGCCTAACGTTATTCTGGGGATTCATCATCTTCTTTGGCTTAATACAGGCAGGTCTTATTATTCTTGTATCCGCTTTCGTTAGCACAAGGACTACCGATGCAACTCCTGACAACATGGATTATCTTCTCTATAAGAACACTCGGTTCAAGGCATGTGCCGCAACCGTTCCAGAAGCGACCGACTGTGCCTTGCTTTTTAACAAAACCGTTGTTGGTTCTGGCATAGCAGGGCTATCAGTATACGGGAATATATTTTCGGCAGAGGGCTTCGGATACGCCGAGGCACAGTGGTGCAGCGCCGCCGCCTGCTTCAAGGACTACAAAATCATTCCTTCCCTCCCACGGTTGACAAGTTTTTCCAGCACAGCACTCTGGGAGTGGTCTACATTGAATATCATAGCCCTTATCGGGCTGTGGCAAGCTCGTGCTTTGTACATTGACACGCATCTTCACGCCTCTACATGCAAGGGGCTGACACTTCTAGACTGGATTTTGAATGCGTATCAGCTCTGTTCACAAGGGTTCTGGTGGTACTCAGCTGTAAAACTGATCACAAACGACCAAGCTTTGGTTAGCCTATTTAGCTGGGTGGCTCCATACCGATATGCCTTCGGCCTATTTTTTCACCCATACTCATGCAGCCTCAAAGACAAGCCCAAGACACAACTCCTACTAGGGTATTGCGTGAGCATTTGCACGGCCATACAGATGTTCATTACTCTCTACATCTTACGCAAAAACCTCGCCCGTTATCAGCTGCGAAATTATCTCAAAAATCTTGATAGTGCCTTTTTCTATCACTGCCTTGAGGACCAAATTCAGAATACCCCTGGCTTTTCTCCGTGCTCAGCAAGAGAACTTTGCAGCAAGGCTTGGAGCTTCGATTATTTTTCCTTCGATTTCTTTTCCCAGATCGGGGGGAGTGCCCCAGCTCCTATGTACTGGCTTATGTTTCTTTCTTATCTTTCCATAAGTCTCCTATTCGCGCTCCCGCTCATTGTTCACTCCTGGTGGCGGGGTGTGGCAAGGTCGCGGAAGGCTGGAGAGTCGGCCACCACCACCCCGAAAAGCGTCATCCGATTCTGCTTTCTCATGATCAATCTACAGTTCTCCATATATGGGACTCTGATGACAATGTCCTCGTTGATAAGCATGACTCCGCAGTTGGGGACATTAAAAGTGCCAAACGGGACGATTGTATATGATCCAATGTGCCGCGCGTTACATGTTGGTGTGAGCCCGTGGAGGTACTTTCTGGATG